ATAATATATTTAAAACGCTCGGAAGAATAATGCTTAATAAAATATTCGGAAAGGATATAATATCCTATAAATTATTAAAAGCCTACGGCCGGCAATTCGCTAAAGCCTTAATAATCTTGGTAATAATTAGCTTTAAAATAAGTATTCTCCCGCGTAAATTCTAACGTATAAAAATAATTATTTTAAAAAAAACCTGGGAAATTACTAACCTAATAACGTATAATAGATATTTAGGGCCTAATTGCCCTACTTAATAATATTAATAAAATCCTCGATATTATCATCGTAAAATAAATTTCTAACGTTGTGAAAGAATATAAGCTCCTCCCTAACAATTAAATAAGTAATAAAAGAAATAAATTAATGGAATTTACTATCTAGGTAGTTACTAATACTATATATAAAGTATAAAAATAGAGTATAATAGTTTCGCTTTTATTATTAAATTTAAAAGGGGCGTTCGATTGAATAATTTATAAATAATTTATTTATACCTTATATATAAAAGAATTCCCCCTATAATTATTCAAATAAATAAATATATTGATAAAAAAACGTATAGGCTAGCTTTTCTTCGACGGAAAACTTTTTTCGGAATTTCCACGTTCCCGCAAAGATCTCGTAAGGATTACTACTTTCCTTTATCCTCTTCCTCCTTTTTATTACTGTACTTTATAAAATACTATCCGAGGTTTAAAGTACCCGGATAATAAGTTTTATTAATAATACTAATATCTTAACAGTCTTAAAGACGCCCGAAAAAAATAGCGCGAAATTAGCGGAAACGTAGCGGGTATATAAGAAGTAGATAAACGAGCGGGGAATAGAATTCAAAATAAGTAAATTGGCATTTATCTATTTTATTAAAACGAGGGTACTATATTTTTAAACCGTAGTATTAAGGGACTTTAATTTGGAACTTTTAGAATTGGCGTAATTCCTTAACGTAGTCTTAAACAAAAAATTATTATATAAAGCCTATAAATAAACTATAATGAAAAAAATAAGTATATAAATATACGCCCTAACCAAACTAGCGGCCAAAATATAAAATTATAAACTAATCCACGCCTAGGAAATCTATATAAAAGTAATCCGAAGTGCTATCGCTTATAATATTTTAATTTACTATACGCTGATAGAATTATTCTAAAAACCGAAAAGACTAGCCAAGTAACTACATACTACGTAAGCGAACTACCTCCGCGTTATTATAAATATATATAAAGCTACTACAATTTATAATTTAAAAACGGAAACCTTTATACCCCTATTTAATATTTACTTTAATAAGAAAATAAAAGTATTTAAAAAAAAGATGAATTAAGGTAAACGTAAAAGAATTTATAAAAAAGACAACGGCTTAAATCGGATTAATAATATAATAATAATAAAAGAAGAGAGCGGTACTACCGGCAAATGAAGAAATAATGAAAGAATAAATAGAATGATAAATATTCGTAGAAAGTATTATTATTAAAAATAAAGGACGGACTTAACTAATATTTAAAGAAAGGGAAAAATAATTAAAAAATAATTATATAATAGGACTAAATCGCTAAATAATCGGTTAAAATAATTACCGTAACGCAAAAGTAGAGGAGGAACCTTAATACAATTAAACTTTGCGCCAACTTCTATAATAAAGTGTTAAACCGTTACACCTAATTTAATACTAATAATAAACCCGCTCCCCATTACGTCCCCAAAACTAAAAACTCCCTCCTCATTCAAATATATACTGGGAAAATAAATTTATACTCTTTCTTATTCGAAAGAAATATATTTGAAATAATAATACTATACTACCGCTGCAACGTAGGTAAAAAAACCGTCGAATACTTTATATTTAACTACTTCGAAATAACAAATTTTAAATTCCAATTTAAATAACTATCTAATAAAATAAAACTCTATTCCCTCCTCGATACCATAAAGGGAGCGGAATAATTCCTTAATTAAACGCTCAAACTTAATAAATTATAAGAGTATAAATTAATAATCCAACTAAAATTTAAATAGGAAAAAGAAACTTACTACAAAATTAATAATATATTAATATATACAACTATAATACGTACGTAACAGAACCGAAGCGGGGGCGGGACTTTCTATTTCTATTATTAAAACTATTATATAAATAGGCCAAAAAACCAAGTCCAAAACCTAATAATTCCTAATTTATTATTATTATTACTATTATTTCCCCCTATTCCTATAACCCTTATTCCTAATATATAATTCGAAATCAAAATTATATTGTAAACGCCGCGGGTATAAATCTTAACCCTCGTTCGAAAAAAAAAGTATTACTAAAATCGTAATCAACGTTACTAATGTTAAAATTGGAAGTAAAAATAGAAATCGCAATGGCTACGAAATGGAACTAAATTTAAATTTCTAAAACCATAACGCGTATAGAAACTTAATTAACCTTCTTCGAATTAAAAACAGATTAAAAGTAGAGGAGGAATATATATAATAAATTTTGAAGGGTAGAAAAATTCTCTCTTATTTTTATAAAAAATAAAACTAATTTAATATTAACGTTCGAATATATAATGGGCGCAAAGTTAGAAACTATTGAACTATATATATTAATAAATTAAAGTTATACGACCGGGGTGGGAACTGTAGTAGGAATTACTATAAAGACCGTAATAAGAATAATTATATACGTAACGAAAGGGTTACTATAACGAATTTTCTACTTTGCATATACTAATTTATAATTGCGTATAAAGGTAATAACTTAATTTAAAATAATATTCTAATTAATTATAAAATTAATATTTAATAATTCTTATGCAATGTAATAAAAGTATAAACATTCCTCCTTCAATTCCTTAGGGACCTTAATTTCTATTTTATTTATTCTATTACAATATATACAAATATTACCGGTATAAATAATTAGAAGAAAAAAGGAATTAGTAACGATTGTAAAATGAAGACGAAACGGAAAACGACAATTTATAAATACAAATAAAATAAACCGCAACGAAAGTATCCTTCTTAAATTAGGTATAGTGGGTAATAGCGAATATAATTTCTTAAAATTCGATTATACGCTAAAGAACGAATATATAATAGAAATATAATGTAATTCTCTTTTCGTACTTAGAATTAATAATAATTTTCTTACGTAGGGTAGAAATAAGCGTATTTATAATGGTTTTCGTTTTATTTTTATTAAGATTATAATTAATTTTAATTAATTTAATAATAAATTTGGCGACGTTAACTTCGCTATTGCTACGGGGGTTAAATTATTTAGCGTCAATTATTTTGGGTTTATCAGTAGGGTAAGGGTAAAGTAAAGGCGGCAGATAAGTAAAAAAAGAAAAAAAAAGGAGGAAATTTAGGAGAAGGGAAGCCCCCTTCTTATATTTACAAGAAGGAGAAAAGGGGATTTACCTAAAATTTTATAATAAAATAGGATGAAAAAAAAAACGAAACGTTAACAATATGGAAAGGGGTTTTTATATTACGACCGCTCCGAAATAATAGTAAGTATCATTATAGGAATATACAAATGGTTTTTTTAATGGGATAGTATGCCGGTAAGGGCAATTGTAACCGAAGGTATATTTATAATAGGCCCGCGACCGCCCCGGTCGCGCGGCGATAAAGAAGCGGGGGGTTTTCACCCGGGAATTACGGTTTTTCCTCCCGGTTTTGACCGACGAAGGACCGCGTGCCTATAAGGGCGACTAGTTAGATAGATAGTCAGCGTAAATAAGATCATTATTATTATACCGTTTTAAACGCTAGCCTCTTTTTCTTCTAACGCTCCTAATATAAATAGCGCCGTAGGATCTCAATCAATACGTATATATCATATTCGTTAATTAAAAAAGTACAAATTTTATTAAAATATAAAAATAATTTTAATACTAATAATTTCATAACTTCCTTCACAACGTTAATTACAATCACAATACAATAATTACGAACGGTTACCATAATTACAAACATACTTCTATAGCCTATATAGGGAGCTTCTTAGAATTTTAGGACGCTCGAGAGGGCAGTACTAGCTTACCAATAATACTAAAATTACATTTATATCAATATATTATACGTTCGCAAATGCTAACAGTTATAATAATATTTTTAATAGGTTCGTCGTTATAGAGTATTAAACTTACAACGGCTCGCTAATTTAAATTAGGAAAGTTCACCATATTACATCGCTACAATAATACCAAAAATAATAAAAACGCTAGGTAAAACGATAGCCAATATGCTAACATTAAAATGGTAGCTTTTTGGTGCAGATTTCGATAATTTACGATACGATGTGGTTGATATATATTAATTAAAACGGTTAAATTTAATTAATCTATCAAAATCCGTTAGAAAGTCGATATTGTGGCCAGCTCAATACAACTAGCGCGCCAAGACTGACAAGGCGCTTGAGTGTGGGAATGCTATATACAAAGTGGCAGGGGTAGAGCTGCATCCTTATCCTGCTTTAGGCATTCAGGAACAAACAGCCGCCAGCCTATCAAGTTGCACGATCCCCTGGTCTCGTCGTGAGCTCTTTCCGAGTCTCAGGGTCTGATATTGGAATATGATATAAAGTTGTTGTTTGCCTCCGGCCAACGCCAAAGTCGAGATCCAGAGCATCAAGGTGAAGCCATAAAGCAGTATCACCAAAGAACCTCGTAGGTTTCCGCTCTCATTACCAGATACTTGATTGAAGAAATAAACCATCTAGCACAACCCCTTTCACGCTCAAGTCCGGGAAAACCAATGAATTACTGTACAGGCTGTTTATGTTTTGTGTTATCCTGGCCTCATCATCGGGGACGACCTCCCCACACGCCCGAAGCTCTCACATCACTGATTTAACGCCAACCAATCGAACCCAGAGGAACCCTACTCCCCCCTTTGCTGCTCCCTCCAGTCCATCACCTCACCCCTCTTAGATCCTCCAAAACCGACCCCACCTTCGCCGTCTCTGAGTCCGACCTCTCATATTTTCCAACGCGATCCTACTCGCTCTTCGGCTCCAGCACAGAAACCACACCCTCTCTGCTAACAGCCACCAACTGCTTCGCCTTCTCTCCCCACTGCACCGCCACGGCGGGTGTGCTCGTCCTCAACGGCTCCGTCCACGACTTGCTAGCCTTGACATACTGCTGCACCGTGACACCCTGCGATCCGGCAGTGGCGAGATACTGGCCCGTGTAATCCCAAGCAAGGCCGGAGACGTCACCGGTCTGGAGCTCCTTGGCCCGCGCCGCGTCGCCTTCCTTGCGCAGGTCGAAGACGGTGACGGAGGACTGGCCGACGCCGGTGGCGGCGAACCAGAAGCCATTTTCGGAGAAGACGAGGGTCTTGACGGGGGCGCCGAGGGTGAAGTTGGCCATGCGCTGGAGGGTCTTGGTGTCGAAGATCTCGATCAGGCCGGATTGCGTGCCGGCGGCGAAGAGGTGGCCGTCGGGGTGGAAGGCGCAGGATGTGAGCTCTAATGTGGTTGTTAGTAAGCTGTACAGATAGGAGGAGAGAGATCGAATACATACCAGCATCAGTATAAACACGCGCCACACGCTGCAGCGAGTGCAAATCGTAAAAGATGATGCCCTTATCCACGCCCACCGAAGCAAGAATCTGCTCGCCAGGGTGCACCGCCAGACCAGTCACGGCACCAGCGTGCTCCGTAACAGAACCAGTCTCGACACCGCCCTCAACAGCCTTGACACTGCCCTTCGAAGTGGCCGAGACGACCTTGTTGCCGATCCATACCGTGGCGGTCACCGGCTCGCCAATCTCCAAAGAGCGCTCGTGTGCCTTGGCCTCGACCGAGTAGAGGTCCACTATGCCATCCAATCCACCAACTGCCGCGTAGCCAGCGTTGAGAGCGAGCGAAGTCGCTTGTGTAACGGGGAGATCTGTGTAGGCGGTTTGTTGCAGGGCGGAAACGTCTTCTGTGGTGGCCCAGCCTTCGGGGACTGGTCGCTTCTTGCGGCCCTTTTGCTTCCTGCAATCGTGATTGTCAGTATTTCGTCTTGCAAGATGGTGGAGCGAAGTGAAGTACTCGGCCTGAACCTGATCAACATGTGCAGCCAACGCCTCGGGCAGACCCTCGCTATCCACCGCCATAGCATCACCAGTCGCGGCACCGCCAGCAGAAGCCGTAACTGTGAGTCTGGAAAGGGCCTCGCGGGCCTCGTCGCGCTCCTTGGTCAAGCGAGCAATCACGCGAACGGCGGCATCGTTCTGGTAGAGCGCCGTGGCCAATTCCTCCCTTGTCCTCGCCAACTGTTGCCTCGTGTTGTATGACTCTAGTACCAGGGCATCCCATTCGTCTTGGAAGGCTTTGAGCATCGATGGGAGGGATGTGAATTGCGGGGGGCGGGGGCGGACGATCCGATTCGTCTTGATGGGGAGGAGGTCTTCGACGTCTAGCTCTTCATCGGTGCCGGGCTCTTTGTGGTTCTCTTGGATGTACTTTTCTATCAATCGCTTCTCGAAGACAGCGCCTGGGATGTGTCAGCATGGTATCACAGTCGGGCTGTCGTGGGAACGTGGGGTGTTGCTGGATAAATGGTGAAAGCGGTGGGAATAGTGGGATCGGTGATGGTGACAACAATGACGAAGAGAGCGTACCGGTCTTCCTCGACACAACAGGCTCCTCGGGAACCTCTCCGGATACTGCGTCAATCGGTTAGCACAACCTCGCGCAGGATTAAACTTGGGTTCGGACATACGTGCGCAAAGCATCTTGACAATATGACTGCAATGCGAAATCTGTAAAATGGGTTGTTTGGTTCAAGTCGCGATGTCAACGTCGTCCTCCAACTTTTTTGTTGCAACGCGCCACGGCCAGCAGGCAGGCGACAGCCTGGAGCTGGATGGACGCTACTTGGAAGTTTGGCGGCAGGCAGAGAAACGATTGCCAAGCCTGAGCCACACCGAGCCGCACACCTCGGTGTGTGGCCAATCATATTACAGGAATACATTAAGGTACTTTCGCTATGTATCTGTCATTTGGTAATTTCAACCTCAACACCATGCCCAACATCAACGGCATCACATCAAAGTCTAGCTTAAAATCTACACATAAATACTTCCCTTCGTAACCACAACCGCCGTTCCCCCCAAATACAAATCCTTCACCTTCACCTCCCCATTCTCCTCCACCGCCGTCGCCTCAACCTCAATCTCACTCTGCCTCCCCATCTCCACGCCCTGCGTCAACTCAAACCTCGCCCCTCCAATCTCCCTCCCACTAACCGTCAAGTAACTCGCCAGCGTGCACGCCGCGCTGCCCGTAGCCGGATCCTCAAACCCCAACTCCACCATCCTCGTCCTAAACCTGAACTCCTTCCTCCCACTCTCCTCATCCCTCCTCTCCTCCTCCGTCGGCACATAATAATACCTGCACACAAACCCGCCCTCCCACTCCCCCCTATCCAACAATCCCTCCATCTTATTGAAATCCAGCCTCTTAGCCGTCGACACCTTCGCCAGGTGCTCCAGACTAGGCAGCTTAGCGAGCAAGAAGGTCATGCCGCGGACGATGCTGACCACCGGCCCTGTCAACTCCGCTTGTCTGATCTCGGGATCATCAGATAGCGCGGCGTTGATCATGTCCCTCGTCTCCGCCTTTACTGCCCCGCTCCCCAAGATTCCACCAAGCGTCTGAGAATGAACATGCACAGCATGCGGAATAGTAGCCTTCACCCTCTCCCCCTCTCCCTCCAACGGCCTAATAGCAATCGGCCCCGCCTTGGTAACAAGCGTATCGACGTGCTTCCAGCCCAAATGGTTCAGGACCAAGTACGCGGTGCCGACGGTGGGGTGTCCAGCAAAGGGGAGTTCCTCCTCGATGGTGAAGATGTCGATCTCCCGGCTTGTAACAGACAAGCCATCGCGCGCTTCGTCGTCGAGCGTGTGCAGGAAGACGGTCTCGGAGAAGTTGAATTCGCGGGCGATGCGCTGCTTGACGTCTTGTGTGAGAAGGGGACGCTGAGAGGCCGGGATGAGGACTACCGCGAGGGGGTTGCCGAGGTAGCGTGTGGAGGTGAAGACGTCGACGGTTAGGTAGGTGAGAGTGATGGGTTGGGAGGAGGAGGCCATCTTGGATGTTTTGTGGTTGTTTGTTTCGGTGCGCGAGTGCGCTGTGTCTGGCTGGGTTGGTGAGTGGTTGACCTGAGACTGAGAGGTTGAGTGCTGCGGTGCCTTTGATGATGTTTAGATTTTTGAGATAAACCTCAACGTCACTGTTACGGTGGTGAGGTTTATGTCTCGAGAAAGAATGGAGTCATCCCTCGATGAATCACGGCTGAAAGTGGGGCAGCTCCAATTGCTGGTGAGGTTTCGTCTCAGTGGTCGCGTCCTCACATCAACATCACAGTCATTCGACTTACTAATCCTCGACGATTACCCCGAGCATCGGCCTTCTTACGTGATGTCGATGATGATATCCCCATATTTTGTTCCTCGTCACATTTTCCCCATATCTCTTCCTTGCTTTGTTTGTCGCCATCTTTCTTTCCCTGCATGTTCTTATTGGCAGGCCCCCTTTGTGGTTTGATTCCCCTCGTTAGTCTTGTCATCGTCGTCGCAACTGTTTGTCTTCCGCGCGTCCTCTCTTGGTTGAGGCCTGCGCATGTAGGCAATGGTGGCCAGTGGCTGATAAACGGCCTTTTCTTCGCATGCTTGCGTTGGGGCCTTCGCAGTCATGGGCCGGTGGGCAGCTCCTGCCCTTTCCGCCTGTTTGCTACTTATGCTAGGGGTGGTGTGATGATAGTAACCATTCTCTATCTACTACTATCCAATGATCTCTTCTGCTTTCTGGCTGTTCAACCAGCACCGCCAACGCGACGACATACAAAGTTCCGTCCTACGCAGTTCAGAATGGTTTGTATGAGATTTGGCGGGAAATTCTCTTGGGGTTGAAACCCCCGGATGCCGCAAGCTCGTCCATGTCATTGCGTACCGCCCGATCCATGGGCTTCAAACCCAAGAGCCGAAACACTTCATTCACTAACTTCGTCGAGCTGACGTTCGTGCGTCCATCAACCTCGAAGAGTTTTGCCAGATTGACATAACCCGACTCGTCATCTTTCAGCTTCTTGAACAACTCGTGCATGAGCTGTGAAGCAGTCAATTTGGGCTTGAGCCGGTCGAGGCGGATGCCATCCTTCTTGAAGCAGTAAAGTACGAGTGCAGCTACACCAGCAGCCACGGCTGTGGCGACTGAGTTACCCCCGTCTTTGATATGCTCGAGTACGTACTCGCTGGGGAAGACATAATCCGTCTTTTCTTTCGTGACGTACTTCTGCGCATGACAGAGGAAAGTAGCGGCACCAATCCTGCGAGACTGCGCGCACTCAGCTGGATAGTAACGGATGTCGTCCGGGTCGTTGAACCTAGTGTCCCTGGCAGCACAATACATGATCGACTTGCAGTTGGCATCACCCAACAATTTGTTGAGCTTCTGGGCGGCATCATTCACCTTATCAGTGGCGACCTTGAAACTCCCACTCATGGAAATGATGTCGACTTCGCCATCGATCGCCCATTCGACTGCCTGTGTATGTAACGTGCAAAGTTAGTTCGCAACTGGTACCTGGTAAGGAGGAAACCATGAGATGATGCGGCATAGGAAACACGTACAGCTGCCGATTGCTCTGGACTGAATGCAAATTCCGTGAGTCTGAGAGCGGAATTCTTCTGGCTGTCGATCTTGGCAACATGGATTTCCACGAAGGGGCAAATGCTGGATATGATCCACGCCATCTTACTGCCGTGCCCACCCGTTGATGTATAAAACGGTTCCCGCTCATCTTCGGGCGAGTTAGGGGGGAACCCGTTACGTGCAAGATAGGTGCCTATATTCTTATACGCAGGGTCCACGCCGTCATCCAACAGAGCCACCTTGATGAAAGGAGGATTCCGTTTGCCATCGGCCGCGTTAAAGAGTTTCAAGCCAAACCACGTGGCGACTTCAAAGCCAGGGTCTTTTCTGCGATAACATCAGATATGTTGCTTGTTGAAGGCCACGCGGCCTTTCGTCTGGATGCTTGGGTACTTACGGTGAATCGGCTGCGAAGCTGTGAGCATTATGATCCCCTGAGAACCTATTGCCCGAGTCGCCCAGTCCAACTATGTCCGTTTCGACTTCCGGAGCTACTGTGTCCTCCGTTGCTTCTTTTTTTGCCGCCTTTTTGTCAAGATCGATGCGGTCAGCCTGAAGCCATGATGACAACACGCCTGAAGTCAACAGCCTCTTGAGTATGTCCTCTGACCCGGGCGTGGTGCGAAGTCCTTCCTGAGTGGACTGGATCAGTTTTTTTAACTCTAGAGTCTCTCGCTTCTTGCACCGGTCCTCGTTGAGCAGCCGGTACTGCTCCAGGAGATTCTTCTTAAATTCCTCAAGATTGGCTTTGGTTCGTTTGTCGCTATCGAGCCCCTGGATAATGCAGTAATTGAGAGCCGTCAGCATAGATTTCACTTATCATTTTGGGTTTCAGTTTCAGACCACGAACCTTGTTGACCGTTACATGGACCCTTCTCAGCTAAAACCAGGCAAGTGTCAGACAAATATTCTTGGTGAGTTTTCTATTACCAGTGCCTCTTGGGCGACGTACCTCGCGTAATTTGACGAGACCATTTTGATCGGACCAATGCCGAAGCACAGCGTTCATCCCGCTCGAATGAAGACGGAGGTCTATGACATTTTTCGCCTTTTGGATGGTGGAAATAGACATGTCAGGCTTATCCCACTCCAAGAATCGAATTTCATCCATGTACCCGAGGCACTTTCGACTGTGTCTTCATTGCATGATCGCTGGGGGTGGTCTTTTACCACCAACTTCAGGATCTTTGTGACTTCCTTCTTTTCTTTCAACCAGCGGAAAACCTCGACGAGATTGGCCGCGTCATGATCGTGCTCTTGATCAGATAAGCATGCATCGTCGGGGCTGTCTGGTTGGAGGCTAAGCTCAACGACGGCAAGCCGAGATTCAAAATCCAGAAAGTTGAAGTTCTTGGTAGTTTCAGCTGTGACGCGATTTTTGAGTCGGAACGTCCCGTGTTTTCGGTCTTGGCCTATGTTTTGGCATTCAGCAGCGCCCTAAGAATTGGATATTGAGTGGTGGTGTGGTTTATACTTACGTTTGTTGCGATTCCCAGCTTTCTTGATGTCTTGGAAGAAAAACCGAGTAATGCACGGATAGTCCGCCGTCAGCTTGTATAACCTGTCCTCCAGATAAGTGACCGCCTTGTCTGAATTTTTGCAAACGTAGTCCCAAACATCCTTGTGACTTCCAGTTGTCGACTCAGGGCGTTCCTTTTGAGCATCACTTCCCTTCTCTTGGCCATCGCGGCCTTTGCTATCCTTCGATCTTTGGCTCTTGGTGGCGTATCCTGTGGTTGTCTTCTCCTCCGCAGGGCTGGACTTTTCATTGATTCTCCCGTTGGCGTTCTCAGCAGTTGATGCTTTCTTTTCAGCTTTCCTTCTCTCAGTGATTTCCTCCCTTGTTGCCCAATGGAACGAGTAAGGGGACCGTCCCGTGGAGTTGTGCTGTGTCAAAACCTCCGGAGCTCCTTTTAGCAAGGCCACCATGAGCGCTGCCATGGAACTAAAATCTGGAAGCTTTTCGTTGGCTTGTTTGTTCTTGTGACATGTGAGACACAACTTATTGTGTGGAGAAGCAGTTGTAGGCCCTGGAGATGGGCCTTTATGTTCGAGACAAGGAATGGTCCTCCTGGCAAAGTTCTTGAAATGCAGTAAGTCGTGCAATGGTGTGTTCCCGTCCGAATCTGGATCTTCTGAATTGCGCCCTTGTTCCAGAGCATTCGGTGTTGAGTCCGCTTTGACAAAGCCAATGATCTTCTTGGCGTCGTGTATGTTGTTTCTTATGAGGAGGTGGACGCAGTTCTCGCCTTTAGCGTTCGTCTTTGCGATCGCTTCACTTGGGTCTTGCACCAGTTTACATATCAGACTCGTCAGACCCTTACATTGATCGCGCTCTCCTTCGGCGGCTATGGCTCTATGCAGCAAGGGGGTGTTGTCTTCCGATCTGCAAAATTGGCTGGGATCTTGTTCCAAGATAAGCGTGAGAAGGAACTCCGTGATACGCAGGTCTGTACTGCTGGCGCTCTTGATGACTTGATGAATGAAAGACTTTTCTGAAGGCTCATGGCCACCATTTGAAGCCTCGATGCTGAGACGCTGTTTGATCATAGACATGTAGAGATCCCTTCGGTGCTGCAGTCTCTTGTCTTTCTCTGACTTTGCTAGGTCTCCGTCCTGCGGTTTCTCGGTTCTGGGCAACGTGAGGATTTCGTTAAGCATATCATGCAGTTCATTGTCGTGTGTAGCCTCCCACCAGGGGTCTGGTATTGAATCTCGAGGCCCTGACACATCATCCTCAACACCATTGCTGTGAACTTGTGTAGTGTCGACCTCGTTATCGCTGTCCGCCCACAAATCATCTTCCGAGTCCGACTTCTCCATCTTGAGCGTTGGCAAGAGCGACCAGGTAGTGTTCGGTCGTCAAAGAGAGTAAATGGCGCTGGGTGTAAGACAGGTAATGAACCTGCTTAGATCAGGTTTGGTGTTTCTCGTCTTCGGATGGGAGTTTGTGTTGGATGGATGTAGAAGCAACGGAAGTCAAGGTGCCCAAACAAATTTTAACTACACGCCAAAGACGACATCGAGAGGCAACGGCGCAAGCGTAAAGGACGGCCGGGAAGGCAGGTTCAACACACGACATTGCTCACTCGGATGGTCCTGCTTGAATAGGTGCGCTAGACCCCTTCATTTCCCATCTTCCATTCGAGTAGAACCGTTACCTTGATGCGGGGTTTGAGGCGTCTCGCAATACATGTATGTACTGCAGGGTGGTTGGTCGGGTCATCGGATGACTGATTCCTGAACATCGTGCTTCTACCCAACTGCATGTTGTGTAGTACAATGCATACAAATTTCGTCTTCTTATCTCGGCTATCAACCCATCATCCGTCTAGAAACGCATTCACGTCTGAGTGGAGGCGAGGTGCAGTGTGGTTCAGTTTGTGACTTATCATTCCTGGGTTTTGTCTCTTTCCAATGAACTCAGTGCCTCTCGTTTCGGAAGGAGCCCTCCAGCCTCTTTGAACGTTGATATCAGCAATTTCCGCCGTGGCCTTGGTAATGTCTGACGAGTGATGACACCTGCCCACCTGGAGTACGGAAAGGAGGGGTAGGAACTGCCGAGTAGACCGGAGCACAAGCGGCTGAATCTTTCCCAGCTGTCAACCCCGATGTGTACGTCGCTGATTCCTTCCAGTTTCGCAGAAAGGCAGCTGACGACGTCTCATCAACGCGAGACCTCTTTCCTTCCGGTCATGCATGTTGCTACCCCTGCGATTTTTCCCAAGGACCATGTCTTCTCGGCGGATGAAGGAAAAGTACCATTAACAGAGAACTTTATCTTCCTTTCACTCTCTTCCCCATGATTTGAGCGAATAAGTTCCAAGGCATCTAGCTTTACTTCACGCTTCAAGTGTAATTTCTTCTCCCGCTTACTGCATGTGGTAGGTAATGACCGTGATGTAGTGTGACATACTGATAAGGGAACTCGACGCTGTCTCAATCTCATATCTAGAGGTACCGCTGAGAAGGAACTGGAAACCTGACAACCTCACCAAAAGATGCTCATTTGTAGTTCTAGGCTAAAGAACAGTATCGTGAGTATTCTGAACGCTCCGGACATCGACTTCACAAAGAATCCGAGTGGCTACTTGGTAATTGGGGACTGTACTTTGGATGCTTGAGCAGACTTGTGCCTGATGTTCTGTACTGTTCCGGATCAGTAACGTCCAGTATGTTGGATGCCAGATTATTTTTCTTTGTGCTTGATGGCGACTTCCTCGAAGAATGGCCGTTGCCCCCCCTCGTGGGACGTGATCATCTATGTTCTAACGGCGGCGTCTACGGCAGGCGGACCTGGCGGCTAGGGGTGATTGCATGCTTTGTGAATGGGGGTAGATGGCATATTTTCAATCGAAATCCGACACTCAGATCAATAGAAGTAGGTTATCAAGTGAGGATGATGACGAGTTGCGCAGAGCGCGCTTGCAGTCAGGGTGTGAACCCCTCGAGGGTCGTCGTTCCTTCCCCCTTTATGATTGTTTACTTTGGGTGGGGCTTCCAAGGATGCCACAAGAAGCGCCCAACTGCCACTGGTTTCTTTTTTTCCCGGTCAAACTCGTCCTATTCAGGTCTCGAAACACAAGCATCATGAGCACTCTGGCAGCGGCTGATCAATAACACCGGACTGAGTACTTGTTTCTGCGTCCAAAACTATTGTTTTCATCTTTAGATCGGTGCAAAGGTGGTCCAGAAGTAGGTTAGCGAATTCCTGTCGGTACCTTAGTTGGAAAATCCCGGTTTTCCACCCACTGTAAGCCCCTGTAAGGCCCTTCCTTCCTTTGTGCTGAATTCGCTTCGCTTGCTCATCGACGTTTCCTTTTTTGCACAGTCACCAATCACCCGAAATGCTGCCAGAATTGCGGAGGAATTGAAGGAAGGTACAGGCTTTCATTTAGAGGAGTTGCACCATTGCAAGAGCTTGAGAAGGTGGTTAAATCGAGGAGTGACGAATGTGACTTTTGCCATTTGTTCGTGATTTCCGTGAGTGGTAGTACAGCGGTTCGTCTCAGCCACAAGAAAGATAAGCCAACTATGCGATAAGCGGCCAACGTACATAATACTTAGCAAGCAGGCCGACCGACCTCCGCAGTTGCTTTAATTCTTTGTACAGATGCCACTAGCCACATCCAACGAAGATCATCCCAAGTCCACTCTTTTTTTCCGGCGGGGCAGGCAACTTGTCCGATTCGTCAATTCGCCATGAACCGATTCTCATCTTGATGCTGCCACGGCTTCTCTTCTCATCAACAACGACTCGCTCGATCGCTTTGTCGATTCATAACAAGCGCTCGACCCTGAATAAACTTCAATCTAACATGTCCGGGAAACCGGACATGCCATCGTGACCATGGTTGCCTCGGGCCTCTGCCGCGTGGCGGCGACTGCACGCGTACGGCGACCAGCATCATGGGTCACCTTCAAGTCGGCCGTTATCGTCCACCATCCTCTTCGCCATCACCTGGCCCATCGCATCCGCATTCACCCTCACCACCGCGAGTTTCTCCGCCCAACAACGGCTTCTTCTGCTCCACAACTGGCCGTGACGGAACAACCAGACCGTCTGGCCCTTGAAGCTCCGCCCTGCTTGCCATCCCGATCACTTAAGGCAAAAAAGTGGCGAAAAATCCGAGATGCTACAAGTAAGGCTCTGGAGTGCCTCACTGATATAAACAAAACTCAACAAGATATTCAAGAGGCTCTCCAAGTCCTGGTCCGTACGTACAATTCAGTATCTGGGTTCTACACAGACATCAAGGTCCATACAACCGCGTACAGAGACTTTGCAGCTTGTCGTACCGCCGTGGACATCGCCGGATCTGCGGTAGAGGCCCGGGAAGCCCTGTGGGAAGCCGATGTCAATTTAAAGGAGGCGCAAAAGGAGCTAGACCTTGCCTTGGCTCCAGGAGCGGATGCCCAGGATGTAGAACTCAAAGCCGAGCAGGTCAGAACCTGCGAAGCTGCGCGTACGGCGCGTGAAAAAGAATTCAGAGAGGCCAACGAGGCAGTCCTAGAGTCATCGGGGATTTTCCTCAACACACCACATCCACAGACGCGCAAACAAGCGGAGATTAAGAGGGAGGACTATGAGTGGATGCTTCGTGCCGTTGAGGAGATACTAAAGTATCGTGATTGGTTATATATGAAAGCTAAGCAACTCCGCGCCGCCTCCATTGCTGCAGACAAACTCAACCGTTCCTGTGAAGCAGGGAAAGAAACGGCAGCGACGCCAATCGAGCAATCGGCAAACGAGCAGATAGAGCAACCGGCCGAGGCAGAGCAACACAATGACATGGAAAACGTCAGAGAGCGACCTACACCAATCGAAGAGTATGAAGACGAGCCCGAGCGAGTCAAAAACCTCGAATCATCCAAGCTCTACCAGCGCCCGACGATCAGACTCAACGAGACGACCACCGAAACCAAGTCCATCCAGCTCAAGGATTCTCTGGTCGACCACTACCCCCCTATCGCCTTTCCGTTCAAAGTAACAACAACCGTCATGGAGACGCTCCATAAGCTTTTCGAGGAGTGCTGCTACCAATTTGCCCTCGCACACATCCCCCATCACCTGGCCGAGCGAAATTGGGACTGCCCCGAAGCCGTCGAGTTAAGCACGTGGCACTGGACCTTCAGCGAGCTGCTCCGGAGCAATCCCCGCTATGTCTTCGCGTTCGACACCGACTACGCGTTCGAAAAGGCCGTGCCCGCGAGGCGCCGCGTCACCTACGTGTACAATCACCTTCTCGCCCTCAAGGTTATTCGTAACCAAACAGTCCATCCTAGGCCCCTTAACCCCATGGTGCTGCCGAAAATACTCCGCCGCGCGGGCGAGCTCGCGCGCCTGTTCCGCGACCGCCGCCTCCAGCAGGACATCCAGCAGCTCTCCTCCGAGATCACTCGCGTTTTGGCGGCCCTGCAGACCCGCCGGGCCGAAAGCCTCAAGGCAGGCCGCACGCATGAACTCTACCACCAGATCGTGGCTGACAAGGCCGCCGTGCAACGTATCCGGAATCGACTGCCCAGCCCACAAGTCTCGGCCTCCCAGGAGCGCTGGGCCGCGTGCGCCATGTTCGAAAAGGACATAGAACGCCTGATGGAGGCGTTACCGGTCGCTATCCAGGCAGATGAGGAGGCCAGGCTCCAGGCAGAACTCCCGCCGCTCGTCGAGATGGCAGAGAAAATGGCCGCGCAGGTGGAAAAGAGGAACGCGGAAATGCAGCTAAGGCTGGAGGCCGTGCGCAAGTCGAGATCGGACATGGTGCTGGGAACGATGCAATTTGTGTTGGACAAGCATGTGCGTAGGATGAGGAACGGGTGGTTTCCGTATTTTAAGCCGTTGGGCCGGGAGAGGGAGCTTGGTGTCGTGGGTTCGCCTCTTCCGTCGGCTGAGCAGGGGGGCCCGCAGGAGAAGCTTGAACCGCATGAGCGTCATGGGCACCAGGAGCATCCGGAGCCACAGGAGCAACAGGACGAAAAAGCCGGTCTGGGACTATCCTGTCTGGAAAAAACGTCCCACGCGCGCAGAGCGATGATCAGGAACGCCTTGGCTCGGGATTTACAACGGGAGGAGCGCGAATGCGAACGCGAGCAGGCCAACGCTGATGTTGATGCACACGCCGACGCCACGGGCATGCCTACAGAGGAGGAACGATTTAGGCCAGGATGTGTACCCTCTATACCAGAAGAAGAAATGTGGAATGCTGCTCGAAAAGCAAGTGAAGAGGAGAACCCTTTCTGGGTGCAGCCTTCCTTCGGTGCCAGCCAATACTTGACGGAGCAGCAACGGTACGAGCCTCGACAGAGAAGGCAACGGCAACGGCAACAGGAGGAGAACCTCGAGGCTGCCAAGTGGAATGACGAGGCTGCAGACAAGTTCGAAAGCGGCGACATGGCCCCAGACGGCTACCGCGCCACTACCAGCGCGTTCTTCGAAATGCTGGAGAGAAGGGAAAAGCCACCTGTGGAAGATTTCAAAAAGAGGGCTATGAAGGAGATGGCAGCTGCGGCGGCGAAGGCGACGAAGGCGGAGCAGGAAGGGGAAAATGAGGAGCAAGTCGAAGCCGGAGAAGACCGCCGCACGTTCATGAAATTCTTGAATGAATACAAGGCTCTGTCCGAGGAAAATTTCATGAAGAAGGGCATGTCGCGGCGAGCTGCGGGCCTTGCGTACATGAAGCAGAGTAGGGCACTAGAGAGGGAGTACATATGGCAGAGAAGGACACTCGAGAAGCAGATGAAAATATTACAGGAGGAGATATTCATGATAGGGAAGGAGATGAAACTGTTGAACATGGAAAAGAGAAGGCTAGAGGTAAAGAGGGAGAGGGAGAAAGCGAAGGGGGAGATGGCAAAGGCGGAAAAGAAACAGGGAAGAGACGATGAGGACAAAAACAAAAACGAACTCGAACCCGCCGCTGTCGACGATGTCGACGATAAAGCTGCTATCAACGATGGCATAAAGGCACTAGCGGAGTTGGCTATAAAGAGGAAAAAACTCATGTTAAAGATTGAAAGCCTCAAAGAGAGAAAGCGAACAATAAGAGGGGTCAGCAAAAAGTTCAAAGAACTCGACTCGGCCCGGCCCATCGTCTGGATCAAGATCGACCACACAGAAAAGGCCGCCACCGATGGCCCGTCCAGTCACTTGGTAGCAAAGGAGGCTGATTTCGATAGCCCTATTGAAACGGGTCCGGAAGCCGCTCGGGATGGAGGTGACCTCCCCGCAGTCGGCAGCGAGGTTACGGATGTCGATGTTAATGTTGATACCAATACCGGCACGGAGCTGACCGAGACCGAGGCCGGGAGGACTAGTATTGAGGAGGGGGTAGTTGACGCTGATGTCGAGGGTGCCTCGTTTGAGTTGTCTCCCGAGGAGGCGGCGATGAAGGCGTTTCTTGATGGACGGCAGACTCAGACTCAGACTCGGACTCAGGCTGAGGCTGAGGCTGCGCAGGAGGTTGCTGAGGAGGTTGCACCCAAGGATACTGGTCTCGAGGCTTCTGTTGAGGCTATCCCTGCCGGAGAGGTTGCTGTTGAGAAGGTTGCAACTCTCGAGATCTCTGTCGTCGAACCTTTTAACCCTGAGACCACCGCCCTCCAGGAGGTTACTGCTGAAGAGACGGCCCTGACAACAACATCTGTCAACGAGGAGACCCCACCACTCTTCCTTCCGACGCCGAGACCCCCGCGGGGGGAGGTCCTTGACGAATCTAGCTCTCTACGTCTCCCGAAGAGGTCTCTAAGGACTCTACCTCTCTACCTCTGCCGAAGAACGTCTCGGCCCTAACCAGTCGTGGATGTGAAGGAGGAGGTGAAGGAGAGGGTGAAAGAGGAGCAAAAGTGATGTTATAGCTAACTATTTGGGCAATGGGTGTGATAATGTGTAGGATAGTGTTGTCCCGTTTTGTTTTCTTCGAGTTTTTGTCATGTTCCTGTTTGGTAGCTTTTTGCAATTTGTTTGCGATGTTAAAGGGATAAAAGGGCCCAGTCCGAAAAAAAATAAAATCTTGAACTAAAATATGCGTTTTCGACCAGTAAGATCTGCTTGAGTATACATGTATTTACAATCGTGGTTTGTCGACCTTCGTTCGAATCAAAAAGGGGATCGTGAACTGGTCCAGGAAGCGAGAAGATCATCACCGTGGTTCGTTGCCTACCGGTCCATGCCACGATGCCACGCCTCCATGACGCCGCGGTGGCAGTTATGGCACACCGAACCCAAAGTTCGCAAACCCCAACTCGGATCTACCTACCCTCACATGTCCCAAAGCACCAAACGCGGTATCCCCATTTGAAGCACGGAAAGGCAGTGCCGCAGTGTCTTGCATGTGCTGCGCATCTATCTGCTTATGCGCATTATCGTCGGTACAACCACACTGCTGCACAAGATCCGCTCAAGATTCGCTCGAGGTCGGCTTGTGCCTTGAGGTCGGTCGGATAGTGCGAAGTGCGAGGACTTTTTACGTACCCCGTTCGAACCTAAATGACAACTGAAGGACCGAACGACAGACAGAGCTGCAATTGTCACTGGCTCCCATCGGACTGGACAAATCGGGAAGCGAAAGAGGAAGGGTGTGTGTGCGGGAGGGAGGGAAGGGTAGGGTAGGTGCAGTTGCAGTTGCAGTTGGTTGTTCCTTGTTCCTGGGGAGCTGGGCTGCTGGGTTTCTGAATGGAGATGGCAGATGGCAGATGGCAGGCTGCAATGCACTCCGCAGTTTTCTGGGATTCTGCACTTGGTAGTGTACAACCATAAGGCAGCGGGAAGGGAAGGGTGGGAAGGGTTGATCTGTCTCGGAGTTTGGATGTCTTGGTTGGATCCCCCCATTCCATTCCCCCGCGTTCGTGAACCGTGTGATATCTGGGAGCGGTAGAACCCTTCCTTTCTTTGTGTTCGGTGGACTCGGAATTTGCAACCATTCAACAACATCTGGATGTTAGGCAAACACGTTCGACGAAGAACTGGAATCGAGTCATGGTGGGTTCCGAGTTGTTGCTATTGTTGTTCAAGATGCCCGGGCGCCAAGTTCACGCTGTCCCCCTCCCCTCCTTCCCAGAATCACCAATGATGACAAGTCTACAGGGCCACTATACGCCAAGCGTAAGACTGGGGAACATTACCTATGGGGTAACACCTGCCTGTTTTCTCACCACTACCACCACTCCAGGCGCTCCCACCATTCGCAGCGGGAAAAGATCCGCAGGAAGGTGTACTCGGGGATGGAAGGCTCTGAGGCTGAAGAGATGTGCGCCAAGACGTGGAAAGCGGCAGTGCCCGCCACATGATCCGGATCTACCAAAAGGGGACTCCATCAATGGGCCATCAATGAGACAACCGTCAGCACAGTTGCCGCAACTTGCCGCTCTCGACCAATGTTGTTCGCATCTTCAAGACCTTCCTCGGACGGGGGAAGCATCGACGTAACAGCCGCACTTTCCTCCCTACGGAACGGCAAGCCCAAGCCCTGCCAAGGATTCACCACCGCCGAGAGGGAACGGGGGGATCCATCACCAGCCAGCGCTTAGCCTATCTCCTTTGGGCTCTGAGGTGCCTCTATTCCGCTTCGAACCCTAGCGCCGTATGCACTGTAGATCCCTTCCACCAGCCCACCAGCCTTGGACGATTCTAGCGGTGTTCAGTGGTCTGACACTGTTTTGGACTTTTGGGTCACATCCGACAGGCTGGGTTTGACGAAGTTCTACACCGAACTTCCACTTCGTCATACTTACTCTGAGTGACAGAGTAGGGGTACTTAAAGACGGGACGGTCCGCGATCTTGTGCCAGTTTAGAAGCTGGGAACATATTCTGAGGCTGACGCATTGCTTTGTTTGGTTTGAGAGACGAGACTTTACCATGACGAACCAGAACGGTCAGAAAGACCAGCAACTGGCTCCTCCAACGCCGGATTACATCACACTGGAAGGGGATGACGAGGGGATGGAGACTCCTAGCGTACATGCTGGGCCAAAAGCGAAGCCGAAGCGGATTATAGTGTGTTGTGATGGAACGTGGATGGATTCATTAGGGAAGAGAGGGTGAGTATTCCTGGATTCTTCACCACGACCAGAAGCTGACACATGAAGTAGAGAAGAACCACCATCAAACGTCACCCGCATCTCACGTGTCCTGCGCCGAACCTGTTACGATGGCACTCACCAAGTCATTGCCTACGTTCCCGGCGTCGGAACGAGTAACAAGCTAGATTCCATCACCGGCGGCGCTTTTGGCATGGGACTTGACCAGGTACCCCCCCCCCCCCCCCCCCCCCCTTCTTCTCCCCTTACCCACCCACTTCCATCCCATCTCAACTCACTCACTTACTAACACCACCTAGGACATCCGCGAAGTCTACAACTTCATCTGCACCAACTACGTCGACGGCGACGAGATCTTCCTCATCGGCTTCTCACGAGGCGCCTTCACCGCCCGTTCCACCGCCGACATGATCGCCTCTCTCGGCATCCTGACGCCCGACGGGCTAGACCGGTTTTATTCCGTGTTCAACGATTACATGTACATGGGCACTCCCTCACGGAACAAGACCGAGTTTATCGTGCCCGGTCTGCCCGAGTATAGGGGGCAGAAGGGCCAGGAGAAGAATGAGTGGGAGGCGGAACGGACGAGGATTTACAGGGAGCGGATGATTGAGCTGGGGTATACGAGGGATAAGTTCAGGGATGGGAAGACGGATATCACGATCAAGGCGCTGGGGGTGTGGGATACGGTTGGCGCGTTGGGGATTCCGCCTGCGCCTGTTATTGGGGTGAGGGGGTCGTCTAACCAGTGGGCTTTTACCAATACTCAGATCTCGGATAAGGTTGAGCATGCTTTTCAGGCTCTGGCGCTTGATGAGCCGCGGTATGCTTTTAGGCCGGCCTTGTGGGAGCGGCTACCGGGGAGCAAGACGAATCTGAAGCAGGTCTGGTTTCCGGGGACGCATGCCAATGTTGGAGGGGGTTGGTATGATCAGCAGATGGCTGATATCACGCTGGCCTGTACGTTCCCCTTGGCTGTTTCCCCTTTCCCATTTCCCCTTTCCCATTTCCCCTTTCCGACGCTATACTGACTATCGAATCCAGGGATGTGCGACCAACTCTCGACCCTCGGCGTCGAATTCAACCTCACACGGATGCACTCCATCTTCCTCGACTCCCTTCGCTACTCCGCCGTTCACCCATTTCCCTACTCACCCCCCTCCTTCGCTCAATCCCTCCTAACTAAAGGGAAATCCACCATCTCCAAACTCCTCACCATCGGCAAACCCTCCTCTACCTCCTCCCGTCCCTCCTCCTCTTCGCCCTCATCCCCTCGAAGCTCCATCTCCTCATCCCACTCTCGGTCCTCCCACGCCAAATCCCAATCCATCTCCTCCCTCTCCAACATCAAAGTCCCACCCGCCATCCCCTGGGCCCGCCCGCCTCTCTTCCACCCACCCCCCTCCTCTCACCCCTCCACCTCAAAACCCAGCGGCGGTCTAATCCGCGACATAGCAGAATGCACCCCTCTCCACACGCACTCCCACCCCCCACTAGCCTCCACCCCGTCCACCTTAATCCAACTCGGCGCCCGCCCCTACGCCCTCGGAACCCTCCGTCTCCCTTCTACTACAAGTATCACCACGCTCGCCGGCCGCACCGTCCGGCGCCCTGGACTCTTTTTGAGGGTAGACGAGGACACGAACCAAGACACCCCCCACCCTCTCCTCTCAACAGGCGAAACGATTCATTCTTCAGTCAGGGTGCGACTAGCCTGCGGCGGTCTAGCCCCCGACGACAAAGAACCTTGGCTCTGCCCTGCCCTCCTCCGCGGCATGGACGGTAGACCATTATGGAAACTTGAGCGCGGATGGGCGTTTACCCAGTCCGAAGTCGACAAGCTCGCGACTTTTGTACCGAAGGAGCTGAAATTACTGGGACGGGTGTACCCGACTGACAAGCTGTATGATGTCAAGATGGAGGAGATGCGGTGGCGGTGGGTGTATGTCGGAGATGAGAGGAGCGTGCAGACGGGGACGGGGAGCGGGAAAATTGAGTTTGGGAAGGGGGTCAGGTTTCCGGATCGGATGATGTTGGCTGAGGAGCCGTTGGTTGGGTATTGGGAGAGGTATTTGTTGGGGATGTTGAGTGGTGAACCGGATGTTTGGAGGTGGGCGGGGGAGATGGGGATGGAGATGGGGGAGGGGGAAGTGGGAGGGGTGTTGGGGGAGAGGACGAATGTGAATGGGAATGGACAAGCAAATGGGAATGGGAATGGGGTGAAGAGGAATGGGACGGTGGTTGGTGGGAAGGGGACGGTTAATGGTGTGAACGGGAATGGGAATGGGAACAAGGGGCATAAGGTAGCGCATAGTGCTGGGTGAGGTTATTACTAAAGGGCGATCGATGGGATGTTTTTGTAAGGACTCATGGGAAAGGAAAATGGGATCATGTTGGTTATGAGTGTGGTATTGTTGGCGTTCATGGTTCGTCATGTACAAAGGGTTTGTTTGTTGTAAGGTCAAAGCATCATTAGTTGGGAGACGAACTGAATAGCAATTATTTAAGCATCCCTTTAAGCATAAACATCCAAAAATCAAGAAAGGAAAAAAGAAAAGGCGTGACCCGTACCGGATTTGAACCGGTAACTTCTATGCTGGACAGTAAGCCGCATCGCAACACGACAAAGCATCAGCTAAGTAGTGTTGACCATTACACCAACGGGACCACGGGAAGGTGGCGCAGGAAAGGGGTCTTATATACCCCCGCCTAGAGAGCCTAGACCCATAGACCAGTCACGGTGGGAGTTGGGATGAAGACGCGACGGAGGGGCAAGGTGGAAGCGGCCGGGCGGTGAAGCAATCAATTTGACGGACGATTCGCTGGGCCACAGAATCAGGTTATGGGGCTATCGTATGCCGAGGGTGATGGAAGGGATTCGTCCCTTTTGATAGAGAGAGAGAGATGAGTGATTCCCAAGGCAGATGCAACCGATTGATGTATTCGTTCTGGGCAGATGGCGATGACCACGGACGAGGTTCGTTGGTCACTCGAGCTCGAGCCGGGAGTGTAGTGGAATTGGAAGGAACACATCGAAATGGCGCCGAGTTTGGAAGTGAGTTCAAAACCACCCGCGCGCGCTCCTTCCTCAGCTCTAACCGACACACCACTCACTCACCAAAATAATGGGTCAGTCCGTCGCTCTTCCCTCTTTAGTCTAGTCACTCTGTCTGTCCCTTCCAGTCGCTCCCGTCTTCTTCCCCTTTGAGAAAAGGTGACATTTCATGCCCTGGCCTCTTTCATCTATCCATACACGACTTGGGCCCGCCGCAGCCGCACAATTTCCTTCCATGCTTGTAGGTGTGCGGTGCAGTGGTGAACCCTACCTAGCCCTCACTCAATGCTCAGCTGCACCGTAAAAGTGTGCAAGATAGATAGATAGATCATGAAGGAAAGAATTACAAATCACTTCTTTCCACTTCCTGCTGGTTCTTGATTCCATCCCCAACGAAGGCTTGTCTGGCAGATATCTAATGGAATGGCATGGCATGGAATTTTACTTACCTATAATCCACTCGCGAACAGGACTGACTCTCTGTGCCTTTCATGCTGTTGAATGGTTACAACTCCCGAGTCCAACGAACGCAGAGAAAGAAAGGGTTCTACCGCTTCCATATGTCTCATACATATGTCACATATCACGAACGCGGGGATCCACGTAGGACCCCGAGACAGATCAACCCTCGGTGCTGCCCACCCTTCCCGCTGCCTTCAGTGCCTTGTACAGTACCACGTGCAGAATCTCAGAAAGCTATGGACTGCATTGCAGCTTGCCATCTCTAGCAACCAACTGCATCTACCCTCCCGCACACCCTCTTCCCGATTTGGCCACTGATGAGTGCAGTTCTTTCGGTTCGGGGTAGTACCGACGATAATGCGCATAAGCAGCAGCGCACATGCAAGACACTGCGGCACTGCCCTTCCTTGCTTCGAAGGGAGGTACCGCATTTGGTGCTTTGGGACATGTCGAGTCGGCGTAGGTAGATCTGAGTTTGAACGGGTTTGCGAACTTGCGGGTTCGGTGTGCCGTAACCGTCACCGCGGCGTCGTGGCACCGTTAGGCTGCAGGCGACAAGACTCATGAGGTATTGCGGCGAAGGGAGGGGGGAAGAGATCTTGTGAATGAAGTTTACTTCATTATGATTTGGCTTGAGCTGATTCTATGATACCGAGGAACGAGAATACACTGGGGGAAGTGATTAGCGAAAAGATACATAACACCCTTTTCGGCCTGTTAAGCCCTCCTCCGAAGTGACGTGGACCGTCTGTACTGCCCAAACAACAAAGCAAATAGAAAAGAAAACGATGAATAGCAGTAACCGACACCATCTACTTGAGAATCCTCAGCGCCTCCTCCAAATCAGCAATCTTCTTAGTCAGCTCCTTGCGCTTATCTCTGGTGCTGCGTGACTCCCCGGCGATAGCATTCAACGAATCTTCATCCAGCCCCAGCACCCACTGTTCCGAGAAGAGTGTCAAGGGACTGTTCGGACCGGAGAGAAGGTGATGATCGACAGCATAAAGCCAGACATTGTCGACAAAGCGCTTGCGGGACACCTTGTAGTAGCTCTTGAGGATGTCGTGGATGTCCTCTTGGGCGTGCTCTTGGTTGCTTTTGTTGGTGATTGCCGACTTGACGTGGTCGAACTTGACTAGATAGGCGCCAGGGTTGTGGCAGCGGTTATCGTAGAAGCGCTTTCCCTTCAGGGCCTCCGAGACCCGATCGCCGCGAGCTTTCTGGAGGTTGCTGCTGAAGTAGTGGTTCACTGTATAGGGCTTCTTCTCACGCTCCACCTGGACCAGAAACTTGGCATAGTCCATGCCGTTCGCGTACCTCGCCAGTAGGTCATCCATGATGATGGATTTGATCGCCTCATAAAGCTTTCCATCGGCGCAAATTGTCTTAAGAATAGAGAGGATAAACATGTGAATCGTTATGATTATATCGCTGATATAGTGCTCCGTCATGAGGCTCCATTTAGTCGTCTGGTCCCGGAAAGCGCTTGCAAGGACTATGGGGCTAAAGGTGCCGAGTTCGATACCGCGAGACTCAAGGTACATGTTCCGAATCCAGTCGCTATTGTCTTGCTTGACGGTGAATTCAGGTTCCCCCATGATGTTGATGATGCTCTCCAACTCTGGACATATTTGGCGCAATATCTCCACCTCGCCTGCGCCGTTCTGCTCGGCATCGTAGTCTGGATCATCGTCTTCTTCACTGTCATCCGCTTTGTTCGCCAATTGATCGCCCGAATCCTCTGTTTCCACCTTCACAAAAGAGTATGTATGCCCCTTTTGTCTCATTCGGTTGTTGAACGTATCTGTGATGCTTACTACTTGAGTAATAAGCCTCAGGCTATGTTCGTCAAACGCGGAATGACTGGAATAATTGGCTTCGAGAGCTGCACGAACAATCCTCTGGAACTTGGCCGCAATCTGAGCAAGATACTGCTGCTGCTCACGCTCCGTCTGCCGAGGAGGCCCAAGAGCATCTTGTTGATCCCGGGCCTCCGCGAGCTTCTTGCGCGCTTCGGAGCGAAGTTCAGGATACGCCTTGTCCGTGATCTCACCCAGCAGATCCTGAAGCCTCTCACGAAGCGCGGTAACGCCAACACGCTCTTGTGGCAAGTTACACCAAGGGCTCTGCTGGAAGAGATCTCGCTCTTTCCGGCGAAGACCAGAATCATCCTCAGAGTCATCGTCATCATCGCCACCGCGGTTCTTGACAAGGTAGTAGCCGAGGTTGAGGGCCTTCTTCCTTCCCGCGACGAGATTGCAAACCGCTTCTTTAGCGCTGCGCTCAATTACCAGATCGGGCTTGGTGAGCACGCCGAGAGTGCGCTCTCCGTCCGGATCGTATTGTTCAGCCAGAGCCAAGATCTCCTGAGTCATGACATCCACATTGGCAGGTAGGACGGCGAGAATAATGGTCCGTTTGTCCTTGATGAAACCGGTGACCATGTCTCGAACCAGGTTGCGATCGCTTTCTGTCGTTTGTCCTTTGGACGTCAGGCGGAAGATGCCGGGAACATCGATGACGGTGAGATAGTCCTCGGTGGGGCCGCATTTCTCAATCTTCAAGATGTCCCTGGAAAAGGTCTTCTCTCCTTCAGGGTTCTTGTCCGTCTTAATCTTCATGTAGACATTGACCTGCGTATCGGTTAGCAGAAGTCAGTAGAATAAAGAGTGGGACACCTACTTCATCAAGAATCTTGACAAACTGGTCACGAAGCTCGTTGGTCGACGAGAGCTCCTTGCGGTAAGACCTGAGACTGGCTTTTTCCGCCTCGGTGCTCTGAGGGGCCGGTATGATTGTGATGATTATCTGCACCTCAGGATCGCGGCGGTGGGTGATTTGGGTTGCGTAACGCGTGCAGAGTTCCTGGCCGCGTGGGAACGGAATCCCAGTGACGCTCTCGAGCAAGGAAGACTTGCCAGAGCTTTGGTCACCGACCGCAACCAGTGTAGGCAACGGCAAGATGACATCGATGTTCTTCTCACGCAATTGATCAATCTTGCGAAGTCGATCAGGGCTGGTCAGGATGCCCGAAGCAGGGGGTTTGATCTCAGAACCCATCGTAGAAGCAGTGACAATGGTGGCCTTGGGCAAGGAGCGTATAAGTTTCATCAAGATGTGTAGGTCAGATGTGATAAGAGTCAAAGATGGTTACAAGGAGGATGTATCAGGTGAGATGTGAAGTGCGAGATAGTGATGGTGCTGGGAGATTGGAAGTGAAAAAGATATGAGATGCCGCCGAGAACGAAAGATATCATTAATTTCCAGGAACATGTTGAGGTCTTTATGGAGACAAAATGGGAGGTAGACGATGCTTCGGGTGGGGGGCATACTGTAGGCCTCCCGCGCATTGTGTTCGGCAGCGTTCTGTCAGAGGCCTGTTGAACAAACAAGTTCTCCAATGATGTCGCCCACGTAGCCTCCGTATGTTGAATGCCGCGGGCTATGTGCATGTTGTTGCCGTCGAGAATTCGTCTGATAGCAAACGGCCGGCCAATGGGTATGGCAGAGAGGACGAGACTGAGGCTGATACGTTAGGCGCCAGCAGATCATTAGGCGTTCTTCAACCACATGTTAGCAAGTGAAGAACAACCAGCACTTTTTGTCCCTCAAGTGTGCCGTTTGGAGTGTAGAAATGAAGCCTCCAGGTCAACTTTAAGTGCTCGTTACAAGGCTGCTTACCGATTTAGCCCCTCGACTAAGGTGTCTCAGGAGCCAAGATCCATTCCGAGCAGAATGCCTTTCCCTCACTCAAGCACTGGACCCAAAAACAGGCTCCATCTCTAGAATGACCGGCGTGTGTTGCATTGAATTGTCGTCGAGGATTCGCCCAACAACAAACGAACGGCCGGTCGGCCAACGGGTGTGGCTGAGAGCTGGTAGCCTTGGCGGCGGCTGCTTCAACCCTCGGCATGCCGGTCACCTTTGTCGCGACCTGCATATTGATCTCCTGCCTTGCCAGGCACCAGTCGTGCAATTGGATGAAGTTCGTAGTTCCGACAGATGTATGCCTTGTACTCGAAGTGTTCAATTTCTCTAAGCGCTGCTATGTTCAACGGCCTCCTGGGCGGACTTGAGGAGCTTGGCCGCTCGGTCGGCCGCGATGTCGCACATTGCCTGTTGGGAGGTAAAAGTCAGCCTTGCCATCCAACAGCGCAACTACACTTCCCAACCAGAGGCCACCAGCAAGCAAAAAGGGAAGGTAGTTAACAAAGAGAGGCAAAAAGAAGAACTCACCTTAATCCCCTCCCTCTCCTCCGCCCTCAAATCCCCCCTCACAATCCTCGTTCTCATATCCACCATAATCTCCGTCCTCGGCCGTCCATTCACCCAAACCACATACCTCAACCCCGGAAAAGTCTCCTCATACTGCTTATTCAACTTCCTCAGGTCCTCCTTCACCTCCTCTGAGTCGCCCGCAGCATTCAAGTGCGCCTGCTCCTTCTTACTCTGCGCCGACAGCGTCTCCTTCTTCGGCTCGCCCAGCCTGGGATGACTACCTAGTATCGCGTGTAGTGGACGCTTGATGTTTTCTTTTTCGGTTTCGGGGACGGAAGGGTCGGCGACGGCGTTGGCGATGGCGAGGAGCTCGTCACGGATGGTGGAGATCAGGTCGGGGTAGGAGGAGAAGGAGATGGTTCGGAGAGTTGGGAGGGCGAGGGCGTGGAGTTCCGGAGAGGGTTCGAAGAGGAGGTCCAGAGTCGAGATTAGGGCGGCGTCGGGGAGGGTGGGGAGGGAGGTGATGGCGGGGAGAAAGGGGGTTGCTTCGGGGTTGAGGTGGCTGTGGGACATGGTGGCGGTTGTTTGGTGTTTTCGTTATCTGGAGGAGGTCAATTGGAGCAGCGGCAGGAAGAAGAAGAGATGAGGAGCAGGAGACGAGGCTGTAGATGTTAGTTCTAGTTCTAGATGTCCGAGTTGTCCCTTATCACTGTAAGTTGCACAACGGACGACAAGCGCTATCAGCAGCGGCAGCCGGCAAGGTGGGGTAGATCTGCCATGACGTCCACGCAAACGTGGGGTAGCTCTCGGCAGCTCCCTGCAGTGGGGCCCCGGCTCGCTGGACCGGACCTCGGGTCCCTGTATTTCAGGGGACCTCCGTAAATCCCGGCGGGTCGCCCGGATCGTCCCGTAAACTTGTCTTGACTTCATCCTTCGTCTCCGAAGCCCGCTCAAGCCCGGTCAATCCTTCGCGCGCTCCTCCCACACCTGAAACACCACGAAATGGCCTGCTCCTGGGCTTGTCTGTTATCGGCGTCCCCGCCAAGGCTCACTGTCAATACCATCGGCCGGAGCCGCGCGAGCTGCCGGAGGCGAATTGCGAGCCCAACGGCACACCAACAGGGAGCAACCGCTCGAGCTCGACCGCGTGTCTCCCCGAAGCGAACGATCAAGAAAAGAGAAGGAGAAAATTTTGTTTGCCATGGGAGCTGGCTGGGACCCCTTTGTGTTCATTGGAGTCAATGCCATCGCGTATCAATCAACAAGGGGAGTAAACAAACAGATCACTAACAAATGCCATGTATTCTTTCTTCTGTTCTGTGTTTTGTTTTATGTAACCGCCCACATGCAAACCGCGCTCTTGAAAGCACAATGTCCTCCCCAAACCCAATAGATACACCGAAGTTTGGTGTAGAGGTACTTAGTAAATAACAAAGTACAGACAAGCAGGCAAGAGTACCTACCTCTTCTGTGTTCTGACAATGCCACCCGGTCGGTCGGTAAACAACGGACCATCGCCCGCCCGCCCGTGACTCGTACCGTTATGCCGTAGCTCGTACCGCGACTCCGACCTGGCCTTGCCTTGCCCTCCCGGCCATATCCGCACCGTCCGTTCTGTTCCCGCTCAACACCTACTAGCCCCCCAAGGAATCCCATCCAAAGACTCCTGCTGCTGCTCCACGGGCATCTCGCCAGACATGCTATTTCCCTCCTCCTCGTCGACATCATCCCCGCCGCCTCCTCCGAACAACACACCAAAGTCCGCATACACTTCGTGTCCTTCTTCCTCTTCTTCGCCTTCGTATCGGCTTTCGTGCGCCGAAGTAGGGAAGGCAACGTCCTCGTCGTCGTCCAAGTCTTGGTCTTCTATGGGCCGAAGGTCTGGCGAGCGAAGAGGGCGGAGACGTGGTGGGCTCGGAGAGAGGCGCTGTGGTGCTGCTGATGGTGCTGATGGTCCTGAACTTGCTGTGGTGTTGTTGGTGTGTATCACTGGGGGTGGAAATCCTGTTATTACTGGTGGTTGTTGCCCACCGGCTTGGAGCTGCTGGCCTGGAGGAAGCCGTGGACTTGTCCCGGATCCGGCATAGCCTTGGTGCTGTTGCGCTGTTCGTTGCATGGGCACGCCTCCGGTGTTCCCTCCTCCTCCCCCATTTGCCCCAGCATGACCGCCAGCCTGCCCACCAGGAACCGATCCTTGCCCTCCCTGCCCTGCTGCCTGTGCCTGTGCAGCCTGCGCAGCCTGCTGTGCCCTCGCCAAATTCTCCCCCAACATCCTCATCCGAAAGCGATTCATGACCGCCATCTTCCTCAACCACGCCGCACTTCCATTTCCTCCCATTGTCGTCATTCCACCTCCACCTCCACCCCCATTCCTATTTTGCCCGGCGGCACCCATTCCCCAGCCAGCCATGGCCATCCTCTTGTTCGCTGCTGCCGCTATGCTTCGTAGTCTCTTGTCTCCTTTTAGGATGGATTCCCGGTTGAGGATGTGCGTGGCTGGGAGGGAAAAGGGGCGAGAGAGACGGGAGGTGACGAAGTGTAAACGCAGACGTCGCTTCTTGCAGGGGAGGGGGGCGGTGTTGTGGCCGTCTACGTCTGTTGAAGGGCGGGAGCGTTTGAGCGAGGGCCTGGGGGTTGGTAGTGATGCTACAAGGGCAACATTCAACGGGAATGTGAGGATGGGATCTGTTGGGTGTATCTGAGTAAAGACCCATGGTGAGGGTGTTGGTGGTGATGATGCTTGGACTAGTAGTGGTGGGAGAGGCCGTGATAAACTGGTGCTGACGGATGTCGGATATTCTTCCTGTTCCCTTTCGATGACTATAGCAGGCCGTGCCGTCTTGCTCTTACTCCCCTCCGCTCCTGCAAACCTCTCCGAAAATGCGTTCGAGATGAGCGCCGCCCCTTCACCCCAGCCGTACCGGCTTGAGCGCACATCGTGGTAGTGCCATGGTCCGTACTGCTGCGCGAAAGACGATCGAGGAGGTTCTAGCGAGGACTCGACTTGGATCCCCATTGCATCGATCGGCGTGTGAAGAAAAGATGTCCCCTTCCTTGTCCTCACTTCTGCTCTGGTTTCGCTGATTCGCTCAGTCATAAACAAGCTTGACGAGACTGATCCTGGAAACTCTGCTCTGTATTCCAACTGAATGCGCCAGCAACCCGCCTGACCTTCACTTCCACGGTGATAACAGGTTGATCGTTAATGCTTCATTTTTGACTTTGCTCTGCTTCGTTCAAGGTTTCGGTTTTCTAGGAATGGTCGTCGGTTTTCGGGTATCAAGGTATTCGGATGGTAACAATGTCGGATATGGAGGAGGAAGCTTCATAACCGAAGAAACAACCAACAATTCGGATCAAAGACAGTGAGTGAGAGCTGAAAAGGTTTGTTCTAGAACGATGAGACTCCTCCCCTGTTCGGTTTATGAACCGAGATGATCTGTGAGGCAAACTCAAAGTTGGAGGCTGAAAAAAAAAAGCTTGTAAGAGATGATGGTGTGTGTGTGTGTGTGTGCCAGTTCTCGGAAGGGTCCGAAGGGGTATGTATAGAGGTAAGGTTCCCTTGAAGCGAAAACGAAAGCTGGCAGGCTGGAAGGCTCAAGGTACAATGACACAAGTTCCAATGTCCGTCCAATGTTCCGTCGCAGTAATGCGCAAGTGGCGTCGTCAAAAAGCGAGAAGGGGGGAAGCGAAGGAAGAAGAAAAGGGTTCATTCGATTCGACGACAAACTTTGCAAGTCGCAAGTCGCAAAAAGATGGCCGAGATCGAAAGATGATTGGATCACCCGAGGGCTCAGGTGACGGGAAAGGTCTGTACGGGTCTACGTTTGTTGTGTAGCTCTAGCAGGCCAGCAGGGCAAGAGAAAACTTTCCTTGGTGAGGAGGGGTACTCGTCAGGGCTTGATAAAACCAAGATTACTAATAGTCTGAGGCGTTTCTAGCCCAGACGAGTAGCACTCGAATGAGGCGACCAGGTAGCCGTGGTAGCGTAGGGAGGGGGAGCTGACCCAGCAGGATGGAAAGACAAGATTCCACGAAACCTGGATCAGGAACTGATCATGGAGAGTACAATTGGTGGTTTATGGGGGAATTTCATTCCATTGCGACGACGGCCTGACCTCTAGCAACCTGTAGGGCGGTGAAGCTAGCAACAACAACAGGCCAACGCCATAACAGCAGCCCTAGCTAACAATTGCAAGGCCTGCACCACGAGGAAGAGACACGAGAGGGTAACACGACATGGGCAGCTGGGGAGCTAGTAGTTCGCAAGCTGAATGGTTAGCACCAAAGATGAAGGGCTAGAGCCCGGCCGAGATGGAATTTGGAAAGTCTTTTCTCAGCGGTAGGCGGAGAGTGCCGACTCAGCTCTGATTGGTGCGTATAAAAAAAGGCTGTCGGAAAGGGGACGGGCTGGACGGGAGAAGGAAAAAAAAAAATGGGAGAGGGAATTTGGGCGACTGGCTGTTGCTGGCGTCGCAGTTGGTCAGGAGGGCAAGGGTAACGCAAATGACCTAGTCCTCCTGAGGTTCTCTGAGGTCGTTCAACATGTCGTCTCGTACACATTGTGCTACCAAGACGTATGTACATAGCTCAGCTTACTTCCAAGTACAACATGAACATGAGGGAGTATCGACTCAAACTTTGATCACGCGGCCCCAACATTGGCTGATTCCCCTTCCTCGGTGCCCGAATCGGTAGGACGGCCATAATTCGTCACTGTTATTGGTTCATAGGCTTCAGCTTTTACTGACCATTCCCAGTGAGTGGCTAAGCCTTTTAAAGCTTAATTCCTTTCTCTTGCAGCAAGCCTGGTGCCCCCGGAGCCCGGCGATTAGGGGATTACGAGCACCAGTTTGTACAAGCCCGGGGCCCCTGTCTCAAACACTCAGTTGCACCAAACTTTTCCGTCCAACAAACGCTGTTTGTGATAAATGGACGTCGGTTTGTGTCGGCTATTGTTCCTGTTATTGTCAGAACAACTCATTCCCCGATCCATCGTCGGTGTTTCTTCACTTTCTTTTCTCCTCGCTGCATTCTTCATTATGATGAATGCTTTGACGAGCAAGGTGACTCCGAGACATTGACCATGAGCCCAGTGGTCTTGCCATTGAGACGAACGAAAAGCTGGTCAAAAACGAGGGCTTCGGTTCGTGCCATTTGAATGCTTGAAGCGAGCAAAAGAGCGCTCCTTTCGGCTCCACGGTGGCATTCATGTTGGACCCTTACCACGATGTTGGGTTTCCCTCCACTTCCCGACATCTCTTTCTCTTTTGTTTAGGCTGGCAAGTCAAAACTCTCATGGATCCGAATAACTCATGTTCGAATCCCCATGTAAGGTCGTCAACAACTCATCACTGCTCTCTCCTTGAGGAATTGCGAGCCTCAATATGACGCTGCTAATGAAACACCATCAACACACCACCCCCATTTTCATCCACCCATCTGTACCAAACTAACAAGCAACCGGAAAGTCTCTTCTCACTACAAGCCCCCCAAGTCACCCAGCTTCCTCAGCCTCGGTCTTGCCATCCACACACCCAAAGGACCTCAAAAAGCAAACTTGCGGTTGATTCGAAACCATGGAACATTCCAAGGGGTCCATGGCATCCAGGCGAAGGGGAACATGCAGGCTTGCAGCTCTTTGGACCCCCAATAGACCCAGGCAGTGAGTGAGCTCGGTTTCCAGATTGTCAGAGACCCAGAATCCGGGGAAAAGTTCCAGCCCGAAGAACTCAATGTGTCCCTAGGAGTCAGCCTTGGAGTTACCATCCACACACCTTCAAACCCCGAAGCGCAGGGCAATTTCCAATTGACAACCATGGTCCATGGAACATTCCAAGACTCCAAGACTCCAAGCCCTTCCATCGCTATCACGTCTCGCGTGTCCGATATTCTCCTCATCCTCATCCAGTCAGGGCCATGCAAGCCATCGCCATCACCGGTCTCAGCTTGACCACGTGAGGTTCAACCAAGACCCTGAAACCCGCTCATGCAGATTCGAGGGTGACGGGACCCCCGCATATCTCAGCTGCCCAGCTTCTAAAAGGGGAAAGAAGAAACGGGATGCGTCGTCGCTCTTTTGTCTTTCTGTCTCCGACTGTCCCTCAACGTGGGCGAGAACCATGGAACCATGGGACTGGGCTCTTGGGAAGGGGAATGGCGTTGTGTGGGTAGAAAATTCCGCCACTGCGAGATGGTGCCATGTAGAGGAGATATCACTTGCTGGTTGAAGGGGTAGAGGGGGACGCCACAGGGTCGTTTCGCCTTGGTGAGTGTCAAGTAGGTACAGAGCATCTTATGGGGTGCGACGGTGTGGTTGTAGGTGTGAGTACCTATATGCTTGAGATCATGATGTCGGGGATGTTTCCACGTCGTCAGATTAAACGAACCAGTGATGAAAGCTGGAGTGAAATGCGATCTTTTTGTAAGATCAAGCTCATGCTTTCTCAGAAAAAAAAGATCACTTGAAAAGTCTCCCGTGGGAGTACTCCCAAAATAATTTCATAATATCTACGCATCTATGTCTCTAGATGGAAGTCTACCTCTCGCTCGCTATCCCAAACTCCAAAGTCCAAGCAAATCCCAGATGCAAAATGCCACTCCCAATCCCCTTCCCCTTCCACCATCACCATCACCACTCACCCCCTACAACTTCGGATTCCACTTCGGCTTCTGCTCCTCCTTCTCAAAGCTCCTAATCAATCCATCCTGATACTCCGTCGCCACATGCACACCCCCCGGACTCCAAACCTTACTTTCCACAATCCCCCTCCCCGCTCCCGCCCTCGGGAACCAAGCTTCCTGAATCCACCACACACCTTCCTCCCCCTCCTCCTCCTCCTCCTTTCCATCCCCCTTCCCTTTCTTCTTCTTCTTCAACCTCCCCTCCCAGTCCGGGCTCAGGTCCAAGTCCGTCTCTCGGTTTCCATGCCTCATCACACACTCCTCCACATTCGTATGGAACACAAAACTATAACTCAGACTCGCCGCTTTACCTAGCGTCCAGCCCATTCCGAGATGATTACACGCCATTAGCAGCCCGTTTCTGTCGACGACGTAGGCGTGGATTACTGCGTGACTGTTGGCGTCGTGGCCGTCTTTTCCATCGCTCGGCAACGGCTTGAGTAGTCGATAAAACAATAACTCCCTCCTCTCATGCACCGGTTTCCCCTCGTTGTAACCGCTCATATCAACCTTGCGCATCTCCACCACCGGAAACGCGCCCACTACATCATTCCCCACGAGCGAAACCACGCCGTCAACATCCACCGGCGGAGCAGGCGGCCAGTCTTTTGGTTTTCTTGAGCCCAAGATATCCTTAAAGCGGACCTGGGGTGGTGGTTCCTGGATGGCGATTCCCGCGCTGTGGGGCTCGGAGGCTTTGAAGGAGATCATGGCTGTGAAGCACGGGGATGGCGAGAGAGGTAAAGAGGCGTCGGAGGCGGGGAAGTGGTCTTTTGTAGGAGAAGAGGAGGGGACGGAGGGCTGGTAGGCGGTTAGGGAGAGGGTGCTGAAGGAGCGGGTGGAGGTTAGAGGGGTGAGGGAGTAGATGAAGGGTCGGTGGCGGTTGCCGGCGGTGGTGAAGAAGCCGTGGATTGTCTACCAACAACAATCAGTGAGTGATCCATAGGGGTAAATTGCGAAGGGAACGAACATGAAGACCGAGTTTCTGAGATTTTGGGATTTTTTTCTGATCTTCAATCTCACTCCAAGTCCTGCAAGCTGCTAAGGCGCTTTGTGCGTAGACATGCCCGCCGTAGGCTGCCGAGTGGAAGGCTGGCATGTCTTTTTCTGGTGGGTAGTCGCATCCCGGGAGGTAGGCGGAGCGGGTGCCGATGAATCGGTACTGGGAAGTTGAGTCGGGAGGGAGCTTGACGAGCTCTAGGGCCTCTTGGAAGGAGAGGAGCTTGTCATATTCGGAGTCTGACATGTTGGAGGTGGAGGGGGAGCTGTTGCCCCGGATGAAGCCTCCTTCTGGGACGCTGATGTAGTGAAGATGAAGAACCGGAGTTGCACTTTGTGAACTGAGGTCGAAGTGAAGAGAAGTCAACAAGAGCTTGTGATTGAGATATGAAAATGTCAAGTGATTGTGGTAAGTTACACAATTATATCAATGCCACCCCAATATCAGCTTGCGGAAAAGACATCCGGATGTTTGTGATATTTCAGCTGTTAAACGGCCGAGTCGGCTTCGGTAGGCTGACGATATGTGGGAGGGGGGAGCTTGGCTTAGCTGAAGGAGGAAGTGCCGAGGCATCTTCCCACGTGATGACACGGCATCATCCCTCCGGTTGCACCAACGATGATCTCCGCTAGCACACTTCCGGCATGGTGCCGTTCCGATATGTTAGGGGGCCGATCTGGGGATCCACTTCAAATACGGGGACACGGATCGGGGCCGGGAATTTGAAGTTGGAAAGCCGGAGTCCCGTCCACGGGGTGGAGCATCGGCCGCACCGAGAAGCCGTATGCGAGCCACGAAGGCGTACGTATCCCACCGCTCACGTCCAATACTACTTTATATGAGTAGCAGCCAATTGCGTTGCAGGGATATAAAATGGTTTCTTTTGGAGCCTCCAATGTGTCGGTGCCTGAACATCACGGTCTGTTTTCTGCTCGATGTAAACAATGAGGACATGACCATGGTGAGGGTTAGGGTCATGCTTGTAACCTCCTCTCGAACATCTGGTTGGAGCTTCATGATCGTGTCAACATTGAACACCGTGATTCAATATTGTCTCAATTAAAGGTCATGGGTCTCTCGCAGCTCTCCGACTTGACATTTCGCCCTCTTTTGACCTTGGAGTCATCTTCATCATGGATATTGAGGTTTCTGATGAGATGAAAGCTCCACGTGGGAGGTCACCTGACTCAGAAGCTAGCTGTCTCTGGCAATCACCTGGGCTCTCTGGGGAAGCTTCCAGGTTTCCAGAAGGTGGCCCAAGCGCCATGCTCGTTCGCCAGTTGCCAGCGGCAGAACGGACAGAAGGGCAGCGGTGCGTCGGGGCCTCTGCCCACTGCAGCTGTGGGACCAGTGAGCTTCGGAGCGGACAGACAAAACATCATCTCCCGCCTCTCCGCTCTCTCCCGGTCAATTGTCACTCCGACATCACACCACCCACCACCGCCGTCGTCACCATGCTGTCCCGCACCGCCGTCGCCGTCGCCCGCCGGGCCACCGCTGCCCCCGCTCTCCGTCGCAGCATCGCCACCACCGTTGTGCGCCGTAAGTGAACATGTCTGTGTTTAGCGGCTGCGGCCTGAAAAAAAGCACGGCATCGAAAAAAGCTCCAATCGCGAAGCTGCAAATATCCGCGCAAAGCATCATCGTCACCACCACCGACGACATCATACCCCACAAATTCGCGACAACCAAACACGCATCAATTGCAACCCCGAATACCGATCGAAACACTGACACCATGTTTTTATCTTGAATCCAGGCCACGCCGAGTCCAAGGCCCCTACCGTCCACATCAAGACTCTCTCCGGTATGATGATCTCCCCCCGGCGATTGCGTCACGATTGTGTCTATTGGGGCTATCTGGGAACTGGGCTACGCGAACTGGAAGCTGTGGTGGGGTCTCTCGAAGCTTGAGCTGAGCTTGGATAAGCTTGGGGGAGCTTGAAACAACAAGGAGGAGGAAGCATTGGACGACCAAACGGAGGGGATTATCATCGCGGACGACGGGAGAAGCTTGACCAGCTCAAGCTCGAGGCTCCCCTACCACAGCTTCCACCGGGTAGCTCAGATCAGCCCAGCTCCCATAGCTCCCTCGCCCCATGACGATGCGGGGTGACGTACGAACCGCATTACGACGAAAACATGCATGACTGACTTATACCTCGTACTTCGCGACAAAACAGAGATCAAGACCAAGGAGGACCTCATCGGCCCCGGTGCCAAGCCTGGCACTGTCCCCACCGATATCGAGCAGGCCACCGGTCTCGAGCGTCTCGAGATTCTCGGCAAGATGGAGGGCGTCGACGTTTTCGACATGAAGCCCCTTGATGCCTCCCGCAGGGGTAAGACTTACAACCCGGGATGAAGAGCTGGGAGAGTTGGGAAACTAAAACGACATTGCAGGCACCATGGAGAACCCCATCTCCGTCCGCTCCGCCGGTGATGAGCAGTACGCCGGTTGCACTGGCTTCCCTGCCGACTCCCACAACGTCATCTGGCTCACCGTGAGTTTTCCTTTCCTCCCCCTTTTAGCATCTCGCAAGCAAGCTACTAACAGACAACAGATGACCCGCGAGCGCCCCATCGAGCGCTGCCCCGAGTGCGGCAACGTCTACAAGATGGAGTACCTCGGTCCCCAGGACTCCCACGACCACGACCACGACCACGACCACCACGGCTTCGAGGAGCCCAAGACCTTCGCCGACTTTGTCAAGCCCCAGTACTGGTAAATACCCAGTTTTGTTGGGTTGGTAAGGGAGGTTCGGTACTTGGAATGGGTTGTTAATAGAAGAAGACTTTGATAAATACGATGCATGCATATGACAAGTTTACTGGGAGGCAGCATTGTGAATCGCGAACCTAGAGAATATGGGGGTGGTGAGGTTGGGTAGGTGGCTGAACCTGCATTCGAAAAACCTGGAGTTGTAGATTACTACCTGTTACCCTGGGCTACCAAAGACTAAAGATGAGTTGTATAGACTACCGAGAAACTCGAGTAGGTTTTGGATTTGCATTACTCTTGATGAAGATCCAGGATTGCTACGAGTACTGATTCCTCGAAGCGCATTCGCATGGTCATCTAGACTCGAACCTTCTTTGCGGTACCGAGCCATAAGACTTGCGAAATCCAAAGATAGCTCCCCACGATGTTCCAGAGCAGCTCCCGGGAAGCACTCCTGGGCATAACGGCGTGTAGACAAACATGGACTTCGTGTCCCTGGTCGTTCACCAGCTTGCGATCAGGTCGCGCATCTTGCGCCCTTGCTATCAGGATATGCGCCGACATGATTTGTCTTGGGCGCACAACTTTCTTTCGGCATGCCCCTTTTTGTGTTCGTAAACTCCCAACGCCCTTATGCTCGGGTTTCAGCCCTCCTCATCACCAAAGCTAAGCTTGATCTTCTTAGCCTTCTTCTTGGTCGCCTTGGGCTTGGGTTTCTCTTCTGCCTCTTCAGTCTTTCCGCTGTCCTTGGCAGCAGCAGCAGCAGCAGCAGCAGCATCTGTCTTCCCCTTTGGCTTTTTGTCATCTCCTTCTCCGTCCTGATCCGAATCAGCATCACCACCACCAATAACCTTACCCACCTTCCTCTTCTTACTCGCCCCTATCCCCACATTCTTCTCCTGCTTTTCCTCTTCCTCTTTCGCATCTCCTCCTCCTCCTTCAACCTTCTTGTCAGCCTCATCACCTTCTTCCTCTTCCTCTCCTTCCTTCCTTTCGCTTATCCCCTCAACCTGCTCCTTCTCCGTCACCGTCCCATCCTTCCCCACCGTCACACTATCAACCACGTTCCCCTCCTCATCCAATATCAGCGGCGCATCCTCCGCCTCCTCACTCCCACTTCTCTTCTTCGTCGGTCGCCGTCTAGCAGCTAATATCGGATCGGGACCGTCAAAGTTTCCCGGTGCGTGTTGAGCGTGTAAGCGGGCGAGAAAGGGAGGGAGCGTGGCGGAGCGGTCGTAGTGCAGGTTTTTAGGGTTGATTTTGCCCCCTCCTCCTCCTGAACCCGACATTGTGTTGGTTCTTGGCGAGAATAGTTGTTGTAGTCGGCTCGGATTATGTATCGATGGGTCGGAAAGAAGGAGGGAGAGACTTGAACCGCAGCCTGGGGACGGGAGGTGATGGGGAATTAAGGGCCGTTGGTTTCGATCGCTCCCGTCTTGGAGAGAATGGTTGCGCTTGCTAAGGTAGGTATGCGCTTGCGATGCGCTCGGTGGTGGTGGTGTCGCGTTGCGCTGCTCGGTGGAAGTTGGCGCTGGCTCAAGGGAGATGGCGGGCTCGTAGGTATGGTAGTCTGGTGTCGCACAATAATTCGCGAAGAGACTTCTACCCTCTCAAAATACAACAGTTGGACCGGATGTTGAGATCTGGAGAGGCGACGGTGACACGAAGCCTGCGATGGGACTGGAATTGTTTGAGACCTCGACGGCCTGGTCCAACCGAACGGCATAGACCCACTCAGCCCGCTGGAAGCTTGGGCCAACGGCATTGAAAATGCGGGGCTGTCTCCGAATCTCGGCCGTTAGTGCAACCTCCGGGGGAAGCTTGCTGTGCAACACCAAACCTTAACAACGTCACATCGTAAGGGGATCGAATTCCGGATGTCTACTTGTTCAACATCAACACTCAATTTTGATGGCTTGAACACTTGAAAATATACATCCGAAAGAAAGTTATCTTACACCGGATTGATTTCCCGTCCCCATCGAATCAATACAGACATCTCCTCCATGGCCCTGTCCCAGTCCCTTCTCCAAATCAACCTCATGCTGCTCAACACCTCTCTTTCCCCGCCTCTCCTCCCCATCCCCCCTCTCACCACCAGCTCCCACAACCGTTACCGCCCCCTTTGAATTCAACTCATACTCCACTCTCTCCTGGTGCTCCTCATGTGTCGTCCCCGAATTCTCACTCTCACTCTTACCACTCTTAAACAGCCAACTCTCCTTCAACTCCCTCGGCACATTCGCATTCCCATTTCCATTCCCATTCCTTTGGTCTGCCATAGGCGGTTAATCCCTGGCGATCGGTGCGAGCCATGCCGTGTGGGAGGGGGACAAAGGCCGAAAATAGGAATATCTAAAAGGTTGCGAAGGCGTGCATTTCTCGTCATGATCAGCTCGTCTTCTACTTACATATGGGTTAGTTCAGTGGGTTGATTGCTTATAGTAAGTTCCAACCTCCAATACTTACGTACGGCGTATGAAATAACTTCGGGCATGAAACGGCGCGTGTGTGTGCAGGAGCTGCTGGCAAACAACTCTAGCGAGGCTTGATAAATCTGTATAAGGAATGGCGGGGAACAGTAAATTCCACATCGGGGAAGCGAAGTAAAGCAGACGGGACAGTGTAAACCCCGAATAACGGTGCCGAATTTCTAAGGGCTGAGATCAAATGCAAGTATATGCAGGTGAAGTTGGGCGATCATGGACAGGTTTGAATTAGATACAGCAATGTGACTGTCATGGAACGTGTGTCCGTCATGGCAAACAATGAGGGCATAGGAAGTAAGAAATTTCTGAGCATGAGGAGGCTATCGTGTTAGGAGGGAGGCAGGCACCGGCCATTATGCAAGGCACCAGATGAGAGATAATTCCATGTGTCATTTGTGCGAAATCGCGATACTGACCACACACCGGCTTTGGTGGAAAGGAGAGACGAGACAGATAAAGGGGGAGAAGTGGAAGGCAGAGGCAGTGTAGGAAAGAATGGTGGAAGTTGTTGATCACCAGCGAACAACCCATCTCCACTCTTAAAAGAGTTCAATCCAAGGCAATCTGATATCCTCTTCCTGCTTTGTGCTGAACAACATTCACTCTCATCACCTCCTTCTCACCGTCGCCAGTACTCTTTCTCTCAACCGCGCAATCGCCAGCGTCAACATTGAAAATCTGACATAACCTCCGAGCTTTATCTCAGCCTTTCGCAACCGGAATATCCTTCTGGTTCCTGGTTCGAACAGGAGCCCCATGTCATGGAGTCCGTTGCGGTCAATGCCTCCCTGGCGAGTGCCGTTAGCCACGGGGCAGCCATCGTGCTGAACGTGTTGACTTGGCTCAGAGTGTCGAGGTGATGACTTGTGGTAGTGGACTGAGATCCAAAGCCCAGACTTTCATCGACGCCATTTCCGCCCTGATACCCGGCATTGTTGGAGGTGTATGACGGATACTGCTCAGTCCCATCGAGGTATGACTGAAGAGCGGGAGAGTACGTGTTGTTCACATTGTTCGTTGGCATACCGTCGTATCTGCCATAGTCACCAGTATAGTTGTAGTGTCCGGGACCGACGAGGGGTGCCTCCCCCTGACCGTATGTTGGGGAGGGACCGGAACCAGTGAGTTGTGGAGCCGGCGAGATGGAAACAATGGCTGCAAACTGCCCATGGCCGCTCCATGGGGAGGAAAGCGGAACAGGGGCAGCTATTGTGTTGTTGAAGGGATAAGTTGATGAAGTATCAGGGCCTAGAGTAGTGTTTAACGATAAGGCCGAGGGTGCGGGAGAGTTGAGAGTACTACTCGAAGGTCCAACATGATTCCCTTGCCAGTTAATGTATGACGATGATCCCGGTCTCGCTCTCACTGCTGAATGGTTGAAAGCTGAGTCGCGAGTGCTTGGTAACTGTGGAAAAGAATCCATTGCATACGCTGAAAAGTGCTCACTTGGCGCGTAAGCTGCCACTGAAGAAGTGAGACAGCCGATAGTAGTGTTCAACGTGCATGCAGAAAGAGCGGGAGAAGGGACAGTATTGGTAAAGAGCCCAACCCGGGTGTGGTTCAAGTCAAGGGGCGGCATAGATGACACTGAGCCCTGCCTTAGCCTTGCAGATAGCTGATATTCACCTGGGTCGCTGATGGCCGTCGAGTGTGGGGAGAAGTTTGTCTCAAACTGGCCATGGTGACTCGACGTGTAGGCCACCATTGTAGCAGTGGGGGCACCTATTGTAGTGTTCAAGGAGTATGCCGAAGGAGAGGGAGAGGCAACAGTCCTGGTAAAGTGGCCATTCTGACTCTGGCTCCAGATAGATGACGACGAGCCTGGCCTACCAGGTAGTTGAGAATACTCTCGCCGTATGTTGTCCCTGCGGCTCGACTGAGATAATTGGGCCATGACGTGAGGTTCCTCTGCCCCCATCTGCGTTCTTTCGCCAGCTCCGTCGGTGCTGGGACGATTCTTTGAGGGGGTTTTCGTGTCATCCGGCTCGGGTGTTTTGAAGGTGATGCCTCTCGATGTTACGACTACCAAGCATAAGCGATGACCCTAAACGGAAGACAGCAATACCACCGTACCTGATAACTCTTCATCCTTAAATTCCGTGATATTGTGACGGTTCTTAAACCGCGTGAACTTGATCTTTGGTATCTTCTCGCCATTTTCGTTGAAAAAGACGGTTTTCTTTCCCATCTCGAGCCGCATTTGTTGTATTTTGAGCATGGATATCATGTCACTGGTCTTGTAGTTTTTCTCGAGTCCCCAGATCTTGAAGTAACGTTTGTATTGTTTGTCCCTATGTAGCCATCATATGTTAGCTATCGGCCTGACATGGAAGGGAAATGTAACGTACGAGGCCGATAAGTTATGATCTCGTTTCATGATGTCAACAACTTGTGGTAGGGTTTTGTTTTCCGTGATGTATAAGCGATAAATGGTGTCCCGGTGTTTGTCCAACTTGGACTGTTTCTCGGAAAGATTTGGCATCGTAGAAAGAATTTGATGGGTGTAACTGTTGTAGGATGGAAAATGGTCAGGTAGAGGCCCAAAAATAGAACAGTAGGCTCCAGAGGCCGTTTTATACAGAAGACATATTGAATGCCTGTGGAACGAATGACGACGGACGGAGGGAAGCAGGTGAGTGGTTATATACAAGTCACTCCCGTCAATGGGAAAATAGAGCCGCTCGGCACCATGTCAAAGTCGACAGACAAAACAATTATTCGCCCTGGAGATGAGCCATTGGAGGCACGGAAACAGCATCAGCCTTAGACCGCCAGATGCACCGGCAGCGCCCCGAGATTTGAGGATCTTCAATGGAGTATGTATGCAGCTGCGGCTACATGATGCTTGGCAGAAACGAGAGGAAGGACTGACCAGGTACCATCACACCCTGCAACGTCGAGGTACACTGGTACATTGTCATAATAGAGCGCCGGGACTTTTTGTCCATCCACAAGTTCGGTCAGGGCTGGGAGTGGATCCAGGATAGATAAGTCATGAAACGTCCAAGAGGTAGCAAGCCTAGTTTGGAAGGAGATCCAGCAAGGTAGTGGGAAGAGACAGGAACCGGTGTGTCGTGCTACCATTCCATTAGGGCTGCTGCACCTGCACGTGGGGCAGTTCGTCCTGGTGTTCGCTGGGGGCTGGCCGTGTTCCGTCCGTATCAAGTGTGACGGCAGGCGATCAGGTTCTAGACTGGCACTCCCCAATATGCTCGTGGTTCTCTTTCCAGTGATTCCAGAGATCAGCTAAGCGTCAAGCTAAGCCCTTAACCCGGTTTAATGGTTCCAAAGACGTTAAAGGCTTCGATGGTGCACTCGAATGCGAAGCCGGTATGAGGTGTGGCGCACGCATCGCCAATATCTTGGGTATGATCTGGATCGTGGGTTGGAAACAGACGATGGGGAACAAAATGTATTGCACCGGGTATATAGGGATAAAGCTTCCGGACACCATCAACATCTGAAAGCCGAGCCGCAGCCAGAAGGTGTGTTGGATTTGCGCGTTGCAACTTCCCGGGACGAGGCACTCTGCGTCCGCGAGTCCCATGGCAAGCTGAGCGAGTCGCTTCTTTGTGAAGACAAAAAAAAAATCCAGCGGACGAATTTGGCTGCAAAGGGCTAGGTGCAGGCTGTGCATGAACGCAAGTGTTGAACGTTTCCGTGGACCTGGGAAGCGCCGGTGAGTGGTGTAACATTCGGAACAAGTGTAAAAAAGGCATCCAAGCCATTCCCAGTGAGATGGTCGCCTTATTGCGGGAGTTCCTTCCGGCAGGAAGGTTGGGAGAGATAGTCATGGGCAAGGCGACATACAGCTGTTGCAAGCACGCGGGGAAGACAAGCCATCGCCATTCCTGGTTCCGCGGGAGGTCTCCGGTTGGAGCTGTGAGCCGAATGCTTGTATGTGCCGCGGGAGCTATCGCTCAAGTGCTGCGGATCTGTTGATGTGCTGACCGTACCGTGTTTGCTCTGCTCAGCCTTGGATGCCTCGGGACCTCGGGTGTAACATCTTCGCGACTCGAAGAGAGCAGGGTGGGACTTGTATCGTGGCTCGGGAGCAATGTAGGACTGGAGATAGTTCTGGACCTTGCCAAGAAGTGGTGACTACACCGGTCTCATCACGTAGTCAGCCTTGGTGTTCTCGATGGCCGAAAACACGGGAAGGGAAGTAGGCACTGGCCAGTGTTGATCCGTTACCTGATCCTCGGACGCGCTAGAGGCAGGCTGGGGCAGGCTGGAGACAAATTGACAGTTAGCGGAGCGTTCATAACTTTGTGATTCCTCAACAAAAGTCCCGGACGAGCAGATACGTACCCAAGCTCTGTGGGCCGTGGGTAGGGTTGACGATGCCCTTCAACCACCACGGGGGCCAAAAGGCGGGGCTAGAACCATTAGAGAGTCGTCATGTCAATCAATCCCGCTCTACATCGCTGGTAGTGAGGGGAGGGCTTATATGTCGGACAAATCTTGACCGCTTTCCAGGCCCGTTCCTGAGACCCGTGGGGGTGGTCACGATGGTGCATCCCCAATGTCGAGGCTGGCCAACTGGCGAATCGTCCTGGTGTAACCACTCTTCAGCCACCCTTGGGAAGCAAGGAGTTAGATCCGGAAGACTGGGGGGGGCGTGTCGCAGCGTACTGAGCCACATTCTACCCATGAGAAAGAACGTCATTGGAGAGGTGGTGGTGGTGACACGAAGTCGACATCAGACACTGAGATACCGAACTGAGGATCCCGAGGTAGAGACGCCGAGAAGACACCGACCAGAAGATGCCGACACAAAAGTGACTCGATGGTCAATTCAGTCGTCATTCGTCAAGAGGGAGTCGCTCTTCAAAGTCTCTTCACCCTCGTTGCTCCTTATTGCAGGCCATCAAGGAAAGCATCAAGGCACGCCCAAGGTCACACAACCGCAAGATCTGCAGAGTTGGGAGCCAAGCGCTTGTCCATTTGACGAATCTGGAAGATCTGCTCGACCCTTTTGCCGTATGCGGTAATCAGAATGCTGTCGATGGTGTTGAGATGCTGACAGGAGAACAGCGAAAACAGCGGTGGAAGGCCGGAGAGAAGTGCATTTGATGAGAGAATGAGGGGGTATTGAAGAGGAAGAGAAAACTTAGTGCAGATGCATCAAGTCGCCAATACAAAAAGATTTTCTCCATGCCCCTCTTCCCATCATCGTGCCTTCCACATTCAACATCGCAGAGTGTTCCAAAGCGGTGTCCCTTCTCAAGGAAGGAACGAAGATGAAGTCAAGAGTGGAGGATGGAAATGTTAGTAGATTGATCGACAGGACCTCAATGGCGTTATCGCTGCACGTCAATTGCAGCCCGGGCACGCTAAAGCTGCACGCAATACCTCAAACAGGACAGTCGCAGGGCACTGCAGCCACTAACAGTGCCGCCTGTCTTGTAGCACAATCCACTGCATCCAGGCAGGAGCCTCCTCCACCGTCTCTTCAACTTCACAACAACATCGTGAACGTGAACGGCAAGCGCGACGGAAGTCCCCAAAGTTCACGGGAGATACTTCGCGGCAACATGTGATGAGAGAGGTTCTTCAGACCGCAATTTAATATGAAATGCGACGAATCATGACTGTTTATATTGCAAGGGCTGAATGCTCTTATACCAGCAAGGCCGCATCCACAGTCGGCAACAGCATGTCCAACCAAGAGTCAACACCAAGACGGAATCGCGAAGTAAACAAGGCACCACCAAATTCACAAAGGGCAAAATAACGATATTCCAGACCGCAACTTCACCCGAAATGCAACGAAAGTGAAGAGCTTGGCGTACAGGGACCATAATGTCTGCAACAGTATGTCCAATCGAGAGCCGACCCTCTCTGAAGAGCATCGTCATCCACTTGTGCTGGCAGCAAGAACGTCAAGCAGTCCACCCGGAAAGAACAGTGTCTCTCCACTGCGTACCAATATCAACGTCTTCCCACGATCTCAAAGAACCCCAAAAGAACTTTGGACTACTTCGTGTTGACCAAAGCAGAATCACTGCATAGGCCCATCAGTCAAAAGTCAACAAAAAAAGCGATCGCATGAACACAGAAGGTAAAATCCATTAATACCTCCTCCCATGACCCTCTCTTTTCCCTAACATACATTATCCAAATCATATATAGAAAACAGTCAGAGTCAGAGGCATAGTCAAAACGTCCCAAAACAAAGAACGCCGCTGAATGGTATACCTAAAAACTCCCAAAAAAAAAAAACAAGGTACAAGAAGTCGAAGAAGCAGAGAGGAACCACCGCTGTTAAGGACGAGATAAGACATCAATTACCCATTAACATTAACATTATGTCCTTCACTCTCTCTCTCCCCCTCCCCTTCCCTATTCAGACATGACATGACCTAGGTATACCCGCTCAAAGGGCAGAGACCTCCTCAAAGAAACATCAACCCAACAAACCCAACCACAGCCGCCAACGCGCTCGCCCCCTGGGCCGTCGTCTTCGCACCATTATTCTTACTAGACGGACCACTTCCACTTCCACCATCATCACAGCTCTGCGAGAACCCGTTCATACCGCAGGCGTTCGAGTCACCGCTCGCGCTCCCACTGTCCCCGGAGCTTCCACTGCCGTCACTGCCGGACGATCCAGACCCAGAACCTCCCGAGACAGTCCCCGACCCACCACCAGGCACCTGACCAGCCGGCGCGCTTCCACCGCCAGGAATCGATTGCGGGACCGTAGTCCCCTTTGCGCCTCCAGACTTGGTAGCGCTCGCCGATCCGCCCTTGGTGTTGGTCTGCTTGCCCGCGTCCATATCCGTTCCCGTACCGAGGAAGGAGGCGAGGTCGGTCCGCTTGTTGCTATCCACCACAGTATCGTTGGTCGCGCGGTACGAGTTGTAGTAATACGACTTGCCATTGTTCGTCCCCGGCGGGCTCTTGGCGTCCCAGCACTGTACGTCGATTTCTCCAAAGGTAGCAAAGTAGTAACCATAGTTGTTGATGTCCTCAGAGTCCCAGCTAATGGGACCACCCGCCCAGTCGATCGTGCCCTTGGCGTTGGTCGCGGCGCCGCCGGGCCAGATGGAGAGCTGCACGCGCGAAGGGGTTTGGGGGAAATCCCACTGGTTGGCGGTGGCGTTCCAGGTCTCCGACTTCAGCTTGGTGCGGCCGACTTGTCCGTCGACGAGCCACTGGATCTGGTCGGGCGTCCAGCGGATCTCGTACTCGTGCCAGTTGGCGTAGGTGTCGGTCACGGTGATGTTACCGCTGTTGACATAGGACGGGATGCCCTGGAAGTAGTAGTTGGTTTGGGCGGTCGTCAGCTCGGTGCCGACGAACTCGTAGTCGATTTCGTCTTTGACGTCGGACATGAGGATGAAAGCCGTAACCACGCCGGCGCCGCGCGAGGTCTTGAGCCGGGCCTTGACGGAGCCGTACCACATGTAGGTTGTCGAAGCCAGGACGGTGCCGACCGAGTTCTTGGGCATGGTGAGGAGGGTGTTGTCGTTGTAGGAGACGGGCTCGCCTTGGGATACCCAGTCGGCCTTGGAAGGGTCGCCGAGGTACTCGCTGATGTCGACGATCTTGGACATGGAGGCTTTGTCCATCTTGTAGGTCTTGTCTTGGCAGACGGGGGCGGGCACGCAGGAGTCTAGAGAGAAGGACATGCGCGGGTCGCAACCGCCGAGGCAGTAGGCGCCGACGCCGCATTGGCCGTATTCTGCGGTGCGCGGATAGATGCGTTAGTGAGATGCGAGGGAACCAAGATGTCAAGACAGCATTGATGTTGTGTCAACTGAACAAGTGAGAAATGAGAACCAAAGACTTACGAGAACAGCAAGGTGCCGACTCAGGACATCTCTTGTCCAACGAGCAAGTAGGGATATCATCGGCGAGGACGTTGCCCGCGCCGAGCAGGGCAGCGGCGCCCAAAGCCAAAACCGTCGAACGCATTTTGATTTTTTTTTGTGTATGATGTTGGTGTTTCAAATAAGAAAACGACAGTGATGTTGCCCGTCAAACGAACCGACAAGGACAATGATGTTGACAGTCGACTTGACGGGGGGAGTCGTATCGTAAAATATTAAAATTACCCAAGGGACCCAGAACAGCCCATGTGACCCAGACCCTACCAACAACGGCCCTTGCAAGGGATAGCCTATAGGGATTCCCCGTACCGTACCGGATAAGATGGCCAAATTCGGATTCGTTGCCTTTCGCCTAGTCGATCACCTAGTCGATGCCTACTTGCTCCCTGGTCGTTCGAGGCGTGCTCCCCCGGATGGTTGTCCGTTGAATGTGCAGATGGGGCAGTGTGTGGTCTCCGCTATGCGCGTGCTCGCAGTGAATCCTTCGTTCGGGAAAGGAATGGAGCAGCTTGGCAAAAACAGCCTGATGTGAAAGTTGTTGGTTTCAAAGAAATGCTGTGTTGGCGCTGTGATTGTGAGGGGTCGTCGAAAAATCCACTTTGTTGTGAGTGAAGAGATCCTTTGCTTTCAGTCCCAAGTGATTGATGGTCGTCGCCCCGGGTCGTTCGGCACCGAGGTTGATGTTGATTAGACAACGAGGGTGCTTGGTTTCCACTTGCGTTCCAGTTTCCGTTGTTTCCACGGGTAGCGATAACGATAGTTGGTTGGTGAAATGATGGGAAAAGCGAGAGTCGACCGAAGTCAGAGTGAAAGAGGAGGAGGGGGAAAGAGGGAAAGAGGGAAACAGGGAAGGAGGCGAAGGCGAATGCGAGGCGAAAGGAGAGACGGGAAGGAACCCTTCTTCAATGATTTCTTTCAAAGCTGCCCACCACTTCCTGGATCTAGAAGTTGGAGAAACACTGCAGGCAGTTCGGATCAGTTCAAGTTTCCGTGCCGTTCGCTCGGTTCCATCCAGCGGTTGAAACCAAACAATGGGATGCCAATCCCGTGCAAGTCAGTCAGTCAGTCCACCCTTCGCAACACAATGGGAAGCTCTTCCAAGCTTCTCAACGGCTCCCAGGGAACGCCGAACGAATGGACGGAACGGGAAAATCGGATAATGGAGGGCCGTCACCAACCAAACCCGAACGACAGGATTCTGGTGATCAACAAAAAGTCAGTCGACCATTCCAAAACTCCAAAATGTGGGGGAGCCCGTGAAAGAGCGGGAAAATGATGCAGGAAATAAAACGGGGAAACATTTGACAGGGAGTGGATCGGTCGGGTGCTCCAAGGGACATTAAACTGTGGAGAAAGAAAGTTCCACTCCCTCGTGATCGAATCCACTCCCTAGAAAAGATGGGAGCCCAGGCCTTTTCCCTTTTCTCACCAAACTAAGAGCCAATTCCAAAAGGGATTCCAATGGAAGGAGAGAAAAACGATCAGCTCTGTTCTCTGCTTGCGCATTGGATTTCATGATTCTTTGGATCTATCACTTTCCACATACATGCTGATAATTAACATTGTGCAGCAGCTGACAAAAGTCAGAACGGCAGCGCTAGGAAACCCTGTGCTGACAGTCAGTCTGACATTGACGCCACCTTGTCAGTTCGTGTTGGACAATCGCGCGCTTCCCGATCTGGATGTTGCACAGCACTATCGCCGACCGGCCCGGTAATGTCTGGGCCTGGGACCTACTCTTGGTGAATGGAATGGAGGGGAAATGCATTGTCTCCCTGGGAATTGGGCATGGTCTGGGAATTGAGGAGGTCAAGCTCAACGGTTCAGTTCATGTGCAAAGGGACTCATGCACGACAGTCAACGTGTGGCGTCGGCCCAGTTGATTGGGACTGGTTGCGAATTGACGGCCCATCACGAACTCTTTAGGCTTCAGGAACCAACCCTAGCCCACGAGAATGGGCCGCAAGGTGATGCGATGTGATTGGGAATTTGTGATGCCGCCCACTGGATGGATGGATGGCTTGGGGCTGAGGTTGCTGAAGGTACCAAACGCCACCCATTGCCGGCTGGACTTGACATCTGGGTGAGCTGGGCGAAATGTCTCTCTTTGTCTCCGATCCTGATCTTGGACAGCTGAGGTTTATTTTCCGCAAGGTCTCTTCTTCGGCAAAGATCGTGGTGTGGTCGGGTTGATGCAACATCGTGTTGATGTATTGAGGCATAAAACGTACCGGTACCTCGTCAGTCGTCAAGCTCGTCTGGAAAAGCATCATCCTATCACGATTCACAAAATCTCGAAGTTCAGTTGCTTGCTTGCCCCACACCTTGTTACATTGGATATTGCTGAGGCGGGCTATAGACAGACTACCCCCTCTCCCTATATCTAGACTACTTAACCGCTTCAGGCAAGACTTCCAGCTTTTTTCCGCCGTACAAAAAAAGGGTCGCGCAACCTCGAAGGAACCACGTCAGGCCAAGTGCACTGAAAGTCCCAATCTTCAGCGATTGCAGCTCGGTCTTTAGGGCAGCAAGTCGTATTCCAAAATACTGGTTCGTACACTTCAATTTTACAATACACTCCAACGGAACCTGACCGGGCAATGCAAGAGCAAACAACAATTTCCATGTCCAAAGTGGTTGTCGTTTACTGCAATTGATAACCTGGAAATAATATTCTTCGTCAAGGTCTTAAATCCAATCTCGCTCAGGTTTTGCTTTTGGCTTTTTGAGGGAGTACATTTGGTGAAAGTACATAGCCTTGACTTTGAGCGTGACCAACCATTTCTTGGAAGAGTTTGCGAAAAAGACCCATCGTGGGCTAACGGACTTTGGCCTTGTTTCTGGGTTGGGATGTTAGCGATTGATAAGATAAGTCAAATTCCTGAAAGTCATGCCCAAAGCGGTTAAGTAGTCTAGATATAGGGAGAGGGTGTAGTCTGTCTATAGCCCGCCTCGATATTGCTTGCATTGAGCGAGCGGGTCACCGCGGTGGGACTTGGCCGTTGCCCAGACTTTGGATTTGGATTTTTGGAGCACAAGCATCACCACGGCAGCGTGCACATTTGGAGTTGTGGGGTTGAGGTTGAGGTCGACGACTGGAATGTGTTCATTCCATTGCTTCTGTTTCTCTTGCATCTCTTTTCTTGCATCTCTCCCAGCTCTTGCATCAGCGTCCTCTAGGAGCTTCTCCTGTTACCGCGCCTCTGGTCTTCATTTCCCTCGTCCCTGTGCCACAAGCCCCAAGCAGCAGGCCAGCAGCATCAAAATCCCCGACTGGTCATCCCCAGGCTCCCAAACATCACCCTCGACGATCTCTTGGCAGCAGCTCTCCCCCTTCATCCTCTCTGTACGACGCCATATGAGGCAAGTGGTGAGACAATCAAACGCCTGGAAACGCCCCCCAAAGACGCAAGTCATTTCGCACTTTGTTGTGCATCTTTGTGCCGCTCAGCGCCTCCACTGACTGCACTGCAATCAAAGTTACCTGCAATGCCTGCTATGCACATCGTCCAGGACTGTGGTGATCTGTGATCTGCCTTGGCTTTGGCTGCCTTTGCGGGCTTGGTGGTGTGTGCTTTTGACAGCTGCGGGCGGCTGCGACCTTTGTGATACCTTTACTTGATAGGGTACCTCGAGGTAGAAGGGTAATGGTGCGCGGCCAGGCGTATCTTCGCAAGTTGAGGCTTTAGGATTGGAGAAACGAAGTTCTTGGGAGGCCCGTACTGGTGAGAGCTTGAATACTCCGAGTACTGCGAGGAGCATGATGACAAGCAGGGGAAGGACACCAATGTTGATGGGAAAGAAGGGAAAAGCAGGAGTCAAAACTCCAAGCGGATGACGATTTTCCACTGCTCCCACCGTCAAGACACCATGAAGGTTCCCTACTAATTCCCCTAATCGCAAAGCCATACTTCAAGTATCGTAAAGAAATGCCGAACTTCCTTGCAATGGACAGTTCCACCAACAGTGTCCTCCGTTAGCGCAGTACCTGCGATAGCAAGTCAGGACGAGCGATAAGACAACCTCACTAAGTACCGCACTAACAGACATCCAATCCAAGTACCCAACCGCGGTGCATACCCAAATTGAACCAACCAACCTCAACTAAAACCTCCTATGATACGTCCCTTTCCTGATATCACATTTTCGCGGGAAATATTTGTCCTGTCCTGCCTGGAGCAAAGTAGCCTGCCTGTAAAATATCTACCTCAACCATCTTCCTCCTCATTCATGCCCATTGCTCACTCACTCATTGTCGCTCATCACTCAGTGTCCCAACTCCCAACCAAGCCGTCGAGAGGAATGGCAATAGGCTTCTGCTCTCGCAGAACACTATGTGACTTGTACGCCGCTTGTGTAGCATGATACATCTACTTCCTGGACTCGTTCCTCCCCCAGTGACTTCTTTAATTCCTCTTGAACTTCTTGCCACTTGAGGCAGCCCGGTGCCCTCGCACGAGAAAGCAAACTTGCGCCCGGTTTGCCATACGTCGGTGGAAACGAATACATACACGCTTCAAACTCACTCATTGGCCACAGAGACCCATCTATCTACCGAGTATCAAGCAACGTGGAGTACCTGGACGGACCTATGCCACCATCCTCGTCCTCTGGAAAAGTGAAAGTAGGTAGCGATCTCGATCTGAGGTTTAAAGAGCATGCATGGCCAAGTACCTCTAACCTCTAGCCTCTAGCCTCTGGCCTCTAGCCTCTGGCCTCTAGCCACATCATCAAGTGTTGAGCATATGAAAGCATGTGAAAGGCCAAGTACATAGGAAATTCACCTAACCCATCTCTTTCTTGACCACTTACAACACCAACCAGAACGGAAGTTCTTTATCGAACGAGACTGAGCTACTATCCTCTACCGCTCTGGCCAGTGCCGGACTTGATGCCCGGAAACACCTGCTCTATCTATCTCTCCTTGTTGGGCGATGGACTTAAGGGCTTTAATGACTAACGTACGCAGCATGTCGTACTTCGTTGGAATACGTAGGGAATATGTAAGGTGTCGATACCCAAGTTGTATACGAAGATAAATTTCATGAGTCTGTCTGTGATCGGCCGGTCCAATCGAAGCCGGCATTCCGTTCCGACAGCTGCCATTGGATCGGCTACGGCAACGGAGCAGACTCCTTATGTCCATTCAGCGTTTTGGGCTCGAAGAAAATATGGATACGCCGGCTTGCCCGGTTGATGGGGAGTGTCCAGTCGGGTAGAATCGGTCGAGGTATTTTGCAGTGTTACATATCATGAAATTTCAACTTGAGGAAGGTGCGTTCACCGTGGTATTAGACATTCCATCTTGACCGCGGTGAGACGATGACGACGGTGAGTGTGATGACTTAATAGCTTGAAGTGAACGCAAGACTGGGGGTATAAAGCAACTCAGTGACTACTACCAACCTGCTAACCTGCTACCAACCTTGAACCTTACTACGCACCAACTACACCACCAAAATGACTATCGAACAAGAACAGGATCAATCTCTCCAACCATTCACTTCTCCAGCTGCACTTCTTCTTGCATCATCATCCATGACATGGTCCCTGAAGACCACCAACACCGTCAACTGCAGCCAGCATCAAGGGACCAGTGTATGTCTTGGGAGTGAGTATTCTACCCGTTGAGCAATGTCCTCCACAAGAAAGTTATATCCACCACCATGTCCAACCCATCTAGCAACTTCATTCACCGCATTCACCAAGTTATGTCCGTCTGCCATTCTTCATCACGTCAATCCACCAACGTTCACGACATCCACAGTACAGCATTCGACATCAACACATCAGCAAAGAGGAGATTTGTTCGAACCAACGGGGAACCAACCGACGATCGATACCCATCACGCGCGCGCGCAAGCCTAAAAGCAAGAAATCTTTTTCCATAGAAAGCCCTTCCTCCCTTTCTCCAACTTCCGAAAAAAGACAAGTCCAAGCCCAGGAGAGAATAAGGAAATAAGAAAATTTTTCGATTCGATAGAGGTTCTTCTTTAACCATTCCGATGAGGTGGACAAGTAAATGCCCACCTTTGGCAGACACAGACACGTGTCTACGATATGTTGATCTTGCATCCGAGAACACCAACGACTAAGCTAAAGCCCGACCTTATCTGTTTTATAAGGACCGGCCTGGAGACGTCGGAAACCCAAGGAACCCGAGGGTACCGGGTTGTCCGACTACGATTGCCAGAAAGATGCCGCGCAGCAGCCTAGGCCACGAGGGCCAAGGCAGATGTAGTTCTTGTAAAGAGTATTTTTGCTGACCCCGCTGCAGACAGAGGGCAGCTTTGCAGAGCTCGTTACTGGCAATCAGAATCTTGTCGTGTCGGCGATGACGTTGTCATCCATCTCTAGCGAGCCTTCTGAGGCGCGAAGAGTTCTAAACCACGAAAACCCAAACGTTAGCACAGCTGGTCATTCTGACTCACGGTAAGATCGGAGAATAAGGGACCAAAACATACCAGGGAAATGCTCCTTGGCATACTGCTCGCAAGCCTTGGCCGGCTTGCCGACCTTGGCACCAATAGCCTTCCACTTGTTGTTCTCGTACTCCTTGATGGCGTTCATGAGGGCGGCGCTCTGTTTTACGTCTCAGTCAGCATCTGTTGCTTCTCACCGCACCAATAGCATGTCACCAATGTAGGTAGGGGGTAAAAGAAGGTGGGCGCTAACTACCTCATCCTCAGCAAACTCGGCGTAATGCATGTCCTTGTACCAATGCTTCTTGACGGAGCCTTCAGTGCGGGTAGGGAAGGTCTGTTTTATCATATCGTCAGCTTTGTTCGTCAAGTCTTTAGATCAGAACACGGGCAACGTACCTTGGCAATCTCAGCCCAACTGTTACCCGCATCGCGCATCTGCTTCAAGCGATGCTCCTCCGCCGGGGTCCAAGGAGTATTGGTGCGACTTTTCTTGGCCGGTGGCGGGGCGGACGCATCGGAGGCGGGGGCAGGAGCGGGAGCAGCAGGTTGAGCCTGAGCAGGAGCGGGAGCGGGAGCCTGGGCCTGAGGGACGGGGACGGGCTGAGCGGCCGGAGGAGGGACCGGAGTCTGCTGCGCGGGGGGAGCAGCTTGGGCAGCCTGATGGGCCTGAACCTGGGGCTGCTGCTGCTGCTGCTGAGCCTGCTGTTGTTGGGGGGGCTGGGGGACGGGCGCATGCTGAGGCTGGCCGGCTTGCGACACGTGGTGTTGAGAAGGAGCGTGTTGCGCTTGGTGTTGAGGAGCGTGTGGCGGCGCGTGGGCGATCTGAGGAGCGTGTTGGGGATGGGGGGAAGGTTGCGCGCCGGGAGCGTTGCGCTTACGGCCCCTTGGCTGGGCGGGAGCAGGAACTGGAGTGGGTTGTTGTTGTTGTTGCTGCTGCTGGGCTGGCTGTTGCGGCGTCACTTGGGGTTGAGGGGCATGGGACATGGGAGGCTGGACGGGGGCGGCCTGATGGTGCTGTTGGTGCTGCGTGTGTTGCTGGTGCTGGGGCTGATGCTGCTGGTGATGTTGTTGATGTTGGGCATGTTGCTGCTGCGGCGGCTGCTGCTGGCTTTGGGCGTAGGCGCGAAAGTCCATGGGCGGCTGGTCGCGACGAGTCAACTCGGGCTGCTGGGCATAGTGGTTCGGGCTGGGATACCAGGCGGATTGGTTAGCAAACGCGCTCTGCTGTTGTTGTTGCGGCTGCAACTGCTGCTGCTGATGCGGAGGAAGATGGTGCTGGGGCAGCGCCGGCATCGACGGCGTGGGTTGACGCCATGCCTGAGCATGAACGTCATTAGGGACCCGCTGCTGCTGCTGCTGCTGTTGTTGTTTCTTCATGGCAACGGTTGCGGGTTGCGGGTTGCGCTTGCGATGCGATGGGTCGCTGCGTCCTCGGGTCGGCCTGGGGCACGAAGCACCAGGCTGCACCGCGACAGCAGGGGTCGCAGTCGACAGACGTGAACGCGAACACGGGTCGTGTTGATGGGACGAAGAAAAGAATGGGTGTCAAGGGGAATGACGGGGATCAACCAAGGTATCGAAACAAGGCCCGAGAGGTAACTTTTGGCGCGCCGACGACAGAGGGTGGGAAAGGATGACGAAGCAAGACGAGTCAAAGGATGGTAATTGTTTCTGTGCGTGGGTAATAATATGGAAAGGTACGAGGCCAAGCCAGGCGACAGAAGTAGATGGGAGGTGTTTATCCAACCCAGTCCGTGTCTGGTCAAGTCCAGGTCCAGGCAGGGTCTCGGCCGGGCGCGTGTGTAGGTAGATGTACTGCAGGCGGCAGGGGGGAGGTGTCTCTTGTCTCTCTGTCTGTGTCTGTCTGTCGAACGGATGATGCCCGTGCTTGCCTCGACTTTTTGACTGATGCTAGCGCGACTGGGACTGGTCTTTCGTGCTGCTGATGCCGATATGCCTGCTCCTGTTGCTTGCTTGCACTGCCGCTCGTACAGTAGGTAGTAGGAGTAGCTGGTACCCGGAAGAGCGAGTTGTTACTCGTACTCTTTCTTTGTCCAAGTCTTGCAAGTGTTCGCAGAGAGAGGAGGAGGAGGACAAACAAGGCCCAGGACGGCACGCGACGAGTACATGGGCATGGGGATGGGGTACATGAATGATGAAGAAAGAAGTCAAAGTGATGGTGGATGGGGGGGAAGTGGGAGGGAAGGAGCATGTATCATGTAAAAGTGATTGATGCGTGCGGGCGTGGGAAGGGGAAAGAGACAAGATGCTGGTGGGTGACGGGGACCTGGATCTCTTTCTCGTGCAGGGCCAACCGCGGACCACACTAGTCTAGTCTCTCAAGCCGAGGCGACTTGTCGCTAGCTAGTCGAGTAGCAGCCAGTACGTAACCTGATCCCAAACACACACAATGTTGTGTCGAGGGAAGAGATGGAGAAGAGGTGATGGGACAAGGAAATGGTACCTCTAGACAGACAGACAGAACAGAAGAGAGACGACGGTTCGTGTCTTGGACTCGAGGCACCGAGTGAGGTATCTTTGGGAGGGGTTTGGGAGAGGGAAGGAAGGGACAGACAGATACGAAAAAGGTACAAGGAAAGAGGTACTTACTGAAGGCCATTGGGGTGGTTGGTGGAGTTGGGGTAAACAGTGTACTCCGTTGTCATGGCGGGCATAGGCTGCGGCGGAATCGTCCACTGCTCCATCTTTGCGATTGTCGACTGAGTCTTTTTTTGCAAAAAGTCAAAGAGTTAGTAACCGCTGAACTGTAGTAGTGCAGATTCGGAAATGGATTGTACCAAGAAACGATCGAATGGATGGAATTGCTTTTGTGTGGATGCTGCTGGTAAACTGGCTTTGTGAATGATGACTGAGCGCTGTTTTTTTTCTTGCTCTCTGCGGGCGGCGGCGGGCAATGAGGGAACGGAAGAATGAGCTGATGGGGATAAAATGGGGAAAGATTGGCCAAGCTAATGCCCATTCTTTCGTGACGCTCGGGGCTGCAGCAGCAGCAACTCTGTCTCCAACGGACGAATTGCTTTTGCTCTGCTCTGCACTGCTTCTGCTTCTGACTGTCTGCTTTTGCCGCTCTGGGCTGCCGGATATGAATGCCTCTGAGATGGGATATGCATTGGCCTGCCTCTTCTTTTTTTCCTCTGCTCTGCCACCTGCTGTCGCGGATAAGCTCTCTTCTTTTTCTCGGTTTTTTTCTTGTCTTGTTGTCCTCTTTTTTTTCGCTGTCTGTTTTCTTCTCTTCTTTTCTTCTTCCTCTTCCAGCTTTATGCTTGCTGTGGTGACCATCCAGAGCTCAAAGTGAATGGCTGAGCTCCAGCAAATCACAGCTCAGCATTGAGCCCGCGTCATACTTCCTCACTGCCCGTGTGGCGACCACACACTGGCACCAAGAAAAAAGTGACGGTCTTGGGTCACCCCAAACCTGCGAATGCTGCACGCAGGAGAGGGAAGAGGAAGGGGGAAAAGGGTGAAGGGCAATTTGGAGGCGTCGGTGCCGACAGCTTTTCCTCTTGCACCACTGCATGATAAATCCCACTCATTCCAACCGACCAGCAGAAGCGGCAGCAGCAGCCGAAGCCGAAGCAGCAATCATATCTCTCTCATAACGGGCAGGTTGGGGGTTGGTTGGTTGATGAGGCCGGCCAGAGCAGTGACAGTGGTGGTGGCATCAACTTGCATCTGTTGATGTTGCGGCAGGCTGGGCGTCATGATAAAACACCAAACACACACTGGAAAACTCGGTAGTGAAAATGAGAGTAACCAGATAGGGCAGGCAAGCAGGCAGAGCAGAGGCAGTGTGCAGTGCAGTGCAATTGCACACGATATCGCGCAAAAGGGAAAATGGATGGATCGGGATGTGAGCAAAAAAAGGGCGAATGATATGAATAGAACATGATGGGTGATGACAAGGGGATGGGGGGATATCGATTTTAACAGAGAGATGCACTTACTGGCAGAATTGGCCGTGTCAAAAGAAAAAGTTAAAGTTGCACCCAAGTCCCGAACGACCGGAGCGACGTGCGAGATGCGATGCAAAGCTATGTGTAGAGGTGACTTTGACGTCTCTTGTTTCTTCAGGTAGAGGTAGAGTTGAGGTATAGTCGATTGACGGGGTGATGTGCGCGAGGGCGGGAACCTCTTGTTGACCTCGATGGAGGGTTGTTGCAAAGTACTCTCAGAGTTCCCAGTGTGCGATACTGCTGCTGTTGCTGCTGCTGTTGCTTGCTGGGAGGGGTCTTGGGTCTTGGGGGACGACACTTCTTTCTCGACTGCTGATGGACAGAAGTACCTCGACGGGAAAGAGAACCTGGAGAGGACCTCGAGTCAAAAAAAGAGAGTTGCGCCGGGGAGGGGTGGCTGGGGCTTTGGAGGTGCCTGCCTTTGGGAATTTGGCTCTAGCGGCAGGCCGGTATTTCGGATGGGGAAGGCGGCACTGGATGCGGAAAGCTGTTTGTGACTGGAATGTGCAAACGCGCGCGCAACAGATGGATGTGGAAGAAGTGGACCACGGAAAGTCCCTTGACTTCTTTTTGGTTTCGGCCGAGATCTCCGGATTTCCTGGACCGCGGTGCTTGTTCGGTGGGTGATGTTGCTGATTCTCGATAAAAAAGGTACCTCTTTGGCTTTGAAAGCTGGGAGCAGCTGTTTTGGGGGACCGATGGAAGCGGGGATGTCACGAAAAAGCTCTATTTTTTCTGAGCCCGTGACCCACGCAATCGGACTGGAATCTCGTCTGTTTTTGGATATGCCGGACCGATTCTTCCTGCTTGCCGGGCCGTCGGCTAGGATGGGATGGCAGAAATGGAGGGGTTGCCAGGTGATGAAGTCATGAAAGACTCGGGTACGCGCACGGCACTACAGCCTCGAAGCCTTCGTCGCTAGTCGAACAAACAAAACCGTCGGCAATGCAATGCACAATGGCCAGATCAGATGAAAACAAAAAAGTCAAATCAGACGTCCTTGACTCCTTGGAGATGCTCAGTGAATGGGAAATGGTTACGTGTAACGACTCTGCACTCGTAAAATCAACATTTCAAGATTTTGGAGATTACGGAAAGATTTTGGAGATTACGAAAGATTTTGGAGATTACGAAAGAAGGCTTGGGCGCAACAATGATTGGCCAGTTTCCTTCTCCAAGCCACCATTTGCAGCTGAGCCGGCGAAATGTCTTGATTCATCCCATCGCATTTTCGCGTCACCGATATCGATATCTTTGATCCTACCTCGCACTTTCGTCTTGCCGGCCTCACGAAAACGGAGTCATTGTCAGAATACGGGTGAATGGGGATGATTGGGGATTCACCAGGTGAAGTTATTCCATGGACGCCAGGGATGGATTGGACCCCTCATCCACCCCTCCCTCGGTACGTACCTTTTGCCAAGGACAAGACCGTGCACAGGCCATTCTGCAGCTCTGTGCATTCAGACATTGCAGCCAAGAGGAAGTGAAGGAAGTCGCGGAGCTGAGCTGAGAAGTCGAGGAAGGAAAGGCTATCAGGCTGAGGGAAGAGCGCATCAAATTTGATGAAGGCAACGATGTTCTGGCATTCTGGAGTTGAGATATTTGTCGATTCCATCAACCCCAAATCGCAATTCTGCTTGCAAAGGGTCTGCGCGACAATGGCCCAAAATGCTACATCTGATCAGAGTACTTGGTGGTACCTCTTCGGCCGGTACCTCCTCTCTACCTTTGGCGATAGTGCATACAAGTCACTGCTGCTGTGGGTTTGCGTCTGAGCTAAAACAAGCAGCCTGCACTTTGTACTCCACCAGCCACCAAGAGCTCCTCCTCCTCGACAAATCCTAACCTCTTCCGTTCATTATCCTGTCAATTTCATGACCCGTCAGAAAAAGCTCCAACAGTTCTCCATGTCCGAGAGAAATATCACCATGTCAGTTTTCCATGAGCATCAAGCCCAACGGGAATGCCGGCCTGTCGGTAAACCAGGGCAGCCAACTCCCAACCTCCATCTCGATCCATCTCGAATCCGTTGTCAGACAATCACCAACCGGTCGCCCAAAAGCTTGGTGGTACGATGCACTCTCGCTACATGCAGTTCTTGCGTGTCACCATATCGACTATCGACTTTTATATGGACCTTCAACATGGCCGATACAACCCAAGCCACATCACATGCTAGACTATCACTCATCAACTATGTACGAGAACCCCAATCCAGCTACTTCTTACCTAGAGCCGGCTTCAAGCCGGACTTGATGTCGGGATCGCAGCTATGATACCGAATTTCAACGACAGAAGATCAGAGAGGTAGCCTTGTCACCACGGCACCGTTGAACACTTCAACTCGCTTCCCGTTCTACAAGCGCCACATCTCAAAGGGAGAGGTAGGTATACAAAACAAGACACGCACATCTGTCTACCAAACTGAAACAGAACGTACAACTCGGCTACCTCAAACCAGAGTACATACCCGAGTCCTCCTAGACCTGAGGATCAACTGCTCATGATCAGAATGAGAGGCGGCCCTGGACAAAGCGAGTTAAAAAATTTCCTCAGTGGTAATGGACGTCAGTAGGCGTTGAGTGACAAACTAGCATCACAGCCGAGTTCCTGGCCGATCTCATAGGGAAACAAATGGATGGTGATGTCCCGAAGTCGGTGACAACACCAGGGTTATGACAAAGTACCGGTACCATTACCGTCCAAGTGGAAAGTCAAAACGCTCATCTAACCCTACCCACGACTTTGGATCTTCCCCACGTCCAAGTCCCCACCAACCCTGGTCATTAATTCAGTGACTTTAAAATCTTCTCCGGTACACACGTCGACAAGGTCGACGATGTATAGTGATGTACATCTCAAGAGTCTCATACTGTATTAACATACACTTCCCCTTTCCCACGTAGGCCATCCCTCTTCCACCCCCAATCTACTGTAAAAGGCACCGACCGGCTCGTGTATCGATCCATGTCCATACCTTAAGCACACTACTAGCCAACCAGTTGATCAAGTATATTTGAGCCTCATCAACCTCACATCACAATACATATACCCTTTGCGTATAACCGCCAGTAGCCAAGCTCACCAACTATCTAGATCTTGATCCAGCTTTCCACCTTTACCATCCGTGCGCGTAGGGTACTACTACCTCTAGCGATAACATCTGCCATGCAATCAATGACCATTTCAACTCTCCGTGGCTAAACTGCGCATCAACAGTACTCACATTAACGCGCCGTACATATATAGGGTAGGGTTTTGCTTGACCAAGGTGGAGGAAACATGCATGCATTCAATTCAGCAACACGCCTGGACCCTGAGCAGCACCGAAGGACAAGAGGTAAATAGATAGATAGATGCACGAAAATGTAAGAAGGAGATGAGACGGAAAAAAAAAAAAAAAAAAAAAAAGACTACCTGAGAAAGAAAACAAAAACACAACAGAAAAAAAAAAGAGGGGGAGAAGGAAAACAGCGTGAATAAGGCAAAGAGAGAATCATGAAAATAGATACAAATCACTTCATCACCCAAAAAAAAAAATAAAAAAAAAATAAAAAAAAAAAAAAAGAAGGAGGAAAACAAATTCGTCGGGGAGAGTTGGAGCCTACAGACCTAGGAAGCCATGGAAGAGCATGATGAACTACCCATTAACTACCCATTGTCAGTTCAGCATTATAGCACCACCGCACATATGTAGACCTGGTGGCTCCGGAGACCCTTCCAATATCTACCTAGGTATCTATCTATCTATCTGCCCAGATCATTCATTCATTCATTCATTCATTCATGACTAACTGCCTGCAAATTAGTCCCTAGACTAGGTAACTAGGTAACTGGACCTCATCGTCATTTCCCTTGCGTGCACGGAAAAAAAGTGGTATGTAGAACCAACCAACCCAACCTCAGACAAGACTTGAGATGGATGACAAGGAACCAAGGAACTAGACCATGTATGTGGTGTTTGGTTTGTTGAAAGTACAAAAGATGGGGGGACTGGGAGGTAAGTAAGGTAAGTGTGCCGACAGACCGGGTAAGATGAACTCAAGTAGGTAGGTATCCAGCGGAAGAGGGTTGTGAAAAGATCAGATGTTTATGATCAATTACTGACTGACCTCATCGACACATCTTCTCCTGGCTTTTTGGCCCATCTACATACAGTATTGTTCTCATGAAGGACCAGGATACAGTTCGCGGTTTATGGTCATCACAATGATCACAAGCCATGGTTTTAAAAAGGATGCCATTTAGGTAACGAAGTCGATTCCTGCGCAGAGCAATAAATACTTGACGTATTGCTCTTAACTTCCTCATGCTGGATTGGATAGTGGTACATGATTTTTCTTGCGAGACTTCCTGCCAACAAGGCTCCAATTCGATTTTGACCAGTACATTTGTACCAACCAGGAGGGAGAAAACACACTCAATTCGCTCACCAGAAAAATGACACCCGAACCTCGACATGCAAAGATGGCGATAGTTTAGCCGATATACACCCAATTCCACAAAGGTATCAGCATCAACTCGAAAGACAACGAATCGCCACAAGGTCTCCGCTAATCAACATGCGAGATATCTTCACTCAAGAGCCCCAACACTTCAACAGAAACAAGCAATTCTATGTACTTTTCCGTTTCCCTATGTGAAACAGAACCCCCGGACGCCATAAAGCCAATTGCGATGCAAGCAGGAAAGACAACCCCAAAGCAAAAGCAAAAGCAAGATGCAACCGCCTACATATATGAAAGTCGATCTAAGTAATACAATCCTCTTTCCTCACTTCACCCGTCTCTGTTCCTCAACCCTTCTTCTGATCGTGATATGGGAGAATAGGGCACGACACCATATCCTCCATCCTTCTCCACTATTTGTCAAGACTTGGCCCTGGAGCCAGTGCAACTGATGTCAGAGGTACTTAGGTAGATGGCCGCTGAAAAACCTCTTGGTAACCCGCACAAATCCCGTATCGTGGAAAGCCCCGCCCGCCGCCTAGTAGGCAGAGTCACCAAGATCGGTAACAGCACCGTGAGAAGCGTCACCAACCAAGCGCGCATACTTGGCAAGAGCGCCGCGAGTAGGCTTCATGACCGGAGGCTTCCACTCCTTCTTGCGCTCATCCAGCACCTTCTGGATCTCCTCCTCACCCTCGACGCCTTCGACGGTCTTGATAATGTCGATACGGTTTCTAACCGCATCGATGGTGATCAAGTCACCGTCCTTAACCAAGGCAATCGGGCCACCAGTGGCCGCCTCAGGAACCACGTGACCAACGATGAAGCCGTGGGAAGCGCCAGAGTAACGACCATCAGTCACCAAGGCAACGTTGTTGAGGCCGGCGCCCATAATCGCGGCCGAAGCCTTCAGCTGCTCCGGCATACCAGGGCCACCCTTGGGACCCTCGTAGCGGACAATTAGGACCTGGTTGCCCTGCTCAACGGTGATCTCGGAGTTCTTCAGAGCCTTGTCGAGCTCAAACTCCTTGTTGAAGCACCTGGCCTTGCCGGTGAAAGAAAGGCCTTCCTTGCCCGTGATCTTGGCGACAGCACCACCAGGGGAGAAGTTGCCGTAAAGCACGCGAATGTGGCCCTGAGACTTGATGGGATCGCTCAAAGGACGGATGATCTTCTGATCGGGATCCAGGCTGGGCCAGTCGGCCACGTTCTCGGCAAGAGTCTTGCCCGTGATGGTAGGGATGTTGCCGTTAATATAGCCGGCAGCGATAAGCATCTTCAAGACGGCGGGGGTGCCACCGACCTTGTAGAGGTCCTCCATGTAGTAGCGACCGGAGGGAGCCATGTCGGCGAGGAAAGGTGTCTTGGCGCTCACGCGGTTAATGTCGTCCAGGGTCAGGTCGACATCGGCCGAGTTGGCCATCGCCAGGTAGTGAAGAACACCGTTGGTAGAACCACCGAGAATCATGGTCAAAACGAGGGCGTTCTCGAAAGACCCCTTAGTGAGGAGGTCACGGGGACGGATGTCCTTCTCCATGCAGATCTTGATATACTCTGCAGCCTTCTCGCACTCACGGAACTTCTCGGGCGAGGCGGCGGGGAAGGAAGAGGAGCCGGGGGCAGTGAGACCCATGGCCTCGATGGCGGTGGCCATGGTGTTGGCGGTGTACATGCCACCGCAAGCGCCGGCGCCGGGGCAGGCGTGCTGTTCGATGTCATCCATGACATCCGAAGGTGTGGCCTTGCTGTTGGGGCAAGCAGGCTTAAGGCGGCCATAAGTATAGGCACCGGAAGCCTCGTAGCAAGTCACGATGTTGATAGGGCGATCGAGAAGCTCGGAGTGACCGCCGCGCATGGTACCGCCGTAGATCATGACAAAGGGGCGGTTGTGACGAGCCGCGGCCATGATAACGCCGGGCATATTCTTGTCGCAGCCCGGGATGCTGATGTTGGCGTCATGGTGCTGGGCGCAGGTAACAGTCTCGATACTGTCGGCGATGATTTCGCGAGATTGGAGAGAGTATCTCATACCTAGTGGTAAGTTAGCGTCGATTTCATGGCATCGATCCTGACCAGGAGCAACTTACCCTCTCCGCCCATGGTGATACCATCGGAAACACCGATAGTGTTGAACTGCCAGGCGAGCATCTTCTCGCGCTCGACAGCCTTCTTGACCTTCTGGCCAAGATCGAGCAAGTGGGTGCTGTCACCATGTTAGTCCTCGATCTTCAGCCCATCTGACAAAAGATGTTACTCACTTGCAAGGGTTACCCTCCCACCAAACAGTCGCAATGCCCACATGGGGCGCCTTCTTCATCATGTCCTTGTTAGGGACACCAGCGCCGTACAACATGGCCTACATTTTGAACATCGGTATTAGTTATCCCGAGCTTTGCTTTGACACATCCCCGTATCCATGATCGTCATGTCAGGGGGTCCCGTCAATCCCCATGTTCGCCATGCAAATCTACCCCACACAATGCCCACAGCGAAGCTACCCCTCATGAACCACCTCCGCATCCCGTATAAGGAATAGGAATGACGAAGGATGAGCTCGGGATGCTTTGCCGAGCCCCAACCCGAGGTGTTGGGTGTGTGATTCGCTTAAGCGCGGCAGTGGGTGAAGCGGAAATGCCATGACATGAGAGTAACATCATGTGAAGAAGATGGGAAAACAGCGTACCTGAGCTCCGGGGAACTCATGCTCGCGGGTCAAGAAGTGAGACCAACGGTTGAGTTGGTCCGGGTTGCCAGGAGGCAGAGTGCGCCACTGAACGTACTCGCCCTCCTTGGGCATGTTGCGATCAGTGGAGGTGGCCTGACCGGCGGGCAGGCCATCGGGGGCGGCGGCCTTCTCCTGCTGGGAAGCCATCGTTCGTGATATCGGTCCGGAGTGGGCAGATATTAAGCCGTGTGTTTCGACCGAGTCGGTAGGCCGTCGACGACGTAAAAGCTTGTCCCTCTGTTGAAAAGAGGAAGCTCAAGCTGTTGCAGAGTCGAAGATGTTGAGGCAGAGAAAGAAGTATATCTGCTCGTCGGTGTTGCTTGTTTCGAGAAAAGGTTTCGGGGTAAAAGTGGCTTGGAGGAGGGCCTTTTATATAAAACTCCCTGGTCCAAAAATCCAGCTGGCCAGGCGGGTACGTATCGGAAAGTCGAGTGAATTGTCCTTCCAGATAATGGTACTTCGATGTGAATGGTAGTCCAAGTATGTGGTGAATGGCAATGGGAACGGAATTCCAGCCGTGGGAATTAGGATGATCTGCCGGCCCCGCGTTTCATCGAAACCTTTTTGCAAAGACGAGGAGGGGCTGGAAGTGAATGGACTTCACATGACGCCAGTCGGCCGGGTTTTGAAGGTTTATGTACGGGCAGCAACCACGGCGGGATTATAGAGGACGGAACGAGGGACATGGGAACAAAGCGTTGCTCTGTTATGACACATAGCACACGCAAACAGACACTTCACTTTGCGGAACATGCCACCAAGCACTTGCAAGGAGTGACATGGAGAGAATTGCCCATTGCTTGATGATCCGCACTCCCAAACCGCACGCCGGCTGAACTTATTGCTGGCTGGCAGTTCGATTTCCATTTGGTTACTTTTCAGTTGGGTTCATGTGGTTGTAGGTACCACGCAACGGTAAGACCACGGGTGCTAGGAACCAACCTCTGGGGCGAGGTGGAAACTTGGGATCGTTCTGTCAGGCCAATTCCCACAATTATAATTGGTCAAAACGGCTTCTGTGGAGGACCTCTCCAGTCTCCACCGTTAGGCGTGTGTGCTAGCGGTTCCATCCGGGATAGGGCAGGATTCGAGAAGACCACGGGTGAAGTCCGGTTACGGTCCGATAGAGAGGGACCTAAACTGCCCACTCCTGACCTCCAAAAAGCGGGAGGTGCTAATGCTGCAAGAAACATTGAGGGTCAAGAAATCCGGATCTTGTTAACCATGGCAGCAACTTGAAACTCATTCACTGGAATCCGGTGGCCGAAAGGTCGATCTTGCCGTGGGTTCAAACTTCAGGTACTTGGCCCAGGAAACGGAAACGGAAACGGAAACGGAAACGTGAATGGAATGAACGGAATCCTTGAACAGGAGGATATTGAAGGGACCAACAAACAATATGGAACCTACCGGATATGCGTTATCGACGGACGGCAGGCCACTCGGAACCTTCACACAGGACCAACAGTTGAGTGAAGGACACCAACCATCCGGACCTTTGGCTACTTTGGACGGCAGGCCTGCCAAGAGGACTGACTGCAGCTTCGAATTGTGGACCGTCATACACATGTTTGGAAGAAAACCGATAGAAGCCTTCTGGACGAGACACGGGAACAACAATCGACCAGATGGACGGAGTATATCCAGCAGAGTACCACCGTGTGGCCGTGGTTCGTTGTCCAAGACGGCCGGACTGGACCGAAACTTGGCGTTGCCTCGGCCCCGGACTGGGTCGGATAGCCAACCTGATTCCAAGGGATGGCCAGCCGGGGATATAAATGTCGATCCGGTTCGACGTGCTTCGTCTTTGGAGGGTTGTCATCCAAATGTCAAGATAAACTCCCGGTCTTTTGCCGGCGAAGAAAGCAGTTATTTGGGGCCACATGGCAGCGCATGCTAGCATGGCAGGAGGGAGATCTGGAGCTGCATCAGAAATGTCGTAATGATGGAAAGTTCGTAAACTGCCTGTGCTGGATGCAACTGTGGTGTATGCCGCTTATGCGGGTGTACCCGTCCGGCGTCCGAACGTTGGGTTACGCTGCGTGCAGTGTGTAGTCGTGCAACTACTTGTTGGCTGCTCCCGTCCACACCATCCATCGTCTCCCGTCCTTTGTTTGGTGACATGTGTGAGACGCCATGCCGTTGACTCGAACCGTCCAGGCCGTCAAGTGAGACCCGGAGACATATCCGTGTGAAACTGGTGGAATCTATGCGCTGGATACTGTGGTGCTGTACCCTGACCTGGAGCGGTGGTTGATATCAGGAGTTTCAGGACAACATCAGCCCATGTGATTTCCGGCCGGTGATGACGGCTTTCGCATGTCGTGTTCTGGCTGGAAAGCCTTTCTATACTTATTAGCTCGGATGGCTGATATTCCGAATCTTTTCTTCATTGGGCGATGGAGTTTTTGTGTTCGATATGAGGTCCCCGAATTGCAGGTGATGTCTTCGATGAACCTGCCTTTACTCGGGACATCAAAGGTTGAGGTTGAGGCATCGTCGCACAGAACCTCGTCCCGCGACCCGGAAAAGGGACTGTGTTACCCAAACCTCAATTTGGCAACAGCTGAAATGGACGGAAAGCCGGTCCTGCATAATTGCAACATCGCAACGTCGCAAGGATCTTTTGGTTCTTTGGGCAGGGAAACGTGAAGCCTGGCTGTTGGGCTTTCATCCTCGAGACGCCGCCGAGACGGCATACATTGCGAGATTGCCGGGCGGAATGGTGACACCAACGAGCCGCAGGTTTGAATCGAAATCATAAAGAGAAGAATGGGCGGACGGGAAGCATTACTCAGTTAGTTCCGGCTGGGGATTGATGTATTGGTGAAGTAGAAGATCGAGATGGAAATGTTGAAGAAGAGAAGACGAGGCGCTTGGGCTCAGAGCTTCTCGTTTTCGTTCTACCCCGCGCCCGTCGCCAACCAGAGCATTGACGAATATCGTACAGGAAAAATCGAACATGTTCATCGCCGGCAAGAGTGATCGTGTATTCTGTTCTTTCCTCGACAGAACTCAATACGGTGGTGACAACAGGAACTTCAATTTTGGCAGGTACGAAACAGCGAATTCGCCAGGGGTCAAATGGGAAGGTGATAACAATCACAACAGCCGGTGCGAAACTGTCGTTGCACTCGAACGGAAGAAGTGTTTGTAGAACGGACAAACTGTGTAGTTTGCGGGTTGCAGCGGCTTGTGGTATACACTGATGTGAAACTTGACATTTTTTTTCGGTATGTTGGGTTGATGATGAAAGCATCGGTGGCTCGCTGGTTGATGGTTGATTCCGTTGTTGGCGGACAAAACGTTTGAGAGTTGGAAGAGAAGACGGGACGCCGAGGTCGGAGCACCAGATGACGGGATTCCTAAATGCTTAGACCAGTCCTCGTCACCGGAGGGCCCCGGCTTCCCCAAATCGTTAACGAACAGTTTCCTTCTCCAGGACACCGTCGACGCGGAACACGACATGTTCTAAATATCTTTGCCAACAACGACGGAATTCACGATGACCTCTCTTTACCACGATCTCCCTTCATCCGAGTCCTGGACGCCGGCTATTGACGGTATCTGACGCCTGATAACGCACCACATCCGGGCCGTCTCTTCTGCATGGCAGTGCATAGCAGTGCATCGCAGCGCAGCACAGGGCAGGATGCAGGTTATCTCGGCCAACTGCAGTTTGACATTTAGCGAAGGATGTCTTCGGATCGTGGTTATAGCGATCAAGATTTGGAATGAGGGAAATGAAACGGGTGTTGGTGATGAAAATGTCTTCGCTTTTGCTTTCGTTTTGCTACGCAGTATGCACAACCGCCTTTCCGCCTTCCCAGCTTTGCCAACATACGCCAACCCATATCCCATCCATACCTGATATATGCCCATCGTAAACTGTGCCCTCAGCGTGAAAAGCTGGATTGAGCAGTCATATGAGTTTCCTTTCGTACAAGTGCCATAACATCTTCAAGTGTCATCCTTCATACCCGTCCCTTAGGTGCTATAACCCAAACTCCCTTACATCGTATCCCGTTCGTACAGATCCAACCACCCGTCTTCATCGGCAAGATGCTGTGAAAAGAAACGACAGTAGAGAAAAGAACAAAGGCCCACCATACATCCTAATCATAACCACTGAAACCAGAAAAGAGAACATCATTTTTACAAGACCAGGAAAGAAGAGTTCGATATCTTGTCCGGGGCAGAAGCCCAAGAAAGATTATCTACATGAGATATCATGCGCCAACCATGCCAAGAGAACACCTCTCCTCCTCCAACCTCCTCACCATCTCCCGCTCCCTCGGACTCCTGGGGTTAGCATCGATGCCTAGAATGGCACTTATCCTAGTCTTGTCAGGCTTGATTTGAGGGAGTGCATAGACTTGGTCATTGGGACTTCCAACAGGAGTGATGGGTGTCTGCGTGTTTCCTCCACGCCACGCCTGCTCCAATACCGTGGGGCTGACTCCGTTGCCATAGTCAGCAGCTACTGAGGCCCAGAAGGATGCCCGGTGTGCGTTGTAGACTGCAGAGAGTCGGCTCATATCGACCGGCTGGCTGGAAGAAAAGGGCACCGGGGTAGCTGCCAAAGTAGGCGGCGGTGGCAAGGCAGAGCAATCCAGACGAAGCGATCCATGAGAACTGGTCGGTGTGGAACGGTACCCAGAGGTGGCACTGTGAGGATGTAGGGATGACGTATAAGTGTGTGATGGTGCGGGAGATGTAGACCTGCTAGCAGAACCAGAGATCGCGGGCAAGCCCAGGCTCATTGCGGCTGGCTTGGGTAGAATAGCTGGCAGACGAGGTGATGTGGTGGCTGAGCTAGTCGCGGACATGATGCTGGGAAGCTGAATGGCATTCGGGCTGGTGGAACTGTAGGAGTATGTTGATCCTGCAGGCGATACCGAGCGGCTGGGGGCAGCATCAAGCTCGCGGGCCGGTGATGGAACCGCACCACGCATGGGAGGTGACCGGTTAGAGCCATGAGACGAGAGTGATGTTGTGCGCTTCCGGCGGTTGCTGCCATGGCTGAGCTGATGGAAGTGCAAGCGGCAGGCAAGCTCGGTCTTCTTCAAGTGGGCAGCGATGTGCTTGTAGGGCATCTTTTGCATGCGAGTTTGGATGAGATACGCTTCCTGTGAGATGTTAGAAATTGATGAAGCTTGACCAAAAGACAGCAGAACATACCTCCTCCTCGCTCCATGCCCGTCCACCACCAGTAGATGTTGTCTTCTTGGTCTTGGTAATACCGTAGTCACGGCGATCCATGGTTTCCGAAGTAGGGGCAAATGTGACGGGTGCCGTCATCACAGTCACGGTGGGAGACATGCCGTCTTGAGGTCGTGTCTCGGTTGTGTCTTATTTAATGTGGTACGATGTTCGCGCCTGGCGTTGTGTCCCAAGAAAGGAAGTTATGTCGAAAGGTCTGTTGCTGAATATGGGGCAGAACTCGCTGCTCCAAGAATCGAAGTTGTTCTCTTCCAAAATGGCACTGATCAAGCGAGATCGTCCTAGGGTACAACAACAGTTGGATTGTGTAGTAACTTGTCGTAGAAACGTCGGGTGTGAATGACTGTATAATGAACCAGCTTATACGGTCCAAGGAGTGAATGCCCTTTTCAATAAATGACAAAGTAAACAGCTGATATTGTTGATCGACAATAAGGAGTGACCCTGTTTAGCCTTGAGAGAAGAAGCGAAGGGAGAAGAAAGGGGGACACACACGCGGCAGCGTAGTAATAACAAGTAGAAGTGGTCCGGGGAGGAAGTATAAACAAGAAAAAAGAAAAGGCCTAGGAAGCCCATGGAGGGGGAGGGGGAAGGATAATAATGCCCACTATTTGTTGCATGATTCTCGGACACAGGAACATCCAGTAGCGCAGACCAGTGGGGCGCAAGCCACAGACTCTTAGCTTTGTTACAGATGTTTGGGGGATACCCTCGATGAGGCTTAAGGGGACAGGCAAGTCTAGACAAGACTGCGAGAGAAAGGTACCACCACGTCTGTGTCTCGAGAATGGAGTGTGATGTATCATGATGAGGGCGGCAGTGGAAACATGGGATGAACTTCATTCTGGAAAAGGAACGGAATCAGAGGTTGAACATTCCTGAGGTGATAAACCCAGCAGAACGTAGATGTGAAAGAGAGACGATGAAGTCAGTACATAGGCGTGTCATGATCCATCTCGACAATGGCTTTCTCCAGCCCAGATGGATCCTTGCCATCGAAGTCAGAAATGGACGTGCGCAAACCTAAATCTGGCAGACGACCATGTCAGACCCTTGCTGATGAGCGAAGCCTCAATGCATGGTAGTTGATCAGAGGGTCTGGGCCATGTCATGCGCAACGGCTGCGGAGTTGGTCGGAACGAAATCTCGTCACGATCATCACTGACACCGCGAGCTCCGTGGATTCGGACGGCACTCACACTAGTGGGCCAGCCTTGCCTCCCGACATCGCCGGTGATTGATCTGTTGGGATTTGGTATTAGTCTCATGAAGCGCTGACTCGGGAGACACAGAGGTGTGATTGCTTGGGGCCAGAATGCCAGAGTGCGGCACACCCATCTCACCCAGACCAGATGGTCGGTTGCCATCTGTTTGTTGGCCGGCTCCTCTGACCAGTCTGTCGGGTTTGGCCAATGACCTCGAGGCCCAATGTTTTCATCGACGGTTGTACTAGTGTTCACGTGATGGCAAGCGAAGCTGGTGATGGCGTTTCTGTTGAAAGAAGAGTTGAAACCGATGAGCAAGGGTTTCGCCCGGCAACAACACGGAATGGAACGTTGGAGAAACAATGGAGATGTGCACTCGCTCTGTCTGGGAAGACGATGAGACAGCTGGGTTCCTTCGATACCGAAGTTTTGGCTCTCCTGAGTCGCATCGAAGACGAAGCCCTGCTGTGGTCTGGACGTGTCCGAGGAAAGAAAGTGTCGAGTGTCTGACGTTTGAGCGGGATTCCCCTCATTGTTCTCTTCTGCCCTGTGTGTCACCAAACGATCCTGGTGCCTGTCATTCTTTGGTGATTGGCTCCTTCCCCTGAAAGTTTCGTGTTGAGGCTCTTGCCAGAGAAACCAAAAGATCCTGGCGTCTGTGTTGGCGTCTCCTGCCTTTGAAGTTTCCTCCCATGCATTAGACCAACAAAGCCAATCATCTCTGTCTGTTTCGCGTGTTTAGTTCTGGCGTCTGACATATTGAAACGTCCCTCAGTTTCCATCTCAGCCGGATCAATGGATGAGACTCGAATTTTTGGTTGTCGGTCTTGTCGATGAATCCGCTTGCTGGACTATGACCTTCAACCTCGATATTGAAGCTATCCAGTCACCTCTTTTCGGTATGCCTCATCCATCACTCATGTCTCTCTCCCTCCTCGATGTTACTGACCTGACAGGTCGAAGCCTTCACGTGTACGACTCGGGCGAAGGAGGGGATACTGTACCATCACCACGGAATCGTCGTCTTCCGGATCTGCCCCGCCTCCGGATTCTGTCCATGTTCTCATTGTCGAAACACGATCTTAATGCGAAGCTGTTAAACTTCCAGCCAATATCCCTGCTGTTTGGATGTTTCGTCGAGTGTTCTTGCCGCATCGTCAAAGGCTCCAATGGCTTCCGGTCAGAGTTGACGGGGATGGAGGCCCTTAAAACTCGCCAAAGCCCAGGCACGTATCACGCTATGCCCGATTAGGCTTCTGCCCCACCACACGATCTGTGGAGAACCCTGCAAGATGCCCCTCCTCACGGCCCACTCGAGACTTCGCTCTTCCCCTTCCACAACATCACCAACAACATCAACCGGACAAGCCCATCTGCCGCGAAACTGCGCCCCTCCAGACGAGAAACGGATGCTACCGAAACATCTTTAAGAAAAAACATTCGAAGATCGATCTAAAAACCGTCGCTTATCTGATATGCTACTACGAGACTCCAATGTCCAAGCCCCGTCTCTGCCACCCCCTCTGCCCTGCGACTCCAGGCCAGTCTGCGATGGCATCATATGACCAACTTAAATTTCTGTCTTGAATCCAAGACGTCAATTCCACCCGTCCCGTAAGAAGACATCGAGGGATGCTTCCCACAGACTGTTTTTCGGTCACAATGAACCCTCCCCGCTCCATGGACCCGACGCTCCCGAAATAGCACCGGTTGCCGCCGTGCGATGGCCGCTTTGGAGGCCAAACATGCATCTTATCATAAACCGAACCTCAGCTGCTAAGCGCCTCCACCTTACAGCCAAACAACGGACATCGAAAACCTCCAACAACATCACAATAGAAAAACTGCAAAACTTCAAAAAGGCACGTTTCGAGTAAACAGGCGTCCCAAGTATAAACACTCAGCAGCAGCATGCGACTGCAGTTTCGACGGTGGATCTGTTTCGCATCAACGGTTTGGACTTCAGCTCCCGTTCCCAGTTGACATGTGTTTGACTCGTTGCGCCAGCGCACTGTTTTGACAGCAGTGCTATGCAGAACATATCACTCTGCTGCCTTCCTTCAGCGCCTGCTGAAGTTTACTGATATCAACGACTGGCCATCTGGATCTAATCAGATCCGGAATTTTACAAATCGAATGGTGTCCTGATCGTCTATTCGACCTCATCGCATGCGGCTCTCGAGCAGGCGGTTAGAATATTCCTTCCACTGGCTGGTCGGCCAATAGCGCAAAGCCCCGGAGTTATCCGGCGCTCCCGACTGGTCAGTTTTGTAAATATCAACCTCCTTGCGCGCTTCCACCAAGCACTTTGATGGAGTCGTTACTGTCCATTCAGACGAGGTCAAGAGGAGAGAGGACGGACCGCAAAGACGGTCATCAACATGTGTTGGAGGCACATACACAATGTGAACAGCGGGCTGTAAAATCACAATAACACACAGCCAACATGACCCCGTCGCCATCCTCTTCCCTACACAAAATATCCTCCCGTCACTCTTTCTTGGCTTGACCTCTCAACTTTTCTTCTTCGTCTTCCTACTCTCGATGTTCTTGAGCCTCGATAAGACGTGCGTGTCCTTATGAACCCCAAGACCAGAAAAGCCCGGTATATGCCAGCGTGAACTTCAATATTTCAACAGCTGTTTCGACTTAGGGCGGCGTTCTCATTCAGCCATCAGGTCGAGAAACCGCCAATTTCGTGTCTGTACGTTCATCTCCACATGTTGCCGAGCACTTGGGAACAAAAAAAGTTAGTGGGGAGAGAAAACGAAAACCGGCACGCCGGAGCAAATACCTAACCCATTCAAGGTCAACATATCGATACCGATTCTCTACATATATAAACGAAAGCAAGTGTGATCGGTTTTAGCGGAATGAGAGTATTTCATTCACTGCTTGCCGCTCCTGCCGCTCCTGCCGCTCCAGCCTACCCCTTTCATACCCCGAACCCCAACGTGGCTACGTAGGAATAGTATGGTGCTTGTTACGCCCTGTCTTGTTCTTCTCTCACATGTTGTACAAGGTCGATACCACTGGTCGGATGCCAGTTGATGTGATAAAATGCAAGGAGGAAAGGAAAGTGAGTGAGGGGGCCTCTTCACTCAAAGCTCACCGGCTGTGTGTTCTCGTCTGTCAAAATACCAGGCAGTCTCTTCCCTACCTACGTTTTTCATGCTCTCCACCAACTACTTTCCCTTCCTTTCCAAATATCATTTTCCAAATATCATGTCGACCATCGATCGTGGTGTGTATGTAAGGTAAGGTAAGGCATAGCGCCCGTGGGCCGTGGTGACCACTAAGATACAAGAGCTAGTAGGGCATGCAAAAGATCATCAACGACGACAACTATCCTGGAGGTCGTCTTCATCCCGCGGGGCCACCCACCATAAGGTATAGTAGGCAATGACCGGGACTGGAGGTGTCCCAGCCACGATCGCAACCGCGGCGCGGTCTTACAATGTATGTAGCGCACACACATGCTACAAACCTACCTAAACCATGGATGGACTCATCTGGGTAGGGGGTGAGACTGAGGTGTGATGACCCAGAGTGTCCGTGAGTGGACAACCAACAAACAATCAGGGAACCATGCCTACCTAGTAGTCTAGTCTAGTCTAGTCTGTCCGACACTGTGGTTTAGACCTAAAAAGCCGTTCATTCAACGTATTCCTAGGTAAACAACAACCTCTTGGTTTAGAGATGAAGTGTTCCTGTGTACGCCGCCTGAGAGCGACTTGTGTGCAACTTTGCCTCGTTGATGTCTACTTCTAACTGCTTGTGTTCGATAGCTGCTTGTGTTCGATAGCTGCATGTGTGCGTGTGCGTGTGCGTGCGTGCGTGCGTGTGTGTGTGTGTGTGTGTGTGTGTTCACCGGAGGAGCAGCCGAAGAGGGAACGGTGATAGTATTGGTAGAAAATATCCGATCGAGAGGTGTAACGCCTGCGACTGCGTTGCCGTAACTATTCAGAAGGAATGACCCAGGTCCGTGCCTTGGATAAGTGACACATACATGTGCTTCAGTTTAGCTCTTCGGCTGCTTGGATATTTAAGGTAACGAGAAATGTTGGACGAGAAAAGTATGCCATTTCCGCAAGCTCCCCTATTCTAGGTACTTAACTTGTAGGTACCGTACCCATCGTTCGGACTGGTACAAAGGGCATGCATGGGAGGTAAGATAGGTATGATAAAGATCTCGGGTCCGTCGTGAATGTTGGAGAATGGCGGGAAGAGGTAAGGTAGGTAGAGCTAGGAGGAGGTGAAGATGGAGGGAGGGCATGGAGGCTCTGCTCCCATCACCCCCAAGCCAAGCTCGGGACACGCTTTCCACGATATCTTCCCAGATGCCGCCGGACCAGTCGGCTCAGATAACGAAAGGTTGTTCGTCACCGCGTTGTCGTGTGACTCAACTCGTGTAACCACACCTCCCTCGCTTCTTTTCCCGCCCTCCGTCATATCACCTTGTTCGTATCCCAATCCGGCTATCCGCGATGACGGGAGTATCCCTAACGTGCTGGTCATCCTTATCCCCATCCTGTTGGTTAGGTGGATTGGATCTTGCCTTACCGTCATGCCCTGATGTCAAGGTGGAGAGTAACTGTTTCCGATATGGCCGACGCAAAGCCCGGCAAGAAGTTGAGAACAGGTGCTCTCTGTGAAGCGTGTGCAAAGGTGTGTAGACATGTTTTGACATGACAGTAAACATCAATCTTTTTGCGCAAGAAAAAAACATACTACACAAAAACATGGATTAAACCTTCCCTTCCCTCCCTCCCTACACTACGTAACCATATATAGACAAGCAAAAGCAAGATTTGGTATCGACAATCGCCTGCCTGCCTGCTGTTTCCTCCGCACGCCCATTCATGATCCTGTATACAAGTGGAAAACATGTAAAGAAACCGTTTCCATCCATCCAATCCACCCTTCTCCTCTGCACTACATATGTGCCGTTTTTTTCGTCATCATATACACATTCTCCCGCAACCACCTGCCACTCCTGAAAAAGAGTCCAAGTGTCTGGAACTTGACGTCAAGTTAAGACGTCGCGGCAAACAACCCGCGCTGAGGATGCGACGTTCAGTCGCTGTCGGTGTGGCCGCTTCAGGAGCTCCTAGGTGTCGCAACCCTCAAAATCAAGGACTACCCCATCTAAGGACTAGCCCAACCACCCGCAACATCCACCCACTCGGCCAAGCAAGAACCATCCTTGCCCTCGACATCGACGATATCCGTGTCGCACCTGCAGCGGCATCCAACGCCGTTCTCCTTGGGGGTATCGTAGTCATCCCAGTACTTGTCCTCCTCGATGCGCTTCTTCTCGTCCACCGTGGTCTTCTCGAGGTAGGGCTCGCGGGGCAGCTGGCGGGCGGGCGCGTTGGCGGGGCAGTGCTGGATGGTGGTGTGGCGGTAGCCGAAGTCGCGGAAGTAGTGGATGTCGCGGGGGCCCAAGAGGGCGCCGGCGGCGAGGGAGTGAATCGGGGCATCACCCCACTGTGGTGTTGTTAGCGGCTGAACTGGGAAAATGGGTTATAAGAGGAAAACCATACACGCTCCATCCAAAAGCCACCACTGTGATCCATCATCTGGAAGAAATCCTCGTACGCCTTGGACCGGAAGAAATCCAAGCGGGCAATCTCGAAGTTGGACCAGAAATGGCACATGTTGTACTTCTCGCCCTCCATAGCTTCGGGGTCGATCTCGGGGAGCTTGTGGGCGTCAGGCTCGGAGCGCAGAATCTCCTCGGGAAGACCAGGCTCGGGGGCTTCGGGCTTCTTCTCGGGCTGGGGCTCGACAAACATCTCCCACAGACCCTGCGAGGTAATGTTGTTGAGGCGCTTGTAAGCGGAGGCGTAGCGGAAGATGTTGGGGACGGTCTCGCGCAGTTCCTTGACCGCGATGGTGAAGCCGTAGGTCTTGTTGTTCTCGATCATCTTGAGGAAGGGGTCACTGGGGGTGGTACTATGTTAGTGGGATGCGCTCAGATGGAAAGCGAGGAGTGGAAGGACGTACTAGGTGATGTCGCAGAAGTACTTGATCTCGGGCTCCAAGCGCCAGTACCACTCGTACTTCTGGAGGAGCTCGTGCTTGTAGAAGAAACTGTGCTGTGTTAGCAGATGTAGCTTGCTTACAACCCGAATCGCAGCACATACCCAGAGTAGAATCTGCACATGGAGTGGTAACTTTCCATGCCACCGTACATGACAGCGGCGTCACCCTGCTTGGCGATACCCTCCTTCGCGACCTTGGGGTCGACCCAGTCAGGGAATCCCCACATGTCCGGGCCAACCTTGCCGAACTCGACGGGAGCAGAGGTGTAGTTCTTGACGGTGTCCTTGAAGGTGTCGTCGAAGTCGCCATCGTTCAGGAAGACGTAGGGGTAGTGGTACCAGCGGTTGAAGTGGCGCTCGATGGACTTGATGGACTGGATGACACCGTCCAGCTCCTTGTTTCTCGCGAGGACGACGAAGGCGCCATTGGCGCGAGGCTTGCTGGTGTCGGGCTCGAGGCAGCCGGTGACGAAGACCTTGTCATACTTTTCGCTGATTTTCCTGTGGAGGGGAAAGAGAAGTTGTTAGCGCATTGTTGTTGGAGACCAAAGGCGGTGAGGGAGCTATATGTACCTGATGTTGGGAGGGGCACCGGCGGGCATCAAAATACGGCCGGGGGAGCTTGGGTGCCTGACGAACAGGACGAGGATGAGGATGACGACGATGCAGGGGAAGAGGATGACGACGCCCAGAGGCACGGATATGCTCGAGTTGCCTCGTAACCTGAGGGGTCTCTTAAGATACTGAAGGCGCTGTGCCAGTGTCCTCCGTGGCTTGTCCTTTTCGCCCTGGCCGAGGGGAAGCTGGGGCGGTCTGCCGCCGGGGAGGAGCCCCCCGAGCTGACGGAGGAGGTCCATGGTGAAGGCGGTGTATGGCGCTGCCGGAGCCGAGAGAGAACGACGATGGCGAGGTGGTGTTATCGCTCTCGCAGTCGGGTTGTGTGTGTATTAGGAGTTATGGGTGGTGTTTCGGTATAGATGTCGTCGGTCGGCCGCCACGTTTATATGTCGTGATGTGTCCGCCGGGTGTGTGTCGTGTATGTGTCGATATCGACGTGGGATTCGCGATTGGGGGGAAATCCAACCGACCTCGTCGTGATAAAAGGGGCTTCCGTCAGCACCCGATTAAACAGAAAATAATCAAGAAGAAAAGAAACAGAAAATCTAATCAGAGAGTTCTCCTCCAAACTCTGCTCTACCTGTATCGCGACATGCAGCAGATGCAAAAAGCAATCAAAGGCGAGAAGCGAGTGGCAGGGGAGAGAATAGTTTCCCCTTGTCGTTCAGGTGTTTCGGTGTTTGTCGATTGGAGAGATCCACTGGACGATGGGGACGCGTCCGGGTCCACAAGAGGTCTGGTCTGGCTTGCTGGTCTGGGCCGGGGCCGCCAGGCTGGGGCTGTCGTTGAGGACTGGGGCCTCACTGGGGGGCAAGGCTGGGCACTGGAGACGGGCCCGATTCTCCCCACGTTACCTATCGTCGAGGTGTCGTGTTGATATTAGAGGAAGGCTGATGTGCGCGTAGGAGTTTTCAAGGCGATGGGACGTATTACGATGGCATCAATGACAGAAAGACACAAGAAACACAGAACAGGACAGTCAGAGTTGCAAAAGCGAACAAGACTCGCCAGAAATCTGGAGAAACATGGAATTCTCCATCCCCAGACCCGACCCCGTTGACCCCAAAAGTCTGGCCTCTCCATCATTCCAGGGGACTTTCAGCGCTGGCGTGGCGCCGCCCCTGCAATTGCCCGCTGGAAATATTGTTAGCGTTGAACCCTGAAGCTTCGTCCCCGACTCCCGCTGTTCTGGGCGGGCTGCAGGTGTCAGGAACAACACACCCGACCTGCAATGCCAGCAGTCCACCAGCTGCAGGGTCCCCTTCGTCCCAACATTTCGCATTGATAAGGCAGCCGTCTGCCAGCTGGTCGCTTATCTTCAACACATTGCCTCTCTCCCAAAATAACATTCCCGTTGATGCAACATGATTGGCGATGGTCCTCTCGGTTGCCCCTTTTCCCTGCTTACAAAACCCCACTCGCGGAAAAGGGGCAAAAATTCCCAAGGATCAACTGAAACTTGGTGTCAATGATCCAAACAAATTTTGGCGACGGGCAGAAGTCTCTCGTCAGGCTCGAGCGCGCTGAAACAGGATGACGACGGCGATGGTTGAGATCCGATGCTTTTCCGATGTCAACACACGGACGCTGAACCGGGGATGCCGTGGCTTCCAGTTGCTTTGCTTGGAGGTTCGAGAGTCCAATTGAGTTCCCGTCCCGGCAGGCAGTGAGCTTGCGGTGCACTGACCACCAGCTGTCTCCAACCGCCAAGCCAAAGTTGGGCCTGGCAAGGGGACGACGAGAGGACAAGTACCTCGACACCATCCGCGATGATCAGGCGATGATAGCCCAGGCAGTTGAATCGCTACAGGTATATGGCAAATGAGTACCACATTGGCCCTCCATCTATTAGTTATATGAGTATTTTTTATATATCCCGGAGTGATCAAGGTCGACACAGGAGTGAGTGTCTTGGCAGCCCACCTACCCGGTACATTGTTCTTATCTCGCAATGTCAAGGCCAAAACATCACTGCCTGTTGTTGTGATGAAGAAAGTCATCTTTTTTGCTCGAACACCCGTAATCAGCTCCCTATTGACAACTATGACGTGTTGGTTGGGAAGGTGCATTCATTTGTCATCAGCCCTAGGGTATGAAAATCGAACATCACGGGTGCTCCTTCCCATCGTAAAGCGAACAGTTAATCAAGACTCGGACAATGTTCTTTTCCTTTTCACCGTTTCGCTGTCTCTCTACCAGCAACCTTCCAATTTCCAACATCAAGTTCCTGACACGACTTGCCGACATACCCACCAACCCTCGCATTTCGTGATCACGAAAACTTGAAAGACACCGAAAGGCTGCGGCTACACCACAGTCATGACGAACAAAAAGCGTCAAGTAAGAGTTTCGTTGAGTTTGAAGAGAGAAAAAATCATGGCCCGCACCCGAGTTGAACCGGTCGTAACTTCGATACTGACGTTAAGCCGCCCAGTCCGCCCTGCCTCCCAAAAGCCGATAGTCACCCGGCGACTCACCTAGGACCCGATACCCTCTGGCCGCTGCGACTAATCTCGGTCCTGTAACACTCCAAAGGCCGACAAGTTCTCGGATGGGAAACTGAGAGGACCGGTATATTTTCTAGGCAGGCCATGAGACTGTGGCTTCGATACTGGGCATCACTGGGAGGTAGTCTTCAAGTGCTGTCCCGAGTTTGTGTTTACCCCTGTGGCAAGGTCCATGTCTGCTCTGACCATCTTTTTCCAGAAAGTCAAAGGTGTTAAGGCGGCGATTCCAGACAGCCGGTTCGAAATCCGACACAATGATCGGTCCAACCCGGCAAAGAGGAACGCTGGGCTGCCGAATGCTCGCGTAATCAAGTGCATCAATTGGCATGATATCGCCTCCCTTTTCGGGCATATCCGGCAAGTGCTGTAACGCGAGTCCAGAAGAAAGAAAAAAGAAACTTTGATGACTGCGGCTTTCCTCGCCATGTTGCCGGCATCCTTAAAGTACAAATGGACAGAAAAGTTATTACCACTTCTTGCAGCGGACTACAATATAAATATGCAGGTGCCTACATTTATGTCCCATGTTGGTGGCTACACCAGACACCACTTTGCCTTCGGTACAGCGCTGCATGATGCATCTGCATCAACCCCTCCGCCGCAAGGTGCAGCCCGAGATGGAGTGGAAATGGGACAGTGGTGCAGGTTAAGGTTCCAGGTTCTTCGATTCGAATCTGACTCTTCCCTACTCCCACCTTCACTTGTTGGGATACCATCACCTTGACACCACGCCGCTTTCAGAGACAGCTCCTCACAAGTCCAAGACAACGTTCGACAGACACAGACACAAACTTCAGATACACCACTCAAACCCAGTTCATCGAAGCCTATAGCGACACAAAATGGACAGGAATGTTACCAATCCGACTGTCGCAACAAGCTCTGGTTCAACAACCGGTCCAAGTAAGCGGTTTGGCTCTTCGCTAACCAACTGGAAATCCAGCCATCCAGTAACACCTCCTCCACGCGATTATCAAAACAAACAAGTCTTCCGAAAGAAACCGATCGACTCTTGGGACTTCCAACGCCCATGCGGAGTCCAACCACCGGCAGCCGAAGCAGACATCTCGACAGTATACCTGAATGCCAAGAGGAAGCTCGAAGCCAGATCTCCGTATGAGCGACCGAGGAAAGCTAGGAAACGGAACAAGCATCAGTCGATCTTCTCGACCAGGCTTTCCGACAAGGAAGATATCGAAGATTCAAATACGACGAACGGGGTGTGGTACGAGAGAGAGCTAGACAGAAATCTGAGGCAATGGGCACAAGAAGCTGCGGCACTTAATTCTTGGGATGACCCCTTTGTTGACACTCCTCCTCCGAGTCCGTACAGCGAAGCTGGAGAGAGTGTTACCAAGTCAGCCACGGAGATGGAGGTTGTGGAAGACACCGATACCGACACCAGGGAGGAGACGCATAGCACCCGCAAAGAAACATGCGCAAGATTGGAGGAAATGGAGGAAAAGATTGCGCGTCTACAGAATAGCTCGAGGAGGATGACTCGTGCTCAGTCTCAAGAACTCGCCCGTCTTTCCGAAGAGTACTCCTGTCTTTGCGCGGAGTTCTTCCATATTCCCCAAGATCTCTCTCCCTCGAGCGCACTGCCACAGTCGATCGACGACGACATGGACATCGATGCGGGTCAAGACACGACTGCCCATCATCCTCGTTCTGAGTCCCTTCACTCCTCAGACCCCTTGGCAGTGGAGGTACCCAATAGCGATAACCATAGCAGCCTCAACACCAGCTTCAACAGCGACAGCACCAGCACCAGCCCCAGAGATCCTGCCATACCCCTCCGCACCCTGCAAGACTTCGAAGGATACCACCAGTACCTGAAAATCGAGTTCGGACGCACAAAAGCCCCAGTGTACCAAGATGCGCCAAAAGTACACAGACAAGTAAGGGAAGAAAAGCTGTTCCTTCTGCTCGCGAACAAGAAGAGACGGGTGAAGAAGTACTGGGATGCGCTGTCGCAGCGGTCGGGGGAGATGGGCTCGGAGAGGTACACTAGGCTTGCGTCGAGGAGTCCTAGTGATAGTGCTCCGGGATTTTATGAGAAGTGGTGAGGGGCTATGGAAGTCTGAGCTGAATGGTGGAAGGAACGCTCCAAACACAAGAGCATCATGTGTGGGATGGACATGGAAGGTATCATGTGCCACGCAACGATAGCCGGGACACCTATTTGTGAGGAGGGCTTGGAAGGTACTTAGTTGGATTATCGGGGTGTTTGATGTATCACGCGATTCAAAAGATGCAATTGGTTGCGAAGATACCCACCTCTACACTAGGAATAGCCAGCGCTAGAAGTCACACGACAACTATGATACCAACATTGCAGGGAACAGTTCAAGAACAAGAGAGGAACACCATTGATAGACGGTGATAGTTGAAATGGCACATACATGTAGAAAACATGAATATCAAACACAAACACGCAAAAAGCGTGACGATATGGATCTTCCAGCACATTCAATGCTCTCCCTGTTCAAGTATATAAATCGCCGTGTTACATTCATGCTGGGAGGTTGCCAGTGGAGGTAGTTGAAAAGGAGGAATGCCATCCAGCAACTGCCAATGGATTCAAGGTTACGATGATAGATCGCAAGCACAGTTCTTTACAACAGTGTAGAGGTAGAGTTCCACCATCCACCATCTTCTCACCGAAAACACCTATCTACCTATCTACGTCTCCTCTTTCCTCGTCACTGTCACAATCCCGTCAAATTCCAACCTGCATCGTGTGTTACCATGGAGCATCATCATCACGCCGTAGATGGTATGGGTTTTATATTATCGCACCTTGCCTTCCATCAACCCGGAGAAATGGAGGAAATGTGGTAGCAGTATATAGGTAGCATCCCAAAATAATACATGCGCCCTTATAGACAATGAACTTTTCTTCTTCTACCTACCTTCAAACATCCGGCTTGGTTGCTCCCACTTTTTACATACCTTACCTGATGGTTCATCTCCATGCCGAATGATTCCCATCATCCAACCGAAACATCCAGGCGGCCGGCGCGGGGTACGGCTTTCCTTCCCCAGAATCACGGCATACTGAATCATCAAGGCAACCATGGGGTTGATGTCATCGTCCTGGACCCGAGCGACTTCGCACGCAACATAATGTACCTACAAAGCTCACTACCTCTATCTACCTAGGGGCAATTTGACCCGCCTGCCTGCATTGCTGGCGTACAAGATTTGATGCCGGTTACGACACCGAACAGACCACCACCATCACCGTCGGAGGCACGGGCACCACAATTCAGGTTACTGGCACGAAGGTCACCATTCCGGCGAGCTTCGGCCGCCGCCCCAAGACCGAGATGGGCAACAACATGAAGTCCAAGATGGACAACAGCAAGACGGGCAACAAGGCCCAGAAGAACGGTACGCTACCTTAAGCAAAATCCACTTTCTCATGTCATCCGTGCTTTTGAGTCCCAAAGGCAAAACCTACCTAAGCTAACCAGTACTGGAGATTATAAATTCAGGGTCGAAATTCGAAGACGCAGGTTTCACGCATTCTACTACCAGTAGATGCAAGTGAAGTCTACTCCGTACGGATGGCAGCCATTCACTGGGCATCAGGATAGCGAAGATGAAAACCTTGTATAAAGGTTTTTGGAATAGCCGCACAGGTTTGAACTGCAGTACTAGAGGTATAAAAGTTCTTCATTCTCCGCTGGAACTCGACTTTCTTCTTCCATTTCTCTTCAGTTGTCAGCATCGAACTTGGTCATCAAACCCACCTATCGAAGAACTTCGAAGCAACATTCCCTCGCCGTACCTCAACGGATCATCATCGACAAAGATTGCTCATAAGCCTAAACATATTACCATCACACAAGACAGGAACATGTCGAACAACAAGAGCGTCGTCAGCACCTCCGAGAACACCGTCCGCCGCAACATGGACCCCTACAAGCACCTCGACAAATTGGCCAAGAGCATTGAAAACAAGAGCCAACACAAGCCCAACAACTCCGCTAATGCCGACAAGACTCTGATCGACTTCGGGAAGGGCGAATACACCACTCTCACCAACGGCGACACAACCATCACCTACACCAAGGAATACGGCTGGCCCATGGCCTACGTCACCTCCACTTCCGCCCAGGTTGTCACCATCCCGGCGAGCTTTGGACGCGGCAATCCCAAGACGGACAAGTCCGTGAAGAAGAGTACCTAGGTAAGCAAATCTCTTCCTTCTTCGCCCTTACCCCGTCGGTCGGTCCATCCCAAAGGTACCTTACCTTATCCAAAGGCAAAACCAAAGCTGACTTGTCCCTTTTTTTAACTCTAGACACAACAACCAAGAAGACGGTGAAGGAAGGAAGGAAGGAAGGAGGGATTAGATCTTAGTACTAGCAGGACTTCGCCGCCACTACCATTAGGTACTACCTATCCAAGCTTCTACCTGTTGGTTCTATACCCCTTAGTTGCCTTGTGTTGGCGCTTCTGGTTTCTATTATGAACTTGAAGAAACTTTGTACATAAGACCTCACACCAAAATTTCCTTGTAGATATTGGTCTTGAATCTCTCTTAAATCATCGAGCTCCGTCACTTGCTGCCTTCAATATCTCTACTTCTCTCTTCCTCGTATTCGACGCCCAAATTCACAAGATGTTAATAGAGGTCATTGATTCCGAAACCAGCGGTTATACTGGAGTCTAGAAGTGGCAAGCTTATTACCGGTGCAATGTTAGCCAGACGCGTAACGAGAACGCGCGTATAGAGTTAAGATGAAGCCGCTAATACCGAGAAAATAAAAAAACCTGTAGGATCATATGCTCAGGTTCGGGTTTTAAAGACGCAGGTTTCATGCAATGCGTTCACCGGAGATGCAAGTGAAGTCTAATAGCGTGCAGAACTGCAGATGCAAGTGAAGCCTACGACGACTCTATGCAGAACTGCAGATGGGAGTCATTCACCGGGCATTAGCTCGATGGCGAAGACGAAAACCTTGCATGGAGAGTTCCGGAATAACCGTACAGGTTTAAACTCCAGCACTATAAAAGCCTTCGGTCCTCGCCTGGAAGTCGACATTTCTTCTTCTTCTTTTTTTCTTCATCAACGAGCTCTTTCGAACTTTGAAGCAAAGTCGTCTCTTGCCACTCCAACACCTTTACATTCGATCGTCTCTAATTATACTTCAAGCATCGATCGTTGCCTTTCGGTAGCTCCACACATCTTCATCAAACATCGCTCTCGATTTTTACCATCCACACAATGTCGTCTACCAAGAGCGTCGGTACTACTACCACCCGTACCAACGGAGACACTACCATCACCATCACGAAGGTGGACGGCTCTGAACCAATCTTCACTGTCGCCTCCACCTCAGCCAAGGTGGTCACTATCCCGGCCAGCTTCGGCCGCCGCCCCAAGACGGGCAACAAGAGCAAATCGGGCAAGGGCCAGAAGAACGGTAAGTCATTCCCTTCCCCATTATCCGTGCTCTATTCCAAGGACAAAACCGAGGCTCACCGTCGTACTTTCTCCCCAGACGACACAACTACCAAGCCCGTCGACACCCACCATCAAGATCGACAAGATGTCCCCGCCAACCGCAAGCCCACGCCCTGCGGCAGCCTCCTCAAGCGCCCTAACCAGCCATACCAACCCACCAACCCGTCGGAAAGACACATTCTCGAAAGGGCCATTCGGCATAACTTCGCAAAGCCCGGAAAGGGGCTTATCCCTCCTCCTACTCGTCAGTGGAGTGAGTGCCCTGCGCCCGCGGCCTCGGGACCGGGAGCGGCAAACGGAAATGAAAAGGAGGAGGATTTGGATAGTTATCGGGGTTGTGGACCGGAATACGATTTGCATCCGGAGGATGATGAGCATTTTACGGATGTGTGGTATGATGATGGGGAGTGAGGGGTATATGGGGATTGGAGTGAGGGAGGGGATTGGAATTGGGATTGGAATTGGGATTGGAATTGGGATTGGAAATGGAGGTTGGAATTGAGAAGTGGTGGTAGCCATCAGGCTGAGGGTTTTCGCGAGCTCGTGTCTCGTGACTCGTGGAGGAGATAAGTGGATGAGATCCCGGCCAGGGACGCCAGTTTGGGCAACTTTTATTATGGTTTTTGACTTAGTTTTCCGCGAGCTCGTGATTCGCGGAGGACCAGACAGGGAGACTTTGGAGGAAAAGGTCAAGGAGCGGAGGAAGAAACAACGACTGGACGAGGAAGAAGGGATCGAAATAGTGGACGGATCGGATCATCAAATCTCAGCACCAGCAGGACACAACCATCATCACCTACATCCAAGCCTCTGCCTGCTGGCTTCCACCTTCTTGGTTGGTTGCGCTTCTGGTTTCTGGTTTTGCTTGGTTTCCCAGTTACTCTACATGTACCCGAATGGGCAGACTTGCGCGCTGAATGATCTGGCTTACTTACCTAGACCCTATAATTTGATGGCGAATATCACAATATTATAGTGTTGACTCTTGCTCTTTTGTAATGATCATGTTGATAATGCGTTGGAGGTGAAGGAGCCTCGACCGTTCGACGGAAGCGATAGGATATAGGTACCGAAGCGGGAAACCCCGAGTTGCAACAAGCCTTGTGTGGCAGACAATGCGTATAAAGAAAACAATAATTGACATAGCTTGTCTGTCAGGCCCCTAAAAGCCAAAAGTATAGGGCTTAACTTTCTATAATTTAGTAGGCTAAATACTCCCTAGGAGGTAGCGCTATCGCTCCCAAGTTTAGACCGGCCTTTGGTTCAATCATCATCGTTATTTGGGAATAGCTTCAAAAAGTTTGGTCACGGATTGGAATCGAACGAGCATCACGAGCACGATTGAAAATAAAGAACTACTTCAAGAACCGTTTGGATACTGAGCTAGTTGGTTGTTTCTGCAAGAATGGCTGGTTCTTTCCGTTGATGAAGGGGATGTTGGCGGTTAAGGGGGAAGGTAGGACTTTGAGACTTCGAGAAATTTCGAATTTCGGAATTCGGACCTAACCCAAGGACACTACCTTACAGCGCTTGCCCCCTATAAGAAACATGGCTTGTCTGAGAAACATGGCTTGTCCCTATTGTCCAAGAAGGACAACCCATGTGCAGAAACGCATTTTCTCACTACGGTAGGGAGGTATTGCCATAGTAAGCGAGTAGAGATGTGGGATGTGATGTCGCTTCTTTCACTCTGGACTAATACCGCGATAGATGATAACCTGAATACGCAAATTAGCCCGCAGCAGAAACTTTGACGCCCAAATTCATTATATATGAATTCATAGCCATAACAACAGACTCCGAAGTTAGCATTGATGCATGCCGGAGCCTAGCCGTGGCGAGTTAACAAGCGGGAGGAGCAACAGCAAGAGGCGCGGAAAAGTACCTCTAGGTACCTTGAAGGACTGAACAGATTCATGTTTACCGTATAAACTCGCGAAATTGAGATCCGGAAAGGCAGGCACAACGCAGGGTTAAAGGTGTGTATGTAGTTTTATGTGGTTGACCAACACCTTTAACCCTGCGTTGTGCCTGCCTTTCCGGATCTCAATTTCGCGAGTTTATACGGTATGCAGTTGATAAGCTGCCAAGAGAAAAAAAACCTGCAGGATCACAAGCTCAGATTAGAAGACGCAGGTTTCATGCACTTCTCGGATAGATGCAAGTAAAGTCTACTTCGTGCAGATGGGAGTCATTCGCCGGGCATTCGATGGCGAAGAGGAAAATCTTGCATGGCATGCTTGCGGAATAGCTGCACAGGTTTTGAATTAGAGCACTATAAAAGCTCGCGTGGAACTCGACCTTTCTTCTTCCTTTTTTTTTTTCCCAGCATCGAGGTCAGTCGTCTCCAGTCCATCTTGGTCATCCAACGCTTTATCTTCTTTGAAGCACAATCGTCTATTGCTACTCGAAGCATCATCGCATCCAATTGTCTCTTGCTATCTTCAAAGCATCGACACATCACCTTTCCGAGTCTACGCAGTATTACTATCGACAAACATCGCTCAAAACATCTACACAGTCGACCACAAAAAAACAAAATGTCGAACACCAACAGCTTCGGTACCTCCAAACCCGATGGGCTTAACGTCCCTGCCAATGGCGTGCTTAACCCACTTCTAGTTCAACGGGTAAAAGAAATGATCATCCACAAAATGATGGAAGACCCACCCAACAAATATACCCACCGCACCGTCACCGTGGGTGACATCACCATCACTACCATCAACCGCCCTGGATGGAAGCCCCAGGTCTCCGTGACCTGCACCTCTGCTCAGGTGGTTACCATCCCGGTGGTGAGCTTTGGTTGCCGTACCAAGACGGATAAGTCCAAGCCGGATAAGAATAAGATGATGAAGGCCAGTAAGTCAATCAATCCCTTCTCTTTCGCCCTTACCTACCTACATTCCATGTGCTCTGTCCTCTCTCCCAAAGGGCAAAAACCAAAGCTGACCAGACCAGACCTTAAGAGTTCTAGACACAACAACCCACCACGTCGACCAAGAAGGAAAGGGCAAAGATTATTGCGGTTGCCAAGGGGAGTGCGATTCTAATCCAGACGATGAGGATTTTCCTGATGATGAGGCTTTTTGGGAGATGGCAGCGTGGGGGGATGAGGAGTATAAGGGGCGAGAAGGTGAGGGGAGGACTCAGGGGAGAGAGGAACTTGGAGAGTTGTGAGCAAGGGCTTTGAGTTGCTTTGCGGGTGCCTGCGGTGACGGGGCTGCCGCTGGAGGAATTGTGGTCTGGGGGTTGTAAGACATCTGATATAAGAGGTCCCGGCTAGGGACGCCGATTTGGGCAACTTTGGTTTTGGTTTTTTTTTTCTGAGTTTTGTTGCGAGCTCGTGACTCGCGGAGAAAACCTCTAGAGGGAGACAGTGGAGGAACACCACGGCACAACTGCACGGCGGCACGACGACAAATAATGACAGGCAGGAACTAGGGAAGGAAAGGTTAACACAGGGCACCCAAAGGAAGGATCACATTTCAGCGCCAGCAGGATTTCACTATCACCATCACTCACCCAAGCCTCTGTCTGCCTGCTGGTTCCGCAATCCACACAGTTTGGTTGCGTCGGCGCTTCTGGTTTCTGGTTTTGCTTGGTTTCCCAGTTACCTACCTCGCCACTTCTGCGGTGGTACCCAAATGGGCAGTTGCGCGCTAAAAGATCTGGCCTAGAACACTATAGTTTGATGGCGAATATCAAACATTTTGGGTTCTGCTCTTGCTCTTTGTGATAGTTGATTGATTGTGATGATCGTGATCATGGTGATTGATGATGAGGATGACATGTCGGAGGTAAAGAGGCTCGACGTGAGCGAAGGGAGGTAAGTCTCTTGGTCCTGATCGATCTTTCATCATTCGGAGTCCGGTCGGGTGCTCTCCCACTTGCCTGCCTGCCTCTTTCTCCCAGCCGGCAACCGCTCTTTCCATCCCATCCCATCCCATCCTCTCAGACCCGCCAGTCGCTCCTTCCACCAATGCCCATATAACCCCCCCATCCCAACCCTCCTTCCAACACCCCCAGCCAATGACCAGTTCGATCCTGGTCGGATAGCGCAGACAGCAGTGCCGTCCCAGCTCTGCATCTCCCACCCCGTCCGACTTCGAGTTCGATTCTCGGACGGGGCAGATCATGAGGTTCCTTTTCAACAAAGACAAAAGGCCGACAGCGTGCCCATCCATGTCGTACACCGCGGGATTTGTTTGTATATGCTGACCGGGCTACTGGGCTAGTTGAACCGAGCAACTTGGTTGTTCTATCTGTTGGCATCTCTTTTTTTTTTGAGAAAACCTACCCACACACACCCCGAAACCTACACGCACACCCTCTCCACTTTGCAGCTGTCAGAAAAATATCGTCGTTCTGTATGGTAAAGCTTGTGGTTCCCCGTGGTTGGAAGTGCCGCCACCATTGCGAAGTCAATAAAAGGTAGTTGAGCAATGAGTTCCATTACTTATATGAGATGATTTAGGTTTTTTTGGAGTAGCTTAGAGCCCTACCATCGTTCGTTGAAATTCTCATCGCCCTTTAGGAAGCTCCGGCCTCTTTTTGGGGTTACGCTTCAAATCCCTATACCACTACTCAAGGGGACTATAGCAATAAGCAGTGACAGCGACTCAATTGCGGTGTCAACGAGTGGCAAGCGTTGCGCTGTGGTTGAAATGCGCTGTCGTCGAAAATTGAAATTTTGGCGACAAAACGCGGATTTCCAAAGCAGCTGTCATTGCGGGCCATGGACTGTCAGGAGCTGTCAAAGGTAAGGGTTATATATGGAAGGTGTGTGCGTGTAGGTTTCGGGGTGTGTGTGGGTAGGTTTTCTCTTTTTTTTTCTTTGAAAATTTTACCCTCAAATCTTTGAGGTTGTTATGTTTGTTGCGCGCACACAGGGTGAGCCGAAGTGATTCCAATGGAATGATTGGGAAAATGCTTGATTGGTGGCTTGAGGAAGAAAAGAGGGAAAGACGTGCCAGGCCCAGCTAAACACACCGCAAATGTACAAACTCCAGTCGGGGTGCACATTCCACACGTTACAAGAGTCATGATGGTATCGGCGTCAGGCGCAGGAAGCAGGCGCGTTCATCTGCAGAGACGCCTTGGCTCGCGTCACGGTTAGATCCAGATGGCATGCACGATACACCTCTTCCTGCTCTTCTGTATGCGCAATTTCCATCCGCTCTGACCGATGGATTCCATCTCTACCTGTCACAACCTCACGCCAATAACCAGTAGCGCGCCGCTCCTCCTATTATTGTACACACTATTCAAAACTCGCGACAGAATCCTCAAGACCAATATGGACCCAAAAACCTTCAAGTTTCGCGACCCGCGCGGCCAGTTCGAAAGCTCGTTTACCTCCCAAGAGGATCGGTTGTATGAGTGAAGGCAACTCTCGATGCGCAATGACCGGTGGTTGGAGATGAGATGACGGTAACTAAAGAACAGGGGAGAAATGGCTCATCGGTTGCAGTTAAAAACCCACCAGGGCACCGTCTCTACCTTCCACGCACCTTCTACTTCCAACTTTTTCTTCGCAAGACCACGCCACTCAACCTCACGTACTTCGCAGAATCTGGCCGCCCAGCAACGAATCACCGAGGCCCACGATGCCCAAACGGCCCAGAGCGATGGCGCCAGCCGCAGACCAGGCAGCCGGCGAGCCGAACGAGGACAGGCGTAAAAGGTTGCGCATGGCTTTAGCCGTGGAGAAATTCGTGGAGCAAGCGTTCGGCGAGATTTATGAGGAGATGAATAAGCACATGCCTAAAATGTTGCGCTCGAAGTTACTCGAATTTTACGAAAAAGAGTGGGCAGAGGGAAAGAACAAAGAACAAAATCAACGCAAAGTATCGCTGGAGTCGGCTACGGGTTCTGACGTCGTTGAGCAGCCGGCTGGTGAGACACTGACTATGGAAGAAGTATCGAAGACGATTGGAGGGCTGCTTGCCATGTTGGAAACACAAAAGAAGCAAGATCAATGCGAAACATCGCTGGAGCCGGGTAGGGTCTCTGGCGACGTTGACGTTGTTGACATGGCCGAGGAAACGACAGGTGGTAGTGATAGGGACATGGATCAGGATGAGGACGACGATGAGGACGACGACGACATATACCTCGACAGCGACGATGACGAGGACAGCGACGGATACTCCGACGGGCGCGGATGGTATTGCCTCGCTGATAACGACATGTATGCAGACGAGGATGAGAGCGAGAACGAGGAAGCGAATGCCCCTGACAATGAGTACATACCCTCGCCGTGGAGCGTTGGGGATCCCTCAACCCCAAAAGACCCGTTCCTGGAGGACTCGCCGCAGGTGGACTTGATGGGCACCTTTCATAACGAGCGTGGCAACCACAACCGCGCCGATCAAGCTGTCGACCCTCTCCTCAGAGACCCCGTAATCCTGTCGCTCAAAAGCGAGGCCGACTATGAGAACTACCACAAACGACCGCGCATCGACTTCGATCGTTATGAATGGAGACCATGATATCCTTTCCCGAGCCGACCATGAGGCGCCTTGGTAGATGTGGTCGCTAGTTGTATCAGCACCATAGCGACTTCATGGAAGCCTGCAAATGTTGGGCGGTCTCATCAGCAATCCATCCCAGCAACAGGAGTACCACCTAGAAACACCAGGGGTCAACCATCTTGCAAACACGCGAGCAGAATAAACCACACAACAAGCAGCAAATTGGAAAGATTGGCAGACCAGGTTGGATCAATGACAACATTGGCAAAGCAAACCATTTGGCCTTTGCCTTACAAGCCTCCCCGCCCTGCAGTCTTCCTTAAAAACGCCCTCCTTCACTCAAACAACCCGCTCTAAAGCCCTCCAAAGCTTCCGACCTTTGTGATCACTTGCCATTCGATGGCTATATTGCCGGCTCCCTCCCTCTCTCCTTTGAACCCCCCTCCAGGTCATTTTTCTTTCTATCTTCTGACACATGAAGCTTTTGGAACGACGATGGAGCCACAGCCAAAGTCGCGTTACAACGCGGCCTCCGGAACCTGAAGCTGGCAGCGTGGTGGTTTGAGTAAAAGGCGGGTTTCTGGTGACAACCTTTTCTGGGTTCTTCGTCCATTCACTTCCGTCAATGGACTTCTTCGCGTTTTGTTCTCGTCAAAACCCTTGGTCTCCAAAAGTTCGGACTGGAAGCTACTCACCATCCAGTGCTTCCATTCTTTCCTCTATCTTGAAGGCACCTTTCGCCATTACGAACCAGCATCAACTTCAACATCATCCGCAGCCATGTCTACGGAGCTGCTAAAGACGCCGCCGTCTTCTCCCAACCCCGGCGGAGGTCAGGGCGAGTCGAAAAGGGCCATCGACGAGGTCATCGATACGCCAGAAGCGCTGAGGAGACTAGCAAAGAGAGTGAAGGGCATCTTGGACAGAATGAACGAGAAATCCAACGTTTTCAATTCTTCCGGCGACAATTCCGACGACCCTTTTGGTATCGACAACACTCGCCAGAATGGCAACATGGAAGTGTCAGCCGAGCCTCTCGTGTTCGATATGTCAGACTTCGGTTGTCACGAGCATGTCGAAGAGGCGAAGTGATCCCAGGAGCAGAGGGAGGAGAGAGTACCACCGAACGGCACACCAAGCAAAACGAAGGGTGTCGCAAAGACCGCAGGACCTTTGTAGGGCGAGACAACTTCAGAAGAAATGACCTTTAGGGACGGCGGTAGAGGTAGTCATATCTCTGTTTCAAAGGACGGCCCCCAGCCGACTCATCACCTTCTCTCACCAGGTGTTCCTTCGGATTCGCCCAGCCACACCGAACGAGCCCTAGAGAAAACGGAGAAGGCGCATAGGGGGGCATTCTATCTACGTCGCCTTCGCCCTTGCTACGCGCTAATCCAGCTCGCAAACGAGGACGAAGGAGCATCTAGGCTGTCACAGTCAAGCTAGAGAAGCAAAATGTGCTAGACTTTCTAACGCCGGACACTTGACTAGGACCAATATCGAGCATCGCCGGATGAGTTGGGCATCTCATCGGGCCTGTACTGGTTGCTATTCCTCCGTACGTAGGGCAGAGGCACATAGCTACTGATTGTGAAGCCAGGTCTGCAATATACACTCACTACCTGATTTAGTGCATTCCTTTATATATTTTGTCCGTGATACTTTTGCATCTGCATATGCAGGGCCACGATCTGTCAGGTGCATCAGTGACAGCGATGGACACTCGTCCAATGCATGAGCAGTGGATGACCACATGGTTTGCCCCAACCCTTCAGGTTCCGGTTCGCTTCCCTCGCTGGTGAATGGGCTGTTGCTCCAGGGCCAGCTCCGTGGGACCTTCAAGATCTGGGGATGTACCATTCACCGTATACGATCTTGGAACTTCCGGTGAAGGGTGATCCCATCCCAGATTGACCATTCATTCAGGTCATCATAGTCTTCAAAAGAAGCACCTGTTTTCTCCCACAACAAAATTGTTTTACTCCTTTGACCACCTCCAAGGAAGTCATTTTATCGACCATCACCAAAAAGCAACATCAATATCTCCGTCGCAACCAACCATACGTTACAACTCGAAGACGAATTGTCAACATGGCCCATGAAAATTTCGAGTCTTCTCCGCCCAAGTCGGCCAGCAGTGTTAGTATCACCAATCGCTTTCCGTTCATGCGTCACGCTAACGAGACAAACCAGGTCAAGAGGCACATGAGTCCAGAGGACCAACAAGACCGAAACCCGCCCAAAAGGCTGAAGACCAACGACGCGGACGAGGCGACGCCGAGGGAAGCTCCAATGGCGACTATATAAGCGACGACAAAAAATCACCCACTCCGACCAACGAGTACAACTCACCCGAGCCACAACAACCGTCTAGATCGGCCAATATACTTCCCAGCATCGGGGTCAGTCACCATCAAGGGCACAGCGAGGGCAATGTGCCACCCCTAGAAGGCATGAACGACACCACCGTCGACACCATCGAGAGGGGCCCAATCAGAACTAGTTCCGCATGTCCCGAGCTTACCACTCTTGAGCGTCATACCTCTTCTACATCTTCAACACAAAGGTCCCGGGAATCAAGCGTAGAGGACGACATCAACAATTCTCTCTTACCCCATTCGGCTTCATCTCCCTCGCCCTCGCCAATCCAACCTCAAGATTCCTCTCCCTCTCCATCTCTGCTTCTCGCAGAGTTACCCTACCTCTCACCAACACCCGCTTCGTCGGCCACCGCTTCATCCACACCTCCTGCCTCCATCTGGGTCAATTTCTCGCCGTCGTCTGCATCCGGTTCTTCATCTTACACGTCTATCTCCGAAGGTGATTCGGAGGACGAAGACTGGGACGATGAGATGTTCAATTTGTGGAACGACGCACTTGAGCAAAATCCGGGACCCCATGTTGATGTACTCGGACTGGTACTGGAAGCAGTGGTCAATCCTCATTGGCAGGGTCCCGCTGCTGCGGTCCAGGAGGAGGTCGAAGCAACCTTCGTCGACGACGGCGAGGGTGAGGATAGCGACGGAGACGACCATGACAGCGGAGAACACACCGAAAGTGGCAGCGATAGCGAGTCTTCGCCTGGAACACCGTCACAGCAAGAATTTCAGAGTGTGTTCGCGTCTAGATACAATCACTGGCCCGATTTTGATGCCCCGGATAGCGATTCAACAACCACTTGCAACATTATCGAAGACGAAGGCGACCGCGAATAGGTTCTCGAAACCGATCCTTTGGATGAAGTACCACGGTACCCGGGAATGGATGCTTTCCGACTTGCAGGTTACATTTGGTCTGAGCCTCGGGACCAGGAGCCCGAAGACACCTACTACACTAGCGACGACGAGGTCGATAATAGCGATGATTACGACGATCCCGAGTGGGCTTTTGAAGAACAGCACTCGCTCGAAGCCCAGTGTAGGGTGCAATAAAGATTCTAGTCCGGTTTCTTCTTAAATAATCATTGGCCTGAGCCTGGGGCCCCGGGGGGACTGGTCTTCGTGGGCGATGACGAGAAAATGACAGTTGAAGCGATGACCACGAAGACCCCGAAACTACCAGCAAAAGCGAGCTCAATTTGAAGACCACCTTCACGGGATTGGGGATACTACCTTAACCGAAGGTCGATGCTATCTACTTCTGGATCTGTTCAACCTGGCGTCGGCGTTGGGGCAAATGCACGGAGGGTTAGAGATGTCCATATGGACGTATGAAGCAAGGGAACGGGAGGAGTCTAAGAGAGGCGAGTTGTGTACGGTGGTACATAGTATCGAAGGAAAGCAAGAAGTAATACGGATTCATTGAGTTCAAGTTCACCCCTTTTTCTATATGGTGAACTCTTCGCTTTCACGTTTGGGTTCGCTCCTGTTGCTGGTGCGTGAACTATTTCAAGGCTAGCTACGTGGGACCTTCACAATCTGAGAATGGACCATTCACTATGAGATACAATCTTGGAACATTAGGTGAAGGGTTATCCATCCCGCATTGACCCTTCACTCCGTTCATTTCTGCGTTTGATTCCTTGCACTCCGAAAACTCTTTTTGCTTCCTCAATTGCCTTCAAGGAAGTCATTTACTGAAGAAGACAACCAACTACCAACATCAGTCGCATCGACACGAAGCTGACGGGAATTACCAACAATGGAACAACAGCCGTTGAAGACTCCTTCGCCCAATGCGGGCAGCAGCGTGAGTATCATCGATACTGGTTACTTCAATTCTTGTCCATTCAGCGGGCTAACAATGCCAACAGCCCAAAAGGGTTCTGGAGGATCAATCAGACAGCAACCCGCCCAAAAGGCTGAAAAGTACATCTGGTGGCGGCAACGACGGAAGCTCCAATGACGACTATGTACCACCCGACAACAACAAATCCATTATCACCAGCACCCAAAACAGCTCCTCCGATCCCCATCGATTGTCTACGACTTCTACGACTTCCGAAATACGTCCCAGTATCGAGGTCAGCCCCCACAGGCCGAACAACGAGGGCATTGTACCACTACATAGCGGCATGAGCGGCAACACCATTACAATAAGGGACCCATCCAGAACAACCCCCTCCCCACGTTCCCAACCCACCACCACTCCCGAGCGTAATATTTTTACCAACCCGGCGCAAACATCCGAAGAATCAAGCGCAGAAGATGATATCGACGAGTCTCCATTACCTTCCTCGGCATCCATTCCCTCGCCCTCGCCGTCCCCGGCCCCGGCCCCAGCCCCGGTACCATCCCCTTCTCCATCCGTCCTTCTCGCAGAGCTACCCTACGGGTTACTCTCCCCAACACCCGTCTCATCAGTTACCGCTTCGCCCACACCCCCTGCCTCCCGTTGGGTCAATTTCTCGCCCTCGCCTAGGGCTGGGTCGAGGTCCCCTTTCTCATCTTACACCTCTATCTCAGAGGGAGGCTCGGATGATGAGGGCTGGCCGGATGATGAGGAGTGGTTGAACGCAGCAGCAGTGTTAGAGAACGCGGATGACGATGATGAAGAGTGGCTAGACTTAATGTGGCAGCTGATGGAGGAGGAGGATGATGAATTGGGGGATTTTTTTCTTTGGGAGATACCGCAGATTCCTGATGATTGGATTGTGCCTGTGCCTAGTCTGGTGGTCCAGGAGGTTGAAGAACCGGTAGACGTTTGGGAGGTACCCCAAAATGATTGGCTTGTGCCTAGTCTGGTGGCCCAGGAGGTTGAAGCGGCTTTGGTTGATGACTTTGCCGACGATTACGACGGCGATGACGACGATGATAGCGACGAGGACAATGATAGCGACGAGGAGGATGACGGCACCGAGAACAGTAATAGCGACGACAACGAAAGTACCGGCGGTCAGACCCTGTTCTGCTCCAGATACGATAGCTGGCCTGATTTCGATGACGATTCCCCGGGAGGCCAAACGACCAACTACATCAGCGACGACGAGGATGGCAGCGAATGGGATATCAAAAGCGATGCCCTTCATGAAGGACCACGGTACCCAGGCATGAACGCTTTCAGACTAGAAGGGTACACTCCTGCTCATGATCAGCCGCTTGATTCGGGGGACCAGGAGCTTGAAGGAATCTACATCACTGATGATGAGGATGAGGAAAGCGACGCCGACGACGAAGACGAAGACGAATGGGCTATAGAAAACGAGTCTGAGCTTGAAGCACAACCGTGGGGAGCAGGAATGCGGATTATTCATTATCATCCGTCCATGTGGATGTAAGACTGGAGAGTAAACGGCACGGGGAAGAGCTGTGGGAAGCGAACTTTGTACGGCGTTAGTGTCAATAGTCTACAGCCTGGCTTGGCTTTGTCCCTCTTCATCAAGGAGGCAGATTGCCGGATCTCCAAGGTCACTTGTGGGTGATGAATGACACCGGCAGTCGTATGGACCCTTTACCGCGTGAACAATGGCCTTTGAGAGAATAGGTATGAAGCATGGTTCTCTCGTTTCTGGAGGCCTGTTTGGTCCCGCTTCAGCTTACCTCCAAGGAAGTTGTTCATTGTGTGCAGCCCAATAACCTTCAACTGACTACAAAACAACCATCAAGACGGCAATTACATCCTCACAGCTGACCGATCCCCAAGCCTGTCAACAGAAATGGAACAACCAGTGGAGGGAGACGTACCTATACCTTCCTCGTCTGACATAGACAAAAGCTGGAAAACTGCCGAGGAGCACATGGATGCAGCCGACCACAAGCAACAGACCAAAAGGAGCCTTGAAGACGAAGAGGATGATCGACCGGCCAAAAGGCTAAAGAGTGGCGGAGGAGAAGTCTACGAGGAGATTCGGGAATGGAAGATCGGGGCGGTTACGTATCCGCATTTTGTGGACGATGTCGGTAGCGCCGACACTCATCACGATGACCGCCACTTCAGTAGTAGCGAATGGGGGATTTTCAGAGTAAATGCCATGAAGGACGTTGAGGAGATTCGGGACGAGAACTCCGATGATAGTTCCAACAGCGACGGTTCAAGCGACGACGAGGACTGTACCGACTCGAGTCAACGGTCTAGCCAACGTTCCGGGACACTATCGCCTCGACGATCGCCCAGAGACACTACAAATTTTCCCGGCATTAACACCGGCCTATGTGAGCCTGACGAGTCGCCAAATTATGGTACGAGCCACGGGGGCAACGAACAACCATACAATGGTACAAGCGACGGCATCATTGTCATGAACGATGGTATCTCAGGGGATCGGCTCCGAACACCATCCCCACGACTTCAGCCGCTCATTTTATCTTCCCCACCCTCCATCTCACCCATATCCCCTCCCATCTCCCTATCGATACCCTCTCTCTCCTCGTCTACATCTACTCCACAGGCTGTCTCACCGTCGTCTCATTCGTGGCCGTCTACCTCGCCTCCGCCTGTTTTCTGGCGTTGGAACTGGGAGCCTGAACACGGGTGGAGCTTCTCGCCTGAGGTCATACCTTCTGAGCCCCCTTATACCTCTCCCAAGGAAGGAGAAGAAGGAGAAGAGGAAGAAGAGGAAGAAGAGGAAGAAGAGGAAGAAGAGGAAGAAGAGGAAGAAGAGGAAGAAGAGGAAGAAGAGGAAGAAGAGGAAGAACAATACTGGATTTCGGAGGACGATGACGGAGAAGAGTGGGAGGGGATACAATCGGAGGAGGAGGAGGATGAGGAGGAGGAGGAGTGGGAGGGATTTCCGGATGAGGAACATGAAGGGGAAGGGGAGGGGGATAATAAATTGAAGAATAAGAAGAAGAGGAAGGAGAAGAAATTTTGGTGGAAGATTGTGTTTTGGAGGAGGATCAGGGAGGAGTGGGAGGGGCTAGTATCTGGGGCAGAAGATTGGGAAGGGGTTTCGGATGAAGAGGAATCGGGGGATAATGGACTGGAGGATGGAGACTTGGAGGATGAAGATTCAGACGATAGAGGCTCGGAGGATGGTGGTTCCTCACCTGCGCCATTATCGTCATCAACACCGGCGCCTTTGCCTGCGACGTCACCCCCGTTTCCCCTACGCCGTTTCCTTCGCCGTAACCTTCGCCCTCGCCGTCATACGAATCGGACAGTAGCAGACGGATAAGTATGGACAGGATAGTCTATATTAGTTCGCTAGATACCCTAAGTATTTCTTCCCAGAATTCAATACTCCTGTCTTCTTGCATCGTGATCGGCTAGCACAAGCATCATTGTATCTCCCTTATCACTCAGCGATGTCACCAGTGACGGCTCCAGGCATTACCGGGAATCTAAGGGAGCATCTAACGGTTGATATATCTTAATAGTTGTAAAACGTTCCCAACCGTTGGCCAACGCTTCCAACCGTTTATATATCTCAAGCGTTGAAAATTCCTAACCGTTAGGCCGGGACAGGACACTAAGCTCCCGGGCCGCTGCAAGACCTTGCATCTTGGTGAGAAACTTCCCATCTAGGAAGGCACGATGAATGAGAAAGGGAAGGTGGGGAGAAAAAACGGAAGAATAAAAGAGAAGGGGAAAGAAGCGGGGTACTCAAATAAAAAACTAAAGTTTTCCAACGTCTCCCAACTTTTTCCTCTTACAACTATCACTACCCTATCGCTATCGGCCATTAAATTCCTAGGTATAGTTGTACTCATCCTTGCTTCAATTCCCAAGTTGACATCGTAATTTGCATCGCAGATTCAATTACCCTAGCAACGGCGACGACGATAATGACGACAATAGCGACGACGACGGCCGCGATACACTTAGGTAGTAGTAGTAAACTTAGTAGTTTAGACTTAGTAGATTTAGTATATTGGCCGAACGGGCTTAATAGTTTTAAATTTGGGTAGGTAATGGGCAGAAGGACGGGAAGGAGTAGATAAATATTATAAGGAAGGAGCAAATACCAAATACGCTAATTCCCAGCCTCCCGCCTATACCTACTTTTGCTGGGAATTAACGGTTAATATTTTTCAATAGTTGCAAATTCTCAACGGTTGAATAACTATCAACGGTTGTGTATATCTAAGGATCGTTAACTGAACGATAGTTTATATATATTATAGGGCTAACCTATAATGTAGTTGCACTATACTAACTACACATATGCCATACCAAAGTTAGTGCTATAGCCTAGAGCTATATATTTACGTACTAGTCACATACTCTAGTTACGTACAGCCTTACGTACGCGCGTACAGACTAGCCTACTAGGTTCCCGCCCATATAGCCAATCCTTTACACACACTTCCCTTTCTCTCCCTCGTATAATAACGTATATTTTACCCTACCCCTAATAATACCCTTTCGCCCTATAATAATTTATTATACCTTACTATTACGCTGTGTACGTTTACTTAAGGAAAGAGGGATTGCAATCAATTTATTTTAATTATTATAAGGTTGTTAATTTAGCATTATCGATTCGAAATTAAATCTTATTTTTGTACGATTAAAACCCCGCGTCGCAATCCTAACCTCGAGCCAAGTAAACTACTAAACTGAATATCGCCATTAAATAGTTCGTACTCTCTTTTCCCTTTTACCTACCAGATATATTAATTTAATAATTAATATCTAGCGATATCGTTTTATATACTCCTCTAATAACCGATAATTCTTTTACTATTACTATAGTTGGCGCCCTCGCTACTTTAAACCCGGCTAATTAAAAATATTATTCTAACGTTACCTAAACCTTCGAATCTTTTAATAATTAAGCAATTTAAATCGATATTACTATTTAATACGCGTTTGGCTTCGTTTAATTCCCCGTTTTTTAAATAATGTCACGGGGCGCGAGCAAGCACTAAGGTAAGACTTTGATTATTATTCGAAGAACTAGAAGAGAGTCTTATACGCGTACGAAAACTATATAGAGCATAGGGTATAGGTCTATAGACATAAGCCCATCCAGAACAGCCATACCGTCATATAATAGCTAGAAGGCTAAATATACTGCAACTAAACAGCTACACTCAGCTAGCTGCACCAATGCAGCATATATACATGTATACCTATATATAGGAATAAGGTAGTAATGCCTATAATACTACCCCCTCTTAAAACGAAGTTCTCGCCTTAAAAAATATTATTATTAACAAAGTAGGTTCTTCCCGCAGGTACGCCCAATTAGGGGCTGCGAACCTGTATACTAAGATGGGAAGCTACTTAGTACCTAAACTACTATTTAAGAGCCAAATACTAGCCAAAATATTACTAGACGTACCCTTTCTATCGAAATATTTATTATTATCCTAAATAATTCTAAATAATACTCTAATCGTCTTTATAATTACTACTTCCCCTCTCTACTATCGCTAGCCTCCGAAGGGGGTACTATAAAGGCCCTATAGTATAGTGGTATATAGAGACGCTCAAAGCGCCGCTATTAGTATAAATATAGACGTTATATATTTAAATTATATTTATATCCCTCTTTTTTCCTTTTTTACCCTACCTTCGTAAATATAATTGTTAAAACGCTTTATTTATTTACGCCAATGTATTATAATTATATAATTTTGTCCGAACTAGAGAGACCGATTTAGTGAGATTATAGGGGGAAAAGGAAATTAAAGTATAAGTAAGTTTTAGGCTATTCTTCAGAGTAAATTTAAAAGATTTATTTTCTAGAAATTTAGGGTAGGGTTCGCGCTATAAATCGTAAACTCCTTTTTTATTAATTTCTTATTTATTACTTAATTTTACATTCTGTTTAATTCATTAATTATCTACCGCTAGTATCATTATCGCCGGGATCGATAGGGTTTCGTCCTCTAATAATATTTTTACCCTTTCTTAAAATCCGGGTACGGAGGGCCGAATTTTAAGTATTTATTGTAAAATTACTAAAGTAATTCGTAATAATTATCGAGGATCTTGGCCAGCTATTAATCGGGCGGATAATAAATCTATTTTACTAGATACTTCTAAGTACCCTCGATCTTCTAATAATTTATAAATTCTTAAAACTCTTAGCGTCTATCCCCCTCGAATTTATCCGTCCTAGTAATAACTATACCTTTATTTACTTTAATATCTATTATTAATTCCTTCTAGCCTAGGAAGCCTTCGATATAAAGTTTAATTTGGAAGACGTTAATAATATAAGTAACTTTTATATTTTAAGGTAGGGCCAATTCTATTATATACGAATTAACCTTTATAATACGGAAAGGACCTTTAATGTAGGGTATTAATTTATTATATAGCCTCCCTATTATATAATTAACTATATTTAATGTTATTTCGTTACTTACTTCATATTTAGGGGCATTTATATAATAAATATTAGCCGCCGCCTCGTATTATTTTTAAACTTACTTCGCCGAAACTTTTATAAAGTTCTAAACTTCCTTAAAGTAGTTGATTAATTAATTAGCGTTAAATATTTACTTTTTCTATATATTTATAGCGTCCGGGGGTATTAGGGTAGACAGCTCCGTATTTATCTAGGGGTAAAACCTGTAATTGGCAAAGAATAGAATTATATTAGTATATAGATTTTAAATTATTATTTTAGAATTTAATTAAGGGTAGCCAGTCTATTTAATTGTCCTATATCCAATTAATAAATATATGTAGATACTATTCCATCTGTATATTAATACGTTCTATTTAGTTATTTATTTCCTTATAGTATAGCGTAACGAATTTTAATTTAATATTTAACTTTTATAATAAGTGCTTTTAGAAAGCCGATACGAATTAAATACCCTTATTCGAGATAATTGTATTTAGTAACCTATAAAGGGTATAAATACGGTTAATAAATTTCTTAATTAATTTTTTAATTATTAATCGTTCCATTAGAATAGAATCCTTTATTTTAATTAAATAATCTATTATAATCAGTACGTACTAATATTCTACGCCCTTAATTACTCTTTTTAATTTAGGTAACGAGATAACGTAATTTATTGAAATATTCCTCTATAATGTGTAAGGGATTAGTAATTATTTAAAGAAATTAATTAGCGAAGTTTTTATAGCCTTAGTCTTATTATATGGTATATAGGCCCTATAATATATATTTACTATTATACTTATACTTAGCTGCTAATATTTATATATTAGGGTTATTATTTTATCCCTCTTTAAATAGCCGCTTTATATTAAGAAATAAGTATGATAAATTAA